GAAGTACTTCTTTCTAGCTCTACTCCCTATTACTAGCACTTTCTATATAATAATTACTATAACTACCTTCTTACTAGTTTTCTATTCTATACTAATTATACTATAGTCTATACCTATAGCTTATAACTATAGTAAATCTATAGACCTTATAATAGATTGTGTCTAGTAGGGTCTAATTACGCCTAAAATAAAATAATAGTGCTTTAATAATAAGTGCCTATACTATAGTGGCGGCTATATAGTATATAACTACCTAAAGAAGCTTTATACTACTATATACGCGATTAATTTCAGTTTTACCTTTAATATACTAGACACTAATACCCTATCTAAAGACTCGATTTATTTAGAAAATAAGTAGTTTCTACTAGAAGTTACTTATAGGGACTCTTACCTAAAATAGTTAAGATTTTCTTTTCCGTAATCTTTTAGTCGCCTTAGTAAGACTTTAATAAAGATAAATACCTTATAATTAACTATAACTTAATTACTAGTTTATATAAATATAAGTCTACTGCTTTTATTAATACTAGAGCTTCTAGTACTACTTTTATTAACTAATCTTATATATAAAACCTTAGCCTTTATTTCCTTTTCCTTAGTTCCCCTATTACCCTTAAAGTTATTAATAGGCGCTCTACCACTACTAGTAATATTACCTATTTTATTTAAGTTAAGTTCCTAGTAGAGTTATTTAAATAGACTCTTACCCTCTTTATTATCTACCTTAGTTATTTTCTAGTTATTCTTAGTTACCCTTAGCTACTAGCCTACTACGCTATACTTAATACTAGCTAATAACTAGTAGTACTTTCTAGTAGGAACGCTATCCCCTACACCTATCTAGACTTTATTATAGTACCCTAAAAAAGGGCTAAAGAGCCACTTAATCTTAATCTATCTCTATAAAAGACTTTAGATATTTACGTAATTAGTGCAGCACCCTTTACCCGCCTAGTAAATACTAAGAAGATAGGCTATTAGCTCTTTGTAATTATAATAAGAAATATTAAAAAGATTCTTATATCTAAAAAGGTTATAGACTCTACTACTATCTTACCCTCTAAATACTATAAATTCCTAGATATCTTTTTAAAATACCTTTTAGACTAGCTACCTCTATATTGTACCTATAACTACTATATCTAGCTGTAGCTAGAGATAGAATTGCCTACTAGACCTCTATATAGAATATTCTAGAAGAAGCTACTTATCCTAAAAAAGTACCTAGAAAACTATCTTATAAAGGGCTTTATTCACTCTAGTAGCAGCCCTATAGCTTCCTTTATTCTCTTCATCTTAAAGCCTAAAGGGGGCCTCTATTTCTATATAGACTACTAGAGCCTTAACGCGATTATAGTTAAGAATAAGTACTCTATTCCGCTTATCCAAGAAACTCTCACTCACTTTTTATTAGCTAATTACTTTACTAAGCTTAATATTATCACGGCTTTTAATAAACTCTATATTATAAAGGGTGATAAATAGCTTATAGTATTCCTTACCTGCTATAGCCTCTATAAATACCTTATAATACCTTTTAGCTTATCTAATACGCCCTTATTCTTCTAGTATTATATTAATAATATCTTAAAGAAATACTTAGACTAGTTCTATACTACTTATATTAATAATATTCTAATCTATAGTATTACTTTAAGCGAATACTAGGAATGCGTCTATAAAGTACTTACCTACCTATAAGAAGTAAGCCTATAAGTTAATATTAAGAGGTGTAAATTCTATATCTAGAAAGTTAAGTACCTTAAGTTAATTATTTTAATAGAAAGTATTAAAATAGACCTAGTAAAGGTTTCTACTATATAAGAATAAGCCTAGCTAAAGAATCTAAAGAATATTTAAAGCTTTTTTAGCTTTATAAACTTTTACTATTATTTTATCTAGAATTTTTCTAAGATTATTATACTACTTACTAGCCTTAATTATAAGAGCTAGGCCTTCCTATAGTCTCTAAATTATAAGTTTACTTTCTAAGAGTTAAATTACACCTTTATTACTATATTAATTCTTTAGCACTTCGATTAGACTAAGCTAGTAACTATAAAAATAGATACTTTAGACTATATTATAGCTAGTGTACTCTATTAACTAGGTATAGAAGGCTAACTCTAGCTTATAGTATACTTCTTAATAAAAATATCTATTACTAAGTATAACTATAAGATTTATAATAAGAAGCTACTAGCTATTATTAAGGCCTTTAAAGCCTAGTATCTGGAACTAGAAGGAATAAAGAAACTAATTAATGTTATTATAGACTATAAGAATCTTAAATACTTTATATCTATAAAGTCTCTTAATTATTACTAAGTCTACTAGAGCGAGTTCTTATTCTGTTTTAACTTTAAGATTACCTACTATAAGAGTAGCCTAAATATAATAGTAGACTTCTTAACTTATTAGTCTAGAGACCTCTCTACTAAGAGAGGGAGTAATTCTTAAAAAACTAGTTTTAGATAGTATTAAAATAGTATTATCTTAATTCTTAACTAGAACGCGCTCCTCTAGCTGCTAGTAAGATTTATTTAGCTCCTACTAGAGTCTCTACTACTCCCGCTAACCCTCTATAAGACGCTAAAGATAAAGAAAACCTACTAGTAATTTAGCTAGACACAATTAAAGTACTAGACGAAATTTCTAAAACTATACTAGACTAGAATACTAACTCTACCTATATATTAAATAAATAAGCTTAAGAGATTCTAATCTACCTATAATAAGGTACCTATACGCTTAAAGGCTTCCTACTATCCGAAGTCTATAAAGAGAATAACTAAATTATCTACTAAGATTACTAATTTCTACTAAAATCTTACTAGGTTAGAATACACGCTCTATGTGAAGTGCACTTACCCCTAGCTATTAGATATTCTAGGAGAGTAAAGATATTTAATATTCTAGTATACTCTTACTAGTAGTCTAAAATAATATAAGATATCTACTAGTTTATCTATAACTATTCTATTTATACCTATATAAAGGTCTCTTAGGACTACTACTATAGCTTACTTAAGCCTCTATCTATACTAGAATAGTACTAGTCCGATATCTTACTCGACTTTATTATTAAACTCCTAAAAAGTAAGAATTGCTAAGGAAACATATAAAAATATTCTTATTGTTATAGATTATCTCTTTAAGATATAGTACTTTATTCCTTATAGTAAGATAGATACGCTAATAACTATAATACTCTTCTTTAAATATATCTAGAAGTACTATAGTATTTCTAAATCGATTATCTTAGATTAAGGAAGCTAATTTATTAGCTAGTTCTAGAAAGAACTATACTTCTAATTAGATGTCTAGTATAACCTCTCTATAGCCTACTACCCTAAGACTAATAGCTAGACTAAGAACGCTAATATAGTCCTAGAATAATACCTATACGCGTATATAGTATTCCTATAAGATAACTAGATAGACTAGCTACTATATACAGAGTTCGCGTATAATAACTATATATTAGAAACTACCTAAGTCTTACTATTCCTTGCTAACTATAGCTAATACCCTCTTTTTAGCTTAGAGCTATAGGTTTCTACTATAGACTTACCTACTAAGTTAGACTATAGAGAAGTAGCCCGATTCTATAATAAAATAACTATTATTACTTAGAAGCTAAAGAAGTAGATATATCTAGTATAAGCTACCTATAAAGATACTACTAACTACTAATAAGCCCCTATACTAAAGTACTAAGTTAGTAATAGTATATATCTAGATATATATAAATTATAGTTAGGTTATCTACTCTAGAAGCTCTTAAATAAGTACTATAGTCCTTTCCGTATTACTAAGATTATTAGTATATATAGCTACCGTCTAGAGATACCTTAGTCCTAGTACTACTACTCTATATTTTATATCTTACTAATCCGGCTCTTTACTAATAACCCGCTTTTAAAATAAGCTCTACTATTTCCTTTCCCCTAATTAGGCACTTTTGTAGAAGATATATAGGATGTAAACTAGGTTCTTAACTCCTAAAACTATTATAGGCGCTTTAAGGTGCTTATAGACTAGATCGACTTTAATAAAGACTTCTAGAACCCCTTATACTATATACTAATAGCTTTTATAGAAGTTAATTATTTCTTTATATACTATCTAAATAAGCCTAGCTACGCTTACTAGTTAGAGCTTAAAGTCTATAATTACTTCACGTCTTTTATAGAGTTAGATACAGACTCTAATACTAAATTAGAATATAACCCTAACTTAGACGCCTTATAGAGACTTAGCCCTTAGAAGGAAGCTATTATTATAATTTAAACTTAGTATTTCTTAGCGTTTAGATCTTTAGTTATTCTAGAGTTATATAACTAGATTATATACTCTACTTATAAAGATATCTTCCTATTTTCCTTACTACACCTTCTAATCTTATATAACGTCTTATATATTACTCTAATAAATCAAGTTCTAGTATTAAGCCTTCCTGCATCGTAACAAGTCTATATATAAATAGTGGTATACGCGCTTTTAATAAAAATTATCTTATATACTATAAAACTATGTATCTTTTTAGAATATACTAAGATATATAAATAGCTATAGCTATATAAAAGGTATTAAGAGTATTTAGCTAAGGCAAGAGTATTACGTGTGCTTTATAAAGTGATGAGCCTTAAAGGGAAGGGGGGGGGTGGATAAAGTTTATCTAAACGGCCGCACATTTTGCAAGCGACAGTACCGTGGCCGCAGGATGCGGGAAGTTGATGGCACCACCTCGGGCGGCGCCACCTCCGCCTGCACTACCGATTGAAAGGGGCATGTCAGAAATGGTAACGATAGCCACCGTTCCCTCTCAACGGCGATGTATCGAGTCCATGTACGCAAAGGCGGAAACAATACACAGGTAATCACGTAGCCAAAAGAAGCTCTCATCCATTACGCGCTAAGTATCTGGCTGCGTTCTGTCTCTCTGTCTTTCCCTTCTTCACCATCAATCAGTTCAACTTTTCCAAGCAAGAAGAATGCCAAAGGTAGCAGTTACACTTGCCTCCAGCCATGAGATGCCTCTGGTAGGCTTCGGGCTCTGGAAGGTGCCCAAGGAGACCGCTGCAGAGACAGTCTACAATGTCAGTTCTTCCGGCCTCACTTTGCTATTCAATCATCCTCCTATCGTCTTAGTATCTAACAGAGTCATAGGCCATCAAGGCGGGATACAGACTGTTCGACGGCGCTTATGACTATCAAAACGAGAAGGAAGCCGGGGATGGCATCCGCAGAGCTATCGATGAAGGCCTGGTCAAACGCGAAGACATCTTTGTGACCACCAAGCTATGGAACAACTACCACCAACGAGAGCATGCGGTGCCGATGGCGAAGGCCCAGAATGAAGCTTGGGGCCTGGAATACATTGATCTCTTCCTCATCCACTTTCCATGTGCTCTGGAGTATATCGACCCGGAGGTCCGGAGATATCCTGTAAGACGCATCGGGATTCGCTTTCACTGCTCGACATTTCCTCAAAGCGCGCCATTGTACTGACCGCTCCGAAACACAGGCCTGGTGGATGGACGACGAAGGCACCGTCAAGCCTGCTAAGATTCCCATTCGGGAGACATGGGAAAGCATGGAGCAACTCGTGGACGACGGCATAGTCCGCAGTATCGGCGTCAGCAACTTCCAGGCCCAGATGCTCTACGATATCATGACATATGCGAAGCATCCCATCTCTGCTCTTCAAGTCGAGCACCACCCATTCCTGGTCCAGCGGGAATTAGTTCAGATGGCGAATGAGAATGGCATCGCTGTAACCGCATACTCGTCCTTCGGACCTCAGTCTTTCCTTGAGCTGCCCCCAGCGTTCTCGAAGAGGGCGAAGGACATCCCGTTACTGTTTGATGCTGAGCCTGTCAAGGCGGCGGCGGCAAAACATGGTATTACTCCCGCTCAAGTTCTTCTGCGGTGGTCAACACAGAGGTATGCGCATCGTTCTCTTAGCATCCTCGCACCCAAGGCTTGCTATGGTCATTTCTTCTTACTTGAGACAGGAATATCGCCGTCATCCCGAAGTCCAATAATCCCACTCGCTTAGCACAGAATCTCAGCGTGTTGGATTTTGATTTGACATGTTCGGAATTGCAGTCTATATCTGCGTTGGACAAGGGATTGCGATTTAATGATCCTGGGTTCTACCTGCCCAACCATCCACTTCATATATTTGCTTAAGCTAGGTGGTTTTTACTAGACTAGGTGTGTAATCGTTAATCAAGAAGAGAAGAATAGACTCATGATCGTAATTGAGCGCTTTGAAACATTGTAAGATCCAGGTTAAAACGTAAGCAAGAACAGCTGAGGAGGTACTTCCTACATTTGAACTGATCATTTAGTACCGTGACGAATGCACAGAATGGCCCAATAATGAACCTTTGCCCTTCCCGAATCTATATGTCCTCGCTCCACCCTGCGGACTCAAACCCCCGCCTACAGCGCCTGCGCAAGCCCCTCAAAAAGCTCCGCCAGCCCAATCGCTCCAGGGTCCGGGACTCGGTCGTAAGCGCTCGCCTCCACATACACACTCCTCCCCAGCTTCGCTTGCATACCCATTGTCCTATTGGCGCCCAACCTCGCTGCCGCCGCCGCGTCTCCCACGCTCAACGTCTTTGCCAACGTCTCAACAAACGGCGTCAGCGCATCCATTAGCGTGCGATCACCAGGGCGAGCGGGAGTGACGGATTGCAGCGTCTTGAGCGCCGCCGTGGCAGCGGAAGACCAGACACGGGCGTCGAAGGGTGGAGGGGCGCAGGAGGTGGAAATCGAGCGGAGGGATGCTGCCAACGAGTTGACGTAGATGGCGGTAATGGCGCCGCTGGTACCATCCATGGTGTTTTCCACAACCGAGGCGATGCGGACAAGGTCCGTGAGGGGATCGGTGGCGGTGGGAGGAGTATTGGCGATGTAGCTGGATACTGCTTCTGCGCCGCGTCGGAGTGTCGTTCCACAGTCGCCATCGCCAACTTGTGTATCATATTCGGTGATTGTTGGTTCCGCAGCGATTACCTTAGAGCAAGCATTCCGGAGAGCCTTGTGAAAGAGTTCGACGTACTCTGCAGCGCAGTAGGTCAGTTATTGATAGATTTTCTATGGAGCAGGTCGTATGTACCAGGCCTTTTCCAGATCTCGCATGAACTGAACTCAGAAGACACTCCATCTGCTCGTGGAGCCTTGGCAATGATTCTGTTTTCTCTGGAGAGTGCATGTTTAGAACGGTTCGTCGGTGGCAAACTGGCGGGTGACCATCCTGCACATTCAACCTCAACGTCCAGGAAGTCGAGCATCTGCTGGCTGGCGCGGAGTAAGGTAATGGAAAAGCCTGGACCATTGAGGGAGGTCATATATGTTCCCACATATGAGCGCACGGGTGCAATCCCATAGCTTGATCCTGGACAGGACGAAGGATCAGTCACAACGTTCAATTGTTACCGTGGATTTGCTGTTCTTACCAAGTTGCCTATAGACCTCCGCAGCGACAGCTCCAAGCTCCAAGACACTTGTCCCTCCCAGGTTGTTTATCATCAGGGCTACTCCATCACCCTCGGTCGCAGAGAAATCCACATATGCTCGATCAGTGTCTGTGAGATCAAGTAACATCTTCAACATATCTCCGACGAGTATGTACAGATCGGGCAAAGGCGATATCTTCCGAAGGCCAGGCTCGTTGTGTATGCCCATTCCAAGCTCGAGCTCATCCTCCTCTAGGAAATCTGCGGCATGTTTCCTTCTCCCAGGTACATGCACTCGGTCTAGAGAAGCGGCGGCAGTGACAAGGTTGTCCGCGACCTCTTGTGCCAGCTTACGCACAGCTTCGAGCGATGGCGCCCTGGAAGAAGCGGCGTACGCGGAAGTTATTTTATGAACGAGAATCGTTCCAGCCAAACCTCTTCGCCCAACCTTCCCGCCTTTTGCTCTCCCGACGCTGACATCGTCCGCTACCACGATGAATTCGGTTGGCACGCCGGCCGCGCTTGCTTTGCTGGCTGCCAAAGAGTAATTGAATACGTCACCGGTATAGTTCTTGACAATCAATAGGGTTCCAGGCTTGCCTCCCACGTGATCGATTGTATTGTAGATCTGGGAGACGGAGGGAGACGCGAAGATGGAGCCGGAAACGGCGGCGCTAAGCATGTTGCGGCCGACATAGGCAGCATGCGCAGGTTCGTGGCCTGCTCCGCCGCCAGAGATGATGGAGACGTTTGTTGAACTGTCATGTGCGGTAGTGACGATAGCTAATGGCCGAAGACTCCATGATCAGCATGTTGAAAATACAAGAAGCCGTTGCTCGGGCGTTACGCACCTTTCTCTGCATGTAGATACTGCAAAGTCGGATTCGCATATGTTAGTGCTTCCAAGGCATCATTAACGAGCTTTTCGGGGTCATTAATGAAGTGTTTGAAAGACATAATTGTTTGAAACGCTATGGCTGAGGACGGAGATTTACCCAACTTGATGTTCACTACGAACCTACCTACTGTAGTTATACTTTATGTTTTTGCTCCGCGTAGATGCGAGCATTTTGTACTCCTCTAGACGGAAATCATTCTGTAATGCGCCGAACGCCCACTGTTATGCGGAGCGTGAGCAAATGGTAGAGGTTGGAGCTGCCACTTGCGGCTATTGAACAGATGAATGTGCGAGTGGTCCGGTAGCGTCCGTCAAGTGCATAGCCCTGGAAGGGTTCCATTCTAGGACAATGGCCTCCCTCAGTGCTTAGACTTTCCGTTTTGAGATACGGGTGAGGTGCCGTTCAAGGCTGGGAGTGCGGGGAATCTGCATGGAGATGCGGGCAAAACTCCATGTCAAGACGAAACTGGCCACACCACAATATGCGGAACCAAAAGAAAACCGATTCACCACCGCTCCAAAGTCAGCAGCGTTGACTAGATTTACCCAGAGCCACGCTGGCTGTGGTGAACGATCAACTAGCTAGGTAAATAAATCGATGGATTATCTGCACGCCTCCTGTCTTCGTCCAATGCGGACGAAGCCGCTTTACGAAGTAGGCAGAAATGCTGCGCCTTAGCGCCTCAGCCCCTTCTGGACACCACCTGCTTAGCCTTGCACAGTTCTGTCTCTCGCCTCGTACTCCAAATCCTTTTGCCACATCCTCCATCTATTTATCCTTCTTCTGGAGCCATCTCAGCTCTCATAGCTAACGATTTGTTAATAGATTTCTTGTCTTCAGCTCATTCCCGAAGACTCGGACCTATTACATGTTATTGTACTGTTCTCCTTCCTGTGAGCTTCGTTTTCGACATTACCGATAGTGGAATTATCCTCCAATCCACATTACAATCCCCATCGCAATGGCCAGTGCTTTTGAGATTATCAGCCTCGCTGATATCGTCTTCGGCTTGAGCTGCAAGATATATTTATTTTTCAAATCTATCCGAGGAGCGCCTCAAGAGGTGCAGGACTTTCTCTCAGAGCTCGACTCCGTACGCAAAGTATTCCTAAACATTGGAGTCTCTGTGTCAAAACTCCAGGCGGCGATCTTAGTCAACGGAAACGACGTTGGCCCCGACAGCGTCTTGGTAACACTCAAAGGTTGCGAATCAGAGTTTAATACAATATGGCGAACAATCAGGCCGTTTCAAACCGAATCGCATCTGCAGTGGCATGAAACACTGAAGAATCTTAGCAAGAGCATGTCGTGGGTCTTGTCTGTTGACGAAATCGAAAAATCAACAAGGAGATTGGACAGGATGAAGCAGAACTTAGTACTTGCTATGCTTGCTTGTGGAATGTGAGTATTAGTGAGTGAATCCTTGATCTGTATCACAGAGTGACAGAAGTTACAGAGACATGGATGCCACGATTCTGGAAGGCTTGTCAACTATTCGAAAGTGTATAGATGAACAGAACAGGCTGACCGAATCTCGTATGCGAGAACTCAAGAACACCTTACTAGTCGGCATGCGGCAGTTCGAGTACAACGCCTTGGCTAGGGTCAATGACCTTTTGTCAATAGTAGCCGGGCAACAGGCTGAGAACCAGCGTCGCATTGGTGATCTTTCCGATTTTGTACCAAATGATTTGGTGCGGCCGTCATGGAATACCAATAACCAGACTAGACAGGGATTACGGGAGCTACAAGGCAGCACCAGTCAAGGCAGCGGCGTGATAAGGTCAATCCAAAGGTCGAGGAAGAAGCATCGAGAGATTCCTCTCTAGTACATGGAACCGATTATCCCGTTCCACAAAAGACGGTACTGGAGCGGCAAGAGAGGTGTTCGGGAAATGCAGAAGGCTTCGATAGCCAAGCCCTCGAGCGAATACTTACACAGCCGATGGAAATCCTTGCGAAGACAATGGAAACAACAAAGACGCAGGAACCAGTCGATCTCTGGGTATCTGTCAGCGACCTTCCGGACAGACTTGAGCTGGCATCCAAGAAGCAGAAATCCCACCAAGTAAACGCATTTACGCGGATGATAATTCCTCGTCTAGATGTTTTTAGGCGCTTGCTAGACACCACCCTACAAACCAACGCATATTCTTCAGTGGTCTATGGAAGCCTTCGTTTCATTCTGCAGGTGCGGTGTCCCTTTCTGCTTAATGAATATAGCGCTAATAAGTTGAAGCAAGCATTTATGCGAGCCGCTGAACTAGAAAGCATCGTGGAAGCCATTTCTGAGATGGCAGACGCAGCTGAAGCATGCCAACGAGAATACGACCTCTATCCCGTCGCCGAAGTACAAGAGCTAGTAACCAGCCTATACGGCGAGATGATCCCGTTTCTGGAGCAGATCATTAAGCTACATGGCACCGCAAGATCTCGATTTTTTCGAGGGGACGGAGGCCGTCATGAAATACAGGATAGTACCGTGAGGGTGAGAAAGATCTCACAGAAGATCATCAGAGAAGTAGAATATCTGCATAGGAGAGAAATGCGGGAAGCGCATCTGCGACTGCAGGACGTGGAGAGGAAGCAAATCACAGTGCTGCAGGTTATGGAAGCACAGCAGAAAATCCTCATCTCGCTGCAGGAGGAGCAGAAGATCATGGCGGTCATCAGTGATCAGCAGAAGATTTTGCAGATGCTGCAGCAGCTACAGATGAGGTTTCCGCAGTCGACGAAGGATTCTGGTGCTGATGCTGTGGTAGTATGAATTCGAGCAAGCTGAGGTGCAGAGAACACATGAGGAAGCAACATAGGAGTCAGGTCTACGTATCTACCACAAATGTAGTAGTAGTGTTTTCACGGCAATTCCAGCTATTGTTGGCTGGGTCCATTTCTGGCTCCCTTACTTGATCCCGTTCTAGGCCCGTTCTGTTTTTTGCTTTCAATGAATCTCTAGACGTCTCTTAACGCTACGAATTCTTCGTTCTCTTGAAACCCTTCTTCGCCTACTTATATTGTACAATTACACATCCGTTTGAGCTTTCTCTTCTTTTGCCTTCCTATACAGTCCTCTAGTTAACATCATAAATATCAACTCAGTATATGCTATAGCCACTGTCAGCAGAGGGAGCTTGAGAAGCTTTCCAGGTTCCCTTTGGCATGAGGGGGCCACGGCCCATGGCGATCCCTCATCCAGATTTCTAGCCCATGCTCACCCCTGCTCGCCCATGCTCACCCCTGCTCATCCACAACTCACCTCGGCTCGCGCGAGCTTAGGGCGGCGACACTCACCCTCTAGAACTGGAAAGGAAACTTGCTGAGCCTCGTAGATAACCCATCGGTAGGTAGATTGGGTAAGCTATACGGCTATCATGTACCTAGCCTAGATGAGGTATCGATACCTCGCGTTTCCTTTTCTGGCCGCCGAGTCTATTCTTGTGCGGAAAGAGGTCACCGTCCTGCTGGTGGAATCCTCTCCACAAGCGAATCGCGAGAGCGCATTCGGCTGTATCATGACTTACATAATATATCGACATGTTGTATATTGAACTTCTCAGAGTCTTCGTTCTCACATCATGCCAAACGAGTCTCTCCATCTCTGCATCTCGTCTTCTCCCCATATACCAACCCTTCTTTACTTGTCTCATCTCGTCAATTCCAGCCATGGATCTCGAGAAGCCTCGCCCCAATTGACTAAGATGCTGGCGATGTAATGCACAGTTAGGCCATCAAGCCAACCAACACGACCACAAACTGGGCAAACTGGAGTCTTTCAGGCGGTGTCTCTGGGAATGTTTTCTGGTCTTTGTACCCCGTGTGGTGCGTTCTGCTGGTCAGCTTTGAGAATCAAGCCGCCGGCAACATCTTGGGTGTTCCACAATTCCGCAAGGACCTTGGCTCTGTCTACGACGGAGACTATGCTCTGGACACGAACTAGCAATCCGCTTCCAACAACGCTTCTGTCGCGTCGCAGGTTCCGGTTATCTTCCAAGACTTCAGGCGGAAGGAGAGAGTGCAAACGAGACAAGAAGGCCCTTCGCAGTCTCCAAAAGTTAGATTGGGATCAAAAAGCGGTAACCAGAAGGCCTGCTCTGACGGTTCATTGTGACAAAGTAGAGAAATATTACGATTGGCACCGAGGAGAGAAAATATGCGCGTCTAGAAGCGGTTTCGACACTGCCCTCGCGTACTTCCTTTCGGATGGAATGAGTCCTGTAGGAAGCTCAAATAGACCTGTCATCTTCGCTGCAACATTTTGTTTCTCTTCACTCGATACGATGCCAAACAGTTCATCGGGAAAGACCGAGATTCCGGCATGAAGTCAAGTTCCTTAATGATTGGAGTAAGTGTCCTTCTCAGCTTACTCCAGTCATCACTATAGCAAGGCGTGTTACCGGCTAATAGAACTGTAGGTGCCGCATATGTAGTGACGTATCTGGCTTCTGAAATCTGGGTTCTGAGATCTATCATCGGGAGGGACAGTCCGTAAGCCCACCAATGATCAACGGCGCGACGGTTCTGACTAAGCAGAAACTAGCGGGCAACCTTGGAACATTCCTATGATTTTGAGCGCCGCAGTTGCTCAAGACTTTACCGACTATCTGAGAATTACTACTTTATCTTCAAAGCTGCAAAGCTAACGCAGGTAAGCGTAGATAGAGCGCGAACGGTGTTTCGATATCCGCCCGGCATCGATCAGCCAGCATTTTCTATCCGCTCGCGTGTCCTTCTGTGGCTTCACACGCTCGTCCTTGGCCTTCACAGGAGTCGATGGTGAAGCGCTTTTACTTGCTTGTTCGTGACTTTGTGCGCGCTCTTTGGCCGAAGCGCGGCATCCGTGGTTGTGATGGCAGAACTTCCCACGACGAATTTTTATCGCAACGAGTAATATTTACCCAGCGATTAAAGTTAAAAAAGTACGCCAGTAGACATTCGGACAGAACGCTAATAGCTGGTAGGAGAATGGGACAGATCGGAAAAGTTTCTAGCGTGATCTTGTACCAGCTCTGAAGTCCATAAGATTCCCGCCATTCACTGCGCCTTGAGGTTCCGTCACAGTCTTCCTTCACTGTCGTTTACTATACTCCCAGTCTTCTAAGCAGTGCAGGCAGTCTAACAATCTTCTTCCTCGCAAACACTATGGCTTCCGCAAATACCCCGTCTTTCCATCGTTGGAACAAACTGTCCATCGAGCTTGTCCTCAAGATCGTTGAGGCGTCCATCGACTCTACCGGCCCCAAAAGCATCATCGGCCTCCTCACAGCCGACAAACACGCACACTCCACCATCAAGAACCACGAATGCTCGATCGTCAAAGCCGTGGCCGCTCGAGACCAGCAAAAAGCCCTCACCGACTTTCCGGGCATCGCGCCAGATGCCTCAGGATTCACGTTGAGATGGCTCAACACCATTACAGCACGGTACCAAGTTGCCGAGCGGCTCACTGAGGTGCTCATGAAGGGGTCATGGGACGCCGACTCTGTCTCGCCAGCTTTCCTCCCCAACATCCGGAAGTTTCTGGAATGCGGCTTCTTGCTGCTGTACCGTCTACACGATCTCGGTAAGCCCCTCTCTGATCGGTTTTCGCCTTCCCGCACACGCTGCGTCAATCACTCGAAGTCCTGTAGTCGCTGACATGCTTGTAGTGAAGAGCGATGGCGACAAGTGCGCCTTTATTGATCAGCTGCCGTCATCATCACTGGCGCCCATCATCATCGTACTCTTCGAGGCGCGTTGGGCGCGGGACGCCATCACTCCTGCGTTCGGTAAGATGCCAGACATCCTTGTCAACGTCGTCGACGACCGCGACACTCAGTGGTAAGAGAGCAAAGTATTCGGCTCGTGGCTTGTCCTAGCTAACGCTCTTTAGCCAATTTCACGGGGCATTTGCGCTCAAGCATGGCTGTCGTTGGGATCAGGTGCTGTGGATCATAATGAAGACGGTAGACATGGGGCTTTGGAAGATGAAGCCGGGTGATTTCGACAGATTGATTGCTGGCACGCCAGTGGAGCTGTTCAAGAATTCATAGTCCTGTAGTGAAGATCCTTTCGTTCGCACAAGCTGATACGTGTCAACATGTACTGAGTGACTAAGTGGGATTTGTTCGCTGTGCGGCTGAAATCGAGAACCTTTGCCACAGGTACAAGGATTCTTGAACTGAGGAACAGTATTTTTCGTTCTCTTCGCCATTCTCTCGGCCAGAGTCTTGACCTCAGATCTCGCGTAAGTAGTGCTGTACTCAACCCTATGGCTGGATGTTCGGTTCCCATCCGCTAACTTGCCCAGGCACCGTGAAACTGCTGCCTGTTTTCCGGATATCGGTACAGGAGGTATGAAGATATGCTTTCAGCTAAAGATCACGCCATCAGGTTGGCGGCGGCTGAATTCCTTCGACGCACCACAGGAGACATGGCTAGCGAGGTATTGTCGGTGATGTAGAGATTTCGCGCGTCCCTTGTGGGTTCAGCTTCCTCCCTCGCGAATCTAGCCTCCTCCCTCTCGCATGCAGCACCTTCGGTCTTGCGCCGTGCAAGCTCTGCCTCCAGAACCATAATCTCCTGTCCGCATCTACATCATGCATGTCCGTGTCGCGGGGTGTCGAATGGCTCCTGGATCGCCTCGCTCATTCATGAGGTTCGACAAAATGAACACGGCGAAGAGCGAATCGAGGAAGACGAGTTTCTATTCTTCCAACCTGAGTGTCGAGGGTTGATCGCACTTCATTAGAGATCTCCGGCGCGTTGCTCAATTGGGTTTGATTGGCCTTCATAGCTGCACGTCCGGCGACGCTCACGTCCAGTGACACGTGAATAGAAAAGAAGCTCTCGTCAAGATGAATCTCTAGTTCTTCGAGCTTCGAGCACATAAGAGCTCCCTCCCGTAGGTTCAATCTTGATTTCTAACATCCAGAACAGCAACTTTTCTTCTTGACCCGTTAGCACAAATGATTCAAGTCTTCAAGCCCTCTTTGAATAATTTTCAATCCTCCTCCCTGCATTCCAGAGATCCATACATGAATCATCTTCGATACCATACCCGTCAAAATAGGAGCTAAAATGCAGCTCCTCAAAACCCTCTTCTTTCTTCTCGCCGCCGCCTAAGGGACGTTGGAGAGGAGGAAGGCGCCGCTGCCGTTAACGGTGCGGATCTGGGCATGACAATGACGCAAGCAGCGCGCACGTTGAGAGCTCGAACAATGTCTCCATCGGTCTAATTGGTACTCCCATTGCGCTCAACGTTATCAGTAGGAATCCGGCCATGATGGTGTCGATGGCTTCTGTCTTCGAGACAATTACTGTTACGGATTCAATGTCTTGTGGTTGATAGTGACAGAGCGTAGGTCGCTACAACAATCGTGTAGTTGGTTTGGCGGGCTCTTTGGTTGCGAGGTTTGCTGGGGCTGCGAGCGTTACTGGCTTTTCTTTTTTTCAAGCGATAGGTGACTGAGGAAATTTCGGTTTGACATTGCAGATTCTTGACTTCAATCTTTGAGTAAAACCTAGTCTCCCATAAACAATGAGAAGCGGCCAAATAATTCCGGCAGCGGGGAAACGCCAGAGCTATGCAAGCTAAGAAAAAGACCCGATTCCCGCCCTGTATTTGCCTGGACAACATGTACACCCATGAAATCTCTGATGAACTTCAGCTTAGCACCAACTTGAGATGCCGTCAAACTCGTTCTTTGCAAGTTTTGCTTCCTGTGAAGCGCCTAGGCAAGTCTATCAATTGATCATCTCCCATAAGAACAACCACCCCGCCAGGAGGAGCTGTAGAATATGTGGCTGCCATCTGTTAGCGATCTCTGCTAAAGTAGGCTGTGAAAGTCGGGGGGCCAACCATGCTCCTGTTCAGCGTCCCAGCAGCCTGGCCAGGTATCGTTGCGACGGTCGTACTGGCCGCGATGATGAATCCTTGGGTGCTCGTAGGGAGCACACTCGTCGTGCTTGCGATCACAAACCCAGATGTGGATGTAGCAAAGGGGTTGACAGTCGAAGTAGTAGGCACAGTTACAGGGCCGATTGTCCCAGTACACACAGCTCCACTCGGGCAGCACGCAACCTGCCCGGCTTGGTCGACGGCACAGCCAGTTCCGGGCCGGCAGCAGAGACCAGCGCCGGCGGCACCATAGAGGACGCAGTTCGTGTAGCCAGAAGCGCAGCCAGACTGACGTTTCAGTAGCTCATGGGCGAGTGAAGGTTCGCTCGATTCGCTCGTGTTGAAGGACGCTTCGAGGATGGGTGTGAAGAAGGATGAGAGTGAGGTTGGCGGTGACGCTGCTGCTAGTGCAAGGAGCAGTAGGAGGGTGGAGAGGATGGCATGATGCATTGCTTCGTTGTGCCGAGTGAGACAGGCAGTGGAATGCGCCTTGCGGCGGACGCGTGGGCGGTCAACAGTCGATGAGGCGGTTCGTAGGCGGCCAAGAGCGGTTTAGTGGACTGGAAAGTGGTGTCAGCGGAATTGCAGCGTTCAGAGCATCAGGTGAGTAAACAAGGCATAGTACCTTCGAAGATGTGAGTGTTTCAAATTGGATAGACGAGCGATTGAAGTGCAGCGTTTCTCGAGGCTCAATGGCAGCGTCAGCTCCATGCAGTTCGCAGCGCCAGCGCACCAGGGTCCTGCCGTCCCATGCGTCGGCCATGGCAACCGGAAGTTTTGAGCGCCTAGAAGCTACCTTGGTTAAACCCCCTTCAACCCACCGCAAAATTGCACTTTCACACTCAATTGTCATCTCCTCCTCAGCTGCTGATAGGGATGTCCAACAATAAGGTGTGCTGAATGCATTGCGGCCCCGAGTCCGCGTTAAAGATCACGCTGCTTTCAAAACGTACAAAAAAGCCTCGCGAGCCTGGGTATCTTCGAAGAAAGAACGCCGTATCCCAAAAAGAAGACCTCAAACGCCATTCAAAGTTGCAAAGTCCTTCGTCTCAGACCCCTTCGAATCCATAATCGCATCAACAGTCATCATCAAACTAAAAATGTGGGTATCTCACTCAACGACATAGACTTCCGCGTGTCGTCGTTCTTCTGCTGCGCGAGTTCAGCCTTCCGCTTCGCCATGCGCTGCGCGATACCAGAAGGAAGAGTATGCCGCTTGGGAAGCACAAAGGCATCTAACCCATCGTTGACCTTGCTCGTACTCGATTGACCAGCTGACTGCCCGGCCGTTGACAGAGAGCGTCTGCTTAAGGATGTTGGAACAGTGCTTTCTCCAGTAACGTCAGCCTTCAATTTGAAACGATTGTCGCCAAGTGCTGAACCCGTTTTGTCCGGCGGTCGCTTTGCCTGTGCACTACGCATGGCGTCCTTATTTGCACCTGCCAGAGTGGCTTGCCCTACTGAACTTGCATGACTTGTGCGCAGACGAGACGGAGCATCTAGATCGTCCTCATCCGCTTCCGAAGGTACTGGCGAAATCATTCTGGGTTTTGCAACAGGGTCGTCGTGAGGCTTGCGCTGTACCGGCTCCTGATCTCGCTGTTGACGACTGGCCCGTCGAGGCGAGGGCGGCCGTGTCTTCGAGTACCCCGCAGCTGCTCTCGTATTTGATTTGGAACCCGTCAAGCTTGCCAGAGAAGCTACTGTATCACTTTGCCCCATCATGAGGCCCGCCAGGCACGGATCGCGCATGTACGGCGCATCATCTTCGTCTTCAGAATTCCGCCCAGTCACTCCTCGAACAGCAGCCCTTTGCGCGCTCAGCCGCGCCTCAGCTTCAGCGCGCCGCTTGGCCTCCCCACCTAGCGGTGTTCTCCCATCCACAGGTCGTGAGAGGTTGCTAATCGCAGTCGCGTTCTGCGCCTTGGCCAGGTCTTTCAAGCGCTTGTATTCCGCGTGGTGGAGGTGTTGCGTGAAGAGCTTTGCCGTCTCGAGGAACTCATCCTCCACCATTATCCAGATGTCATCTGCGGCCAGTCCTTCTCTCATGAACTCTTCGCGCGGCGGTGATGGAGGAGGCGAGCTGGAGGGCGTTCTATCTGCGCAAATCAGCTATGTACGTGCACCGGAGCCCAATCGGTGTGAAATCGCATACTGGCATTAACCCTCCTCTTGCGCTGCGGTGTTGAAACGCCCGTGGTGTTGTCCTCGTCAAGGTCGGGAGTCTGCAATCGTTGTCTCTTGGTGAGCTTTAGGGTCTTCTTCTCGGCCGCGGATGCGCTGCCGTCTTTGAGCCATGGCAGCTGTCTGGGCATTGCTATCGATATACCTAGGAGTGGTGAGAAGGTGGGAGGGAGCGCGCGTCAGAACGTGAGAGCGTGACGGCACGGCTTAATTGAAAGAGCCCGCGATAAGGCGATAAGGCGATAAGGCTCGCTTATCGGGACGACCGAGGGCTCTTCAAAAAGCCCATTGCCCATCAATGCAGTGAAGGCTATACTGCTGAATTCCTTGTGCTCCGGGTCACATGCAATCGGTCTCGCTGTTCCATAGTCGACATAATTATGAGTCTAGCTCAATCGCGACTCTGATTGAATGAGCCATCAGCCAAGATGCGATGACATGCTTGTCAAATGGCCATTGGCCCACGTGATGCCTTAGGCTGAACTGGAAGTGGACACTTCCTCAACTGCGCGCCCTTCAGGCTGCACCCATTCTAGATATGTCGACCGAATTCTTGCGCTTTCCTTAAAGCAGGTGTGCCAGGCCGCAATTGCTTCAAGATACTTATGGGTAGCTCTGCGGCAATGGTTCGAGTCAGCAGACCCGTCTCTCCTGGCTGAGTGATCCGACCTCCTGCCTGCAGCTACCCGGACATGTCATTCTTTCGCTCCGGTAACGACTTCTCTTCAGATGGAGAGACCAGTTCGAAACCCACTTCAGAAGACCGCAGTGTACACGACAATGGCCTCCTGGAGAAGATTACGACACTGTCCTCAGACGCTAACGATGAGAAACTGGCTCTTAGTTTAGCGGACGTTGTAGTCTCCGATGACCGAGAAGTCCACAAAGATGTGATTCTCCACACATTGCTCGAAGACAAATGCCTTGCTGAAGCTCTTGAGGAGCTCGGAAGGATGCAGCAGTCCGCTGGAAAGGTCAGTTTACGAACGACAGTTCCTTCCTGAGTTCATCCAAGACTATCATTTCAATATCATCTACGGCTAATGCGCGTCATTCTTTTCCGGCTACTGCATTGTTATATACACCCACACGCTCTAAAGGGCTTCATGCTACTGGTCGGAGCGTTGGGTTTCTGTGATAGGGTGTTTGATGCTTATCGAGTACCAACTCACGTTCACACCAAAGATCGTGATGTCTGTCGCTTCATTTCCGTGTGCCTGTATTCGGGTGCCGAAAGCCTCATTCTCGTCTGCTTGTTACTTTGTACTACCTCGGGATAGCTGTCAATATCTCTCATCCATCTCACAGGGAACGCTTGGGGCAAAAACATTACAATATTATACGCGAATATTCTACATGGACTCTCAATAGACTATCGCTGATAGTTGAGTGTAGAAACCGTTTTCGTATACCAAGGAACATCCCGACGTACAGGCACTGGCTAGGGCGAAATACCAGTTCATGGCGCAGCAATTGACAGGGTACGGCGTGACGGCCGGGGATTACCATACGGATCGTCATCGTCCATTGCGCAATACCTATCGGCAAGGGCTTGACTACCTCTTGCGCACCCACCGTAACGCACCGATCACCCGCGCCAGTCTTACGGAGGTCGCCCGGGTATCAGAGAACCCCATGGCCAGCGGTGTAGCTCGTGGGTTCAAGGGTTTGTTGGAAGCTCCTCCATATGCAGTCGATAAACCTTGGGCGGTAAGTCTCAAACCTCAACTAGGAACGAAATGCCTTGCTCTTGCTCTCAAGCAACCGGGAGAAGCTAGCGCTTCCAGCGCCAGCCTACCTTCATGCCTTTAGCAGTGTCGAAGGCCTTATTGCGCTTCGGACTTTTATATCTCTCCCCTGCTGACTTGGTGACAGAATCTCTTTTCCGGAACCACGGCTCTGCCACCTCTCTTGCGGCCGCTTGTTGACCACCCAATGTTCGACACGTCGAGATATCTGCGGGACTTCCATCAAGTCGGTATGCTAGGCAAAGGTGGCTTCGGCAGAGTCTACCATGCTGTGCATCGACTAGATGGCGTCTCGTACGCAGTCAAGCAAATTCCTTTAAGCAGCTCTCGTGTCTGGAAGATTCAGCAACGGGGCCAGCCGGAGCTAAACGCACTTTTAGCTGAGTTGCGGATTCTGGCGCGTCTGGATCATCCAAATATTGTGCGGTACTACGGTGGCTGGCTTGAGTATTCGACAGTGGCACCGTTGTCTATTAATGACATCGAACGTGGCTTGCTCCAGGGTATTCCAAGCTCAGGAATCGATTCACAGGATGCTGACAGTGAGCTCCCCAATGCTGCCACCGACGCAACATGCTCTGCCCCTGATACACGGGGGAAACAAGAGGGCTGCGCCTTTGTCTCGTCGACCACTTCAAATTTCAGCACCGTACATAGCATCAGAATGGATGATCAGGACGTTGAGTCGTTGATAGGAGACCCTGGTCAGGATGTAGTGTTCGAGGAGAGCACTCGTAATTCTGAAGCAGTAGACGAACACTCGATGGCGGAAACTTCCGAGATTATCAATGGCAGCACCCCGTTCCGCAGTGCCCAGCAAAATAAGACCGCCGGTTGCCCTCGGCTGACGTTGCACATCCAAATGTCTCTCCATCCTATGACGCTCTCCGACTACGTCTCTCCGTTAAACACCACTCAGCACCATCATTGCTTCCACCTGGTCTCCTCTCTGCAAATTCTTCTGGCCATTCTCGACGGCGTGGAGTATCTACATGCTGAGGGAGTCGTACACCGGGATCTGAAGCCAAGCAACGTCTTCCTGTCCTCTTACGGAGATCGTCGTCCAGCAGGATGCGTCAGTCTATCGTCATGTCCTGCGTGTCCCAAGCGCAGTTTCGACAACAACACCGGGTTTCTGAACGTGCGGATAGGAGACTTCGGGCTCGTAACGGAGATTGCCCGTCCCCATGCCGAGCTGGTTGAACCGTATCAGCCTGTCGGGACAGAGTTCTATAGGCCACCGGTATGCTCTGGGCTTGCTAATGAGAAATTGGACGTGTATGCACTCGGTGTGATTGCTATCGAGCTTTTGTGGAGGTTCGAGACGAGTAAGTTCATCTCTCTTAGGTCTCGTTGTCGCCACCGGAGTAACTGAGTACTCAACCTGGGACTGCAATCGAGCTGGCCTTCCTATCATCTCTGTGGTCCAAACTGCCTACACCAGTTCACTACCATTTCTGGCATCGAACTTTCGGCTGAGCTGCTTGAGTGCGGCTTGCATGTTCAAAGATTCCTTAGGCGTATGATGTATGAAAGCATTTAACTGCTGAACGGTTGCAAGTCTGGCTCGTTTGCAGCCCATTTCTAATATGATTATGCATCACACCGGTATTGACTGTTTTTGATAGGAATGGAGCGATACACGGTCCTGCAAGAGCTAAGAAACGGACGCCTGCCAGAAGGATTTGCGTCTAAATCCGGCCCTGTTGAAGCAACAATAGCAGAATGCATCAAGGGAATGCTCTGCACCAACGAGGCACAACGGCTCTCATGCAGAGAGGTGCGGCAGATATTGAAGGACGTACTTGTACCTAGTTCTGAGAAACTGTGGAGCTCTTGAGTTACGTTCGATGCCCTCGCCAGCTACTTGATACAGGGCTGCCAAGGCTCCTGGCACAGCTTTCGTCATGCAACTGACTAGACGCCAACTGCACGCCGTAAGTTGTCCAGACTTTCATCGCCCATCAACCAAGTGTCATGACGCGGACCAAAGGCGAGAGCTTTGTGGTGGGTGAGTGTCAAGCTGGTTGGAGCGTTAACCTCTCCTTGGCAATTTGCTGCTGGAAAAGCCTGCACCAAACTATCACTGGACGATTCACTTGCACCATAGCTTTGAGGTCAACACATTCACTAACAGGATATGCAACGTCGAGCAGTTCAGTTACCATTCTTACCGGGCTTAACGTTCACCTTGTGGAAACCGACGTCTCCGCTGGCGCTGCGCAACTAAGCCCACCCGCACACGCAGTACTTCGAGAAACGCATTTATCGGCTCAGAGCATTCTGGAAATTCTGATAGCCCTGTGATCAAACCCTTGGCGATGAGGTTGGTTCTTGAGACTGGAATGGGCGCTAAGGCGCGGCCACCATCGCTCGTTGACCAGCTTTCTCTTCCTCCCAACCTCCTGGTGCTCGGCACCGTGCCTTTCTCTCACAATGATGTATGACTAGCCCTACAGAAACTATCAATTCGAAGAAGGTAAGCCAATGGAATATGTTCACTGCAGTATTTTGGAGCTCGCCAGCCGTATTCCCACTCATTCCTATTCCACAGCATATAGAAATATGCTCTTGTCATCATTCACCCCGGTGTATATCTATTTAGCGCCAAACCCCGCCGTCTTCGCTGCCTCATGTATGTAGTCACTACAGACTCCACTCTGGTCCGTCCATTTCCTCGCTTCCTGACAGATGCCCGCATCGCCTGTCGGCTGTAGAAAAGAAGCGCATCCGTCTCATCCATCGCGGAGAACATGGCATACTACGCCGCAGCGTTATTAGCGCTTGTGGTGGCTGCAAACGGTTCACCATTCCCGCAAGGAGTAACCATAGCGATCACTCCACGATCTTCCGCACCGCCAGAATGCACACCCAACTTCAGCGGGACCCTCGGTATCGCCGTCGTGACCATTTCATCTTTCGCTTCGTCGGCAGCACTAGAATTAACACCAGTATCGATACGAACACAATAACCCATCTTGCCATCTGACACCACTCCATCTGCCAGTCGAACATTTACCATCACGATCACTACCCGCCGAACCACATCGATCACAGTATCAGACACAACAGACCGAACATCCACCATGATCAACGGCTCGCTATGGCGAACTCGTGCCTCAGCTTCCGCAATCGCTCAAGTCACTGATGGACAAGACCAAGCCCAGATGGGCGCTGCACCTGTGAGCGCCGCATCCACCGCGCCAGCAACACACACAATGTTGCCCGTAAGCCAAATCGACGACGGCCAGATCCAAGCTCCCGCATCCCCCACCAACCGGCCTCGAGCGCCTGCCGTAACAGCCACCACGACCGTTTACCAGAAACGCGGTCTCAAGGCTTCCTCCAACCCCATCCACGTTGCCTGCGCCCTTAACGACACGCTTACCCTTACGCTCACGAACGGTGTACTCAAGGACCGCTTCGGCCGCACGGGCTACATCGCTTCGAACTTCCGGTTCCAGTTCGACGATCCGCCGCAGGCTAGCGCCATCTACACGGCCGGCTTCTCGGTGTGCGCGAATGAAAGCTTGGCGCTAGGCGGCTCGGCGACGTGGTGGAGGTGCAGGAGCGGGGAGTTCTATAATCTATATGACCGGTGGTGGGCGGAGCAGTGTGAAGAGGTTGGGATCCAAGTGGTGGGGTTGCGGGATTGTGCGTAAGCCTGCCGTCCTTCTCTGTTTGTATATACCTGTTGTTTCACCTTTTACAACCTATTGCGAGACGAGTAATCGGCAAAGAGGTGGAAATGGGTCAGATTCAATCATTGGCTTGAGACTACCCTTCAGACCTGGATAGAGCCTTCAGAAATAGTTTACACAATTTACGATTGGTACATGCAACCCACAACTAGAACGAGATTCCTCCACGGTGTACAGCCAGACGAACATCCATTGTACTTTCTAAAGCGCAGTGGTATTTGTTCAAACGTCATAAGATACCTGAAGCGGCGTGTACGAAGGCTTTTTACACCCCAGGGAGCAAAGCGACACTCCTCAGGCGAATAGCATCTATGTTGACGCATACCAGGCACACAACAGATCAGTCAAGCGCTTATGCAGCCCAAGAAAAGCTCCCTTGACGCCTTACCGGGTCACTGGTAACTTAGTCTTGTCCAGACAGCTGGAAGAAACGGAGATGCCAGAAAGCACATTTTATGAACACGTGGTTGCCACGTGACATGAGTTTCTGTGCCGAGGCTGGAAATCTTCCAGCGCGCCACAGCATTAGAAATCCCCGACCGGCTTCCGGCTTGCTTCGAGGTGTATCCTCAATCAAGGCAACGTAGGACTACAAGTAAAACAACGGGCCCTGTTCGAAAAAGTCGAGAAGCAGTTGTCAGAAGTCAGCCTTTCAAGCGGGCAGGCGACCCTTAGACCGCTGACACAGGCCCGGCAAAGGTGACGCCACAACGCGCGTGGCCGCGAAGCCAAGTCGATGGCCCGCAGAGATTCTGCCGCTCTGGCGCCAAGGGGCTTGCACGGGTCGCAACCGACGTGGATCGTGTGCCGCTGTCTTGACCTCGGTGAAGCCGAAGCTGCGGCGTATGTTCCCAGCTTACGCTTACCGTCTTACCGTGTCACCTTCGCGACAGGACTTCAGCTCGAACAGTTCCTGTGCTCCGAAGTGTCCTACGTGCGCGATTTGAAGCCTTGCTCACGTCATCCAGCTCCAATAGCCCTTGTTGGTGACGAGCTTCGAGGCTCTGCCCCGCCGCCAGAGCAGACCCTGGAAGACCCTACCTGATCACCATGCGGCCGCGCTTTTGAAAACAATGCTTCATTGGATACTCACCGCTCCCTGCGGCTGGATAAGGTTAGCTGAGGATCTGGGCCCTGCGCCGTTACGTCGCCGGCGGCCAAGGTCGTCTCAACGGTCTTGTCGGTCTTGGGGATAGCCTTGCAGATACGTTCCCACTTTCACTTAGCCCCGTTATCTCCAACACCTCTAGTGAAGGCTGGAGAGATCTTTTTCTCCGCCGACTACGCCTCCCACGGGCATAGCACCTGGGCGTACGGCACTGCTCCCCTCCGCCCTGGCAGACTCTTTTTTCTTTTAATCGCCGCCGCCTTGCCGAAGACCAACCCCCATCCCGTTCGCCAGCCTCTGTGGTACATGGAATACATTGTCGAGTTCTTTTGTCTGCTACTAAAAGCTATCCGATAAGCCCCCAGAAAACAGAACGTAGAAAGTGAAAGCATTGCAACATCCTAACCAATTCTCACCATGGCCTCAACAGGCGTCGATTTCGCCCGCGATGGCTATGCGCAAACGGACACGCCGCCGCGCCTGGTGGACGAAGAGAAAGAGTCGTATATGGAGCGCCGCCGATCAACCGGCTCGTTCATGAAGGGCGACGCGACGCACCGGAAACTCAAACCGCGACATATTCAGCTGATTGGTATTGGTGGTACAATTGGCACGGCGCTGTATGTGCAGATTGGACGTGGATTGCTCAATGGAGGTCCTGCGAGTTTGTTCTTGGCCTTTACCATCTGGTAAGTCTCCAACCCGCCTAACTCTCGAAGCGTATCAGACGAGTCGCGCGGACGTTGTGGTGGAGTGTCGTCCTCGGATACGGACAAGAGTTGGCGGCCGCGAATGGTGACGAGAACCCCTTGCTTATCAAGTGGTGCGTCGCAGGTGCTCGGTCATCTTAGCGGTAACAGTTAGTACGAGCCTCCTCTCTTCTGTTCTGTCTGCTTGCAGTTACTTCAATACCACTATCTTCTTCCTTTCGAATTTTTTTCTCGCCGTGTCATCGTTTGCGTGCTCTTTAATTCTCTCTGCGCGCCGAGCAGCCCAAAGCAACATCCACGCCGAAGCATTTCAAGACGGCCAAAACACCTATCCGAGCTGGCCATGGCGCCCATCTTCTTGATCGGACCGTTTGATTAGCCGAGCGCGCCTTATGTTGCTCCATGATCGTATGACTGACACAGCGTTTACGCGCTTCAGGTATGGCTGAGATGGTTACTTATTTACCCATCTCGTCGCCATTCATCCGTTTCGCTGGTCGCTATGTCGACGATGCATTCGGCGTAGCTGCTGGATGGAACTTCTTCGTTTTCGAAGCGGCACTAGTCCCTTTCGAAATCGTCGCATGTAACGTCATCATCCACTACTGGAGCGACGTCGTTCCAGCGGGTGGTATCATCGCTATCGTCCTAGTGCTATACGCGTGAGTATCCGTTGTTCGCGTCGGGAGAGCGCGTTAGAGTGTGAACTAACCGCGATCAGTCTCATCAACGTCATGGCAGTTCAGTGGTACGGAGAGACTGAATTCTGGGCCGCGCTCGGCAAAGTCCTCTTGATTATCGGCCTCATCATATTCACCTTCATTGCCATGTTGGGCGGCAATCCATTAGGCGATCGATACGGCTTCCGATACTGGAAAAACCCAGGTTCCTTCGCTGAGCTCTACTACACCGGCGACCTCGGCCGCTTCCTTGGTTTCCTGCAATGCCTGATCCAAGCCTCCTTTACGATCGCTGGGCCGGACTACGTCTCTATGGCGGCTGGCGAGGCAATCAATCCGCGCGTTGTCATGCCGAAGGCATACAACGCCGTCTTCTACCGTCTTACCACATTTTTCATCCTCGGCTCGCTTTGCGTAGGCATCAACGTTCCCTACAATGACCCGACCCTGATAGCCGCGTTCGAGAATGGGGAGCCCGGCGCTGCAGCCTCGCCTTACGTCGTCGCTATGAACAGACTCCAGATTAGTGTTCTGCCGCACATCGTCAACGCGCTCGTGCTTGCTTCTGCCTTCTCAGCTGGCAACAGCTACGTCTACTGCGCATCACGTTCGCTCTTCGGCCTCGCGCTCGAGGGCAAAGCGCCCAAATTCTTCACGCGCTGCACTCGGAACGGCGTCCCAATCTACTGCGTCGCCTTCGTCCTTCTAATTGCGCTCCTATCCTTCCTCCAGCTGTCCGAGAACTCGGCCGTTGTGTTGCAGTGGTTCGTCAGCCTCGTTACCGCCAGCCAGCTGATCAATTTTACCGTCATGTGCTACACCTTCATCCGGTTCAAGAAGGCTTGCGAGGCCCAAGGCCTTGACAGGAAGACGTTGCCCTTCGTGGGCTTCTGGCAGCCCTATATTGCTTATTACGGTCTTGTCGCTTGCTTTGTCATGACTTTCGTGGGCGGCTATGGCGTCTTCCTTCCTGGTCAATGGGACGTGCCTACCTTCTTATTCTCGTAAGCATATACCTCAGCAAGGACACTGAGCTTGCACCTCTAGAGTCACAGCACTAATATTGATTTCCAGATACACTATGGTCGCTGTCTTCCCGATCCTCTTCGTCATCTGGAAGATACTCAAGAAGACCAAATTCCGGGCGCCGCACGAAGTCGATCTCTACGAGGATCTCGAGGAGATCGAGGAGTACACTAGGAACTATGTCCCGACGCCGCCAAAGTAAGCGTTTACAACCCCGTCCCCAGCTAACACTCCTTGTCCGTGCTGGTTCGCTAACAACGATGCGCCCTCAGGACGGTCGTACACAAGTATATGGACAAGCTGTGGTAGGGGTCATCCTACTGCGTGCGCCTTCCCAGCCTGTAGCGACGCAAGTTCATATCGGTTGGGTTGCACTTGGATACCGTAGTTCTAGCCGATAAGGCCATGGGCGGTGGTTTGGCGCAACGATTTATGTCCGAGTGCCATTGGAAAGGGCGGCTTTTTGGATTGGTATCACTCTCAAGGATTGCATGAGATTAAGCTATAGTTTTGGTATTAATTCATGAATGACTCTGATGCCTGACCTGTGTTTTCCCGCACCTTCACCAAAGATAGAAAACTGAAATGCCATCCTGTCCAATACCATCCGTCGGAGCTTTCGGAACATCATCCTGCAGCAAGGTCTTCTCGCTCCGTTTCCTGGCACCATCAACTAACACTTCGGCGGCGGCGCTGCCCCCCGACACTAAAACCCTCAATCCGATCCCCCTAATCCTAGAAGTATCCGAACAACCCCGTTCGGGCAATCTAAAGTCTATCGTAGAACGACTATCGGAGTCAAGTCCATCCTACCGACGCCTCTCCAGACTCTGAGGGGAAGCGTTGGGTGAGGATCTCCTGCTGAGATGAATGCGGTGGCGTGGCAGGCATGCACAAAGAGGGCCGGCTCCCCGAAATATGTAGCATGAGTGGTACACCTCGTTCCAGTTCCTCTTCCGCTAAAAAGAACTCCGAACACAGCAGTCGAGGGATTCGCTGGGACTAGATTAATCTTGTGTGCTGCTGGGAACCACACACCAACTTCCCGTCAGGTTGTTATACGGACGTGAACCTCTCCAGATTCGTTTTGAAACATGTCTACGCTTGACCAGAGGACGGACCTCGGCCCCAGCCCCGCATACCTAGCACCTGGAGTACCACGTGCGCGGGAATCCAAGGCTTGGGGAAGCATTTTCTTGCGTTATACAGGCGCTCAGTAACCGCATCTGCGATGACGTCTGCATAGATGCTATTGTACGTTCAGTCTACGAGTCAGCCCACTGGCACATTGCATCAAATCTCAACCCTAATCAAAGCAAAGGCTCGGTTGCTAGATGGATAGATAAATTTATAGATATTGATACCCATTGATATGGCCGCCTCTAGCATATGCGGCAAATGCTCACTCGCCATGACGCTAAACGGCGGTGCCGCAACAAGACCAATGCCAAAATCTCAGAGAGTCCCCAAACTCCTGAGCGCTACTTCCAAATCTATGAGCCGCCTCCGTCCGCGTCCCCGTTCGTGCCATTGGTGCCGTTCACGCCCATGCCCATGGCGGCTGCCAACCGCTCCTCTTCCTTCTTTATCCGCGCCGCTTCTGTCTCCCTCCGCAGGGCTTCCAGATTCCACGTCCCGTCGTCCTCGTCGTCGGTGTCGTCCTCGCCTTCGCTGTCTTGCCAGTCGCCCTTCTCGAAGAGCGCGCGGCCGGTAGCTTCCTTCATGCGCTTGGCTTCTTCCTCGGCTTGCTTCTTGTCTATGCGCTCTTTCTTCCACTTCGCGAAGGTCTCTTCGGTGACCGGTGTGAGGGTGCCAGTGAGTTTGTGCCGCTCTGATTCTAGCCAGTCTTCGAGCGTGAGGGTCGCAAGAGGCGATTTGTCCATGAGTGCCTTCTCGGCGGCGCGCTGCTCCTTTGTCTTGAGCACGAAGCTGTCCACACATCCGTCAGCAGATGCTCCCTCATCCATATAGACACCGCAAGCGGGAGAACTCACCCAGGCGGTAACGAATGCTTGTACATGCACTTATCGCCCCCATTCGGACACGTCCAAAACCAGCCATACTTCCCATTTTCAACCGCCTCGATGAAGTACTTGCACACCTTATCCGTCGTCGTCTTCGGATTCCCATGTTTGCTCATCACCACATTCCGCAGCTTCTCCTCGTCCCAATCCGCCATGTCGTCCTTCTTCTTCTCCTCGTCTTCCTCATCCTCCTCCCGGGTGTCCGTATACAAACTCTTCTTCTCGCCCTTGCGCTCGACCGACAAGTCATGACTGAACTTGCACCGTTTCCCCTTTTCGCAGTTCCCCTTCTTGTAGAACTGGCACACGACCGTCTTCGGGTCTACGCCAAAGGGCACCTTTTGCACCTGGATGGGCTTGAAGAGGTCGGCGGTCTCTTTGCGCGCTTGCTCTGCGGCTGCCTTTTCCTTCTCGCGCTGCTCCTTTTCGGCTTCTTTTTTCTTCTGCTCGGGCGTCTTGGCGGAAGCGGCGGCTTGTTGAATTTGCTTGATTTGTTTCTGCGCCGCGCCGCCCTTCTTGTTCTTCATGCCAAATGTCTTGTCGACAGCGGCTTTGGCCGCTTTGGGCTGGTCGCCTTTTTTGGGGGGCATGGCGGCGAGGGGGCGGTCTTGTGAAGTTTTGGGTATTGGAATGGAGGTTTTTGTAAAAGTTCGAGGGGCGGAAACGGGGGTGCTGTAGAGAGCGTCGGTGAAGTTGGAAAGGCAGTTAAGCCCTCTGAGATGAGTTTTCGAGCGGATGAGTAGTCGTAAGAGTCGTTAGGCGGAGTACCGAAATATCACACACAATGACGCCTCCGCTGTTGGAGGTTTGGTGGGGGCGGCCCTGCTACGGGAGCCGGCAGCGCCACCCGCGCAGTTCGGGAGAAGTCCCCTAAATTGCACGTACTGCTCAAGTAAAGGTGATCTCTGTCAATTGCCTACAGCTACGACACACGCACCCGTCAGCTCCAGAAGCTCCATTGAGCCTTCAACCCGAGTGTCCAAACCCCCCTCAGTCGCGTACGATAGACTCAAACCACACAATCCTCTGCAGCCCATCCCGCAGAACACGAAGAACCTCCACCTGGTAACCAACTTCCCAAACCTCCCCCTCCAAAAAGCCCCCAGCTTACCCACCCCCAGAAGCCACGCTTTCCTCCCACCCCCCAACTTCGCCATCAGCCGCCTCCGGGCCCGCCGAAACAATGATATCAGACACCCAACTCTACAGCCTCGCCATCTTCCTCGGCAGCGCCTCCATGCTCCTGATCGTGCTGTACCACTACCTCGAGGTCAACGCCAGGGACCAGACGCCGCTCTCGCAGGAGCGAAAAGCGGACAGCATACCCGCCGCTCCAACGGGTGCGGCTGTGGCTGGGGGGAAGGGGAGGAGTTGAGCGGTGCATTAAGGTCGCTGTGTGGGAGGGGACTGCGCAGCACGGGACGAGACAGGGAGCGAGTGTCATCGCGCGTGGCGCTTGTGGTGGGAGCAGAAATACCCTGGGCGGAGTAGCGCGCGATTGGGAACGGTCATCGAGGGGAGCCGCGGGGAGAGGGGCTCCAAGTTCAACCTTCTGCGTATGATGGGCGTCTCAGGCGTTGCAAAAGCTGGGATTGGGTGCTCAAGCCCGTTGACGGGGGCTTTGCCTGTAGGATCCATAGCGCTTTCGTAAGAAAAGCCATAGAAGTATGCAATAACAACGCTCCCGTTTGTGGCGCTGCAAGCCCTGGGTTGTGGCAGCTGCACACTCAACGCAGTTTCTGGCCCGGAAAGAGTACTGAAGGTGACATCGCATGGTCACAGTGAAATGCAAAGTCTGATCAAGAAGACGAACAGCAGCCTTAATACTGTCGCCTTTGTCAGAAGCCCTCTGCCTGTTGGGGCCTTTACGAAGACTATGGATGAACATAGCGATGTCAATCTCTTAAGTCGTGGCATCGTTATCTGTGCGCAGTGCTTATCGACAATGAATTAGCTGAATTAGGAGGGTTGTACCTGTGTCTTGCTATCCTAATTGCTTTGCTTGTTGCCTGATCAACGCCGGCAAATGCAAATGGTTTCTATAGAAGTAACGAAGCCGACGATACAGTCGGGGAGGCTAAGCAGGAATCTCGGAGTCTAATGCTACTAGGTCATAGGATGAGGTAAGAAAAAAGCCAGCGCCACCCACTCGTGCTCGGTCATGACAGTGGTCTCTCGTAAGCGGGGTGTCCTGAAGCTCATGCCATCGGCTACTTTTTCCGTCGGTACCGTATGGCTCTTCCACCTTGAGCGATCTGACCGTTGCCGCGGCTTCGTGACATGGTGCAGGTCGGATGGACTTCGTCGGCGTGCATCGACGCCATTGCCTGTAAATGTTAGTCAGTAGCGATGGTGTATGGATAGACGATGAATGGAACATACGAAGGAGTCAGTGTTGTGGCCGAAGTAGAGGTATACTCCATCCCTTGTTTTCTTGACGGCTAAGAGACCAATTGCGCCAACCGAGTGGCTGTTCTTCACGCTAGGATGGCCTACAAGCATTGCCAGTCAGCCGGGTGTACGATAGCAAAAGGGACCTTCAATATCGCGGCCATTCTTACCCATAAACTCCTGCTCAATCATTGCCCGCAGCGCTTCATCATCTTCCGCAGCCTCAAACATCCCTCCTTTTATTCTTTTCGTGCCCTGATACACCCGCTCAGCGCATACGGTTGCAGCCATAGTAGTCGCCATGTGCTCGCCAGTACCGCTGGTCACGACACCGACGCAAGTCTTCTGCTTGTCGCTCGGGTCCATTGGCACGACAGCAGCACCAACGCCGACAAGCGCTGCGGGACCGACTCGACCGCGATACTTCATGCCGATGCCACCGGACGAGGCACCACAAGCGATGTTGCCGTAACAGTCAATGGCAACGGCGCCGACAGTGTCGGTGATGTGGTCTTCATTCTGGCCTGGGAAGTAAGAATCAGGAGTTGTAATTTTCCTCAGTTTACTCAGTAAAGGCGAGGGCGGTAGAGGCGGCGACGCGGTCACGTGCCCCAGCGGCGTCGAAGCCCGAGGCGATGGCTGCTCCAGCAAGCTCTCGGGCGGCGTACCGGGTAGAGGTGTATGAACTGCGATTGGAGGCGGGCTAGAGGTTACGGAAGGTAGATGAAGCGTCCCGTCAGAGGCAGAAGACTCTTCCCCAGATGATCCATCGTTCCAGTCACGTCCTCTTTGCCGACGCTCGAGCCATGAGGGATCGAACGAGTCGCCCACATCACTCATCTGCACATCGCTGTCATCGAACTCTTCCGACTTGGCATCGTCAGCCATGTCTTGAGCAGAATTAAGGGTTGCCAGGGTTGGGACATGTTGTGTGCTGTTGACGAAGCAACTCCGGCTCGATTCTTGCACCGGCAGTAGGGGGCCGTTCGGGTCTATGTACTCTTGCTGGTCGGATGGGCACGACGATGCCGAATCTGGTGTCGCGCTCGCAGAACCTAATGTAGTCTTGGATGGCGACGAGTCTAGGCCACGATGTGAAGGAATAGGCGAGGATGACACAGAGCTCGCACGGGCGAAACCGTTGCCGAGGAGCATTTGCGTGTGCTCTCGGCGCATCCTGTTTCTGGTTTGCTCCTCGAATGCAGGATCAGTATCCGTACGCAAGGACACCACGAGTGCAGATTCGCCAGCGGCCTTGCGCGCTTTCCTCTCGGCGTACTTGAGGTCTGATCTCCATCGTATCCAGCGCTCGCGAGCGGCAGGAGAGACCAGAGCATCGTAAGGCATTACGGGCATGCCCTGATCGAATGCAAAATCTACCGCCCCTTGGCCAACGAGCAGATTGGGTGGAACGCGGCGAAGGGTGAGCTGCTTACTGGAATGGTCCAGAACAAGCCGAGCGAGGGAGATTGGATTCTTAATCTCTGAAAGTCATAGCATCAGTGGTATCCGACTAGAGCCTTAGAAAGATGACTTACGTGCAACGGCTCCTACTCCCCCGCTACGGCCAAGGTGATCTACAACAACAGCATCGCACTCCACCACACCATCCATTGCGAGGTTGCTACCGTATCCCGCGTTGGTAATCTCACGGTCCTCGAGAACCTTGATTGCCATCTCGCAAGCGTCAACTGCCGTTCCGCCATTGTTGAGCACGGCCATTGCAGCCTTCGCGGCGCTGCGAAAGCGTTAGTACCCGTGGTGAAGGAGATGCATCGGAGAACATGGGACCGCAAGCCGCAAAAGGGGTGCGTGAATCTGTACTCACTCGTTGCAAGCCTGGAGGTGAACACCCTCATTCTGAACGCTGTGATATCCCGCTCCTGCGTGAACGAAGATGACGGGCACGTCGCCGCCTCTGCGACCACGAGCGATCATTGTTCTGATCGTTGTTTCGTTGCGAGGCGTGAGCTCAGCTGTGCTCGAAATATCCAGAGGGCCTTCGGACTCCGGTGACCTCCAACTCAGAATCCTTCGGCGAAGGCTATGCCGTCTGCCTTCCAGCTTGACTGCTGCGGAGCACCTAAGCTCGCGCTGCAGGTATGACGATGACTAGAGATACGGCTATCCTGCTGCGGTGTGAGCGTGTCTGCTTGCTTCCGAGGGTGCGAAACTACCGACGCGACGGTATTAAGGTTGACCTGTATTGGGCAAGTGGTGGAGCGGCCCGTGGCTGTCGCTCGCACGCTGCGCGCTTGGAGCTCGAATTGAAGCGACCGTAAGACGGCGAGGTTCAGCAAAGCAGTTGACAACTTCGATTGTGACTGTGAACGGCGATGGAGGACCCAAGGTTATATCCGACCGACAGGAATACGGAACGGCGAGGCAAAGGCAGACTATGGGCGCTCATAAGTGGTAGATAGGATGCCTGGCTTCTCGGGTAGAGCTTGTTGATACGGGTAGAGGTACCACCGAGTGGGCGACTAAGGACAGTACTGCGTACAAAGATGGGTAACGAACGACAGCCTCCACCGGGGAGCTACGCGGGCACACGGGGTGAAAAGTTGGACGTGAGAATGCAGCCGAAACGCCGATGTTGAGGACAGCTGGTGGATGGAAAACTTAGGAGTCTGGCAGACATAGAGAAGCCGAAGATGAGACTGTGTTTCCACAGCAGCGGGTACTGAGAGTGCTTTCCTCCACAACAGCGGAGACTGTGCGGCCACCGCTCCACAATCATTATCTTAATCGGTGGTAGCACTTGTTTACATTGTTTTCCACAGCGCACTGTCACAGCACAGCGTACCCTGCGTGAGCGATGACGGAGAAAGAGCTGTGCGGCCCTGAGCTACCTCCTTCAAAGACTGCAGGAGGCAGGAGCGTTCAGAACCAGGCCAGATCAGAGAACTACAGCACTGGCTAGGCAACACTGTGATACTCAGCGCAAGCAGACTCACCTGCAGCGCGGACAGCTTCCAGTTGACTCCAAGAACCTTCCGGGCTTGAAAGCAACGGGGAGTGCAGGTGAGCGCCGCAAAGAGAGTCGGGATCATGAGGTTGTTGCAGGACGCTGAAGTCCCGCCGATGCCAAGCCTGGCGGAGATCTGGGCGGCGGAATATGCGGAGGTGTGGAGGGGCTCTGCAGGTGGGATCCCGTCGTTCCGACATCCCACATCAATCCGCGCCCGCATTACGCAGCTTCTCTTAGACAGCACGCGCTGAACTCCAAACGCCATTGTAAGCCGGGAGTCAAGAGTGCTTGGAAATTGAAAGCCCCTCAGAACATTCAGCCAGCATGGCTCCCCAAACGCCGGCCGTTGTCATGGACAAGTACGTCGAACCGCAGGCTGCAACAGCCCGCCCTAATGGCAATTCAAGACCTACATACTAATGCGTCCTCAGCGGTACGGGCTATTCGAAGCTAGGTACGTCTATTGCAGCTAGAAGATACCCTCTCGTTGCGCCTCAGCTCGTCCAGCTAACATCTGCGAAGGATTCGCCGGCAATGACTCTCCGTCCTTCGTCTTCCCTACCGCAATCGCGACAAAAGGCCCTGCCGGCGGTGCTGGAGGTTCCGGATCAGGTCGTCCTGCTGTCGCCAACAAGCCCTCGTTCCTCACAGGTGGAGCTGGCCCTGGCGGACATCTCTCAGGAAAGCGCGGCACAGAAGACCTGGATTTCTTCATAGGAGACGAAGCTCTAGCGGCATCGGCAGGACCAGGTACGAACAAGACGAATGGCGTCACGGGCGCAAGGTCTGACAACGGCAGGATATGGCATACACTACCCTATACGACATGGCCAAATTGAGAACTGGGTCCGCGCATCTGCAAGTGTGTCGCGAATATGCACTGATTGTTTGTATAGGATCACATGGAACGCTTCTGGTCAAACTCGATATTCAAATACTTGCGCGTAGAGCCCGAGGATCACTACTTCCTCCTTACGGAACCTGTGAGCCGTTCAGCATCTCCTCACTCAACACTATCTCTAATATAAGAATCAGCCCCTAAACCCACCAGAAAACCGCGAAAACACCGCCGAGATCATGTTCGAATCCTTCAACTGCGCCGGCCTCTACATAGCCGTGCAAGCCGTCCTCGCCCTCGCCGCCTCCTGGACGTCTTCCAAAGTACATGACCGCTCTCTCACCGGCACCGTCATCGACTCCGGAGAGGGTGTAACCCATGTCATTCCCGTCGCCGAAGGCTATGTAATCGGTTCCTCCATCAAATCCATTCCCATCGCTGGCCGCGACATAACATACTTCGTGCAATCGCTACTGCGAGACCGGGGCGAGCCGGATAGCAGCTTGAAGACCGCGGAGAGAATTAAGGAAGAGTTCTGCTACGTGTGTCCAGACATTGTAAAAGAGTTCTCCCGCTTCGACCGCGAGCCGGAACGGTTCGGCAAGCATGAGGTTACGTATCCCAACGGCAAGAAGGTCACAGTGGACGTAGGCTATGAGCGCTTCCTAGCGCCGGAGATTTTCTTCAACCCCGAGATATACTCCTCCGACTTCCTGACACCACTTCCCAACATCGTCGACACCGTCATCCAAACCTCGCCTATTGATGTACGGAGAGGGTTGTACAAGAACATCGTACTGTCAGGAGGCTCGACATTGTACAAAGATTTTGGCCGGCGGCTGCAGAGAGATATCAAACAGCTCGTGGATGCACGTATCAGAGCGTCGGAGGCAAGGAGTGGAGGTGCGAGATCAGGCGGACTGGAGGTGCAGGTCATCACACACAAGAGGCAGAGGCACGGGCCGTGGTTTGGAGGCAGCCTGCTGGGTCAGACCCCGGAGTTTAGGAGTTACTGTCATACGAAGGCGGAGTAAGTTCCTATAGATCAACGCCATTTGATAATATCTCTGACTTGCTTGTTAGGTACGACGAAATCGGACCAAGCATTGTCAGAAGGTTTGCGCTGCTCGGTGGGCCAGGAAGTACGTAGAGTAGAAGGAAATGGAGCAAGGCGTGCCTGCTGGCTAGCATGACGAGGCGCATATGGAGGTGTACTGGAGATTTCGCATTCGGCCGCACCATAGGGCCCAGGCCATGGCGTGTGCGCAACAAAACCTGCTGCGAAAAGACATTATGAAACCTGTCCGATGTGAGACACTTAGCATACAGTGCGGATCGTGAGGAGCTCTACTCAAACCCGAGCCAGCGGCAAGTTGCGGGAGAGATCCTGAACCCCGAGCAACATCCCATGGTCGATTGTGAACTCTCATGAGATACTTGCAGCCTGTAGCATTCCCGTGCAGTCCTAGCAGCTTTCCGTTTCTAAATGCGGCAATGGTGATGCTTGCATAGAACGTCGCTGTGAACCCACCACTCCCCCAGCGGCGGCTGCGACGCTGGCAACAAAGGACGGCTACGACGATGTACCGACAGGCACGACCATCAAGAGCATGGAGGCTCCACGGTCCTGACGACAGTCAAGATGACTGAAGAACCCGTCGCTGGAAAGCCTTGTGGTATTCTCAAATAACATAAGAAACACCACTGCGATGATCAAAGCCCCTCTATCCGCCTGTGTTGCACACTCGATGTTCTACGGATATCTGTTCTCTTGCCGGAAACGGCAATGCTCTAGCACTTGCACAGAACACCCCTACTACCGATATGCCTCCGATGTGCCTGCTGAAGGATGGCAGTGACGTAGCGGCAAGATGATGGCGCGGCGATTGTAAAGGGCATGAGGGCTCCGTCGTCGTAGCACAGCGTGCCACGGACGAAGCCCGATGCGTTGACAGCTCGTTGCGAAGCCATACAATCAATATGCCTGTTTTTCACACTGGACGTTCTTCGGCATGTACGAATTTTTGCCGGATGCGGCAGCAGTACGATTTACGTAGAACGCCACTGATGCTAACTAGCAGGTGGCAGGTTGGTTAGCAGTCAAGTAACCGCAAGTCAACAAGCGGCGAGGCCGATAGCGACAGAATATGGCTGTGATGTTGACGATCGAGAAAAGCATGAGTGCGCCGGAAAACTGCGCAGGTTTCTAAGAACAAGAGAGGATCTCTAAAACCTGGAGTCGAAGTCTCTCCGCTCTCAAGTCGATATCCTCACTCATAGACGTTCTATGGACGCGGTCGCTTACCAAATCCGGTGGTTCAAATATCTGCGCAGAACGTCGCAGCTGGCCAGAACTCCACTCAACTGCAGTCAGAACCGTAGGGATAAACGCTGATTACGGCGGTGGTTTTGGGGTTGAAGGCATGAATTGTAAACTGCACGAAGGCCCCAGCAAGATGGCATAGGTCATGACGGATGAAGAAAGTGGTGATCAAAAGCTACTCCACTGTTTGGGAACGGCAATATTGATGGTGCGTGGTGACCGTAGCGAACACCAGTATGGTGGTGTAGATTGAGAAAAGCAGGCACAATGGCCCAAGTAAACGCCAGTGCAACAGTGCAGGAGTAAGAAGTTAAATAAACAGGAGGATCTGATTGTCCAGCATTTTCGCTTTCGCAGTCGTTCTACCAAAAACGGTTCCTTTCCCGATCCGGCAATACTTTTGCTGTCTGTTGAACACCGTTCGCTTTTCACCCCCTGGGCCAGCATTGAGAGAATTCCAATCATAGCATCTCCCCAGCCAGAGACTTCTCCATCCACCGCCTCAGCCTGATTTCAGCCTTGGCATTACTCTGCGCCCACCAGAAGATCTTGCCACGAGCCTCTCGCACCCAGTAGCGAGCATAGGAAAATCTGGTATTTATCCAAGAGAAATCGCGGATGCCGAGGAGCAGCTTGGCCTTGACAACAACTTCCTCCTGGAGGACATCGTAGATTGAGACATCGAAAAGGGGAGGATAGGATCGGGCGCGGTTGAAGACGTCGCTTCGGGGTCGGTCGGCTCCGATGTAACTAACCGTAGATTGGGGAACTGCTTCATAGAGGAATTTGGAAGGTAAGTGGGACGGCTGATCGTCGATTGACTGGTCGAAGGAAGTCTGATTGCTTGAATGGAGAGCCTTGTGCCGGACGACAATCTCAATGATATCTGGGGCCCGGAGCACTGCTGCGGCGCGATGCAAAGCGCATTTCGTGTCCAGATCAGGTACGCTCGCTGGCAGGCGCCAGTCGTACTTTTGGCTTGTACAGTCTAGCTGGGTCCCAATAACAGATGAGTGAGCGGGAAAAAGGCTGGTGTAAAGGTACTCAAACACATCTAGGGCATCAAGTGCGTCCAGCATCGCACGATCTTCCTGTTTGAAGTTGGCAAGAGGCTCCCGTACATGTGACTGGAGCTTCCGGTCAAAGTCTACTTTTATAGCCGCATCAAATCTTATTTGATCGTGATCATGGCTGAGAAGCCACCGGTACTCGCCGAGAAGCCATAGGTAGGTCAGCGCTCTATAGAATCTCTGCTTCTGTTCGGCATCAAAAGTCCTTCCCCCGCAATCGATGGTGTCGTAAGCGGGGTCAAAGACAGTGATAGATTGCGACCCACTGGAGGACTGTGCCGGCGTTCTTCTGCGAGACCCTCCCGGGGCGCGATATTCGCGCATAGGACGATAGGATGCTGGAGGAGGCTCTGATTCGAGATAAAGGTCCTGCAAGACACGAAGGCCTTGCCACCGTGTTAGGATGTCACAGACCATCTCGTCGCTGAGGGAGCAATCAGTAGGTAGGGTGGTTGACCACTCTAAGGAGTCCGATGTGGAAAGCGTGGTCCGGCGGTCTTCTTTCCGGCGAGGTGAAGCGCACCCGCCCGCTGCGTAGAAGGAGATGAACGACTGACGCTGCTCGATCAGATGGCTAAGCGCTATGTCGTACTCATGGTGCTTCGCGTGGATCTGATGGAGCCCGTTAGCTGGGTTATGTCTGTCAATGGGGAGTGGGGCTTACTATGATAGAGCGCATGATATCGAGGTAAAAGTGTTTGTTCTGTAAGATGCCATGTGCACGATGGCACGTTCTTGCAAAATGTAAAGCATCGTCTATGTCTTCCAAACGGCAGAGGACATCGACAACAAGCTCATTGGGAAGAGCCAAAAGACAAATCTTTCGTTCCGGCCGATCGTTTCTGGACGTTGAAAGCCTGTCGCGCTGCATCACAATGTTCATTTGACCTCAGTAGGGCGAAAATCCAATCGGCACTTGTGTCTCTCTATGTGTAGGTGTCTACGTGACTGGTAGGGACCAGAAGGAGAGGCCCGGTGTAACTGCGACAAGAGTAAAGTAGTCGATCCTTTCAGAAAAGTCTCAGGCTAGGAGACAGCGTTTCACGGCTTGAAGTCAGCTATTCATGTTGTGTTGCAGCCTTGACAAAGTGAGGGCTCTATGACAAGCTTGGAAGAGGGATGCCTAAATGGAGAGACTGAGAGGTTACCTTGCACCACACAGCCTTGGTGGCCAAGGGGTGAAAACGATCTCCATCATGTGACCAGAATGCAGCTGTGATTCACCAGCTTAGCTACAGCCTCAAGTTGGCAGATACCAGACTGTTCATTGACTGTAACGGATAGGAATCTTCCAAAGCAGTGCCACGGCGCGAAGAGGATGAGGTCGGCGCCAGAGATGGACGGACTGCGGGCCGTTTCCTTTTCTGTCTCGGCAGGGATTCCGAGAGACCTCGCCTTGCACATTCAGCCCTAACGCTAGATCAATTGACCGAAGCAAGGGCATCAAGCCTCATGTCGCACAAATCAAGCATTGGTACGCTTCCCTGTTCGACGAGCAAGAGGCATGCTTGCCCTTCGTCCCGCCAGCGCGGGTTGACTGACCGTCGGCCAAAGGTAACTGGGAACGTCATCAGCCCTACTCCGACGCCCCTAAACCGTCAAACGACGGAAGAAAGCATCTCTTTGCAGGAAAGCATAGACGCAAGATCTCCGAGATCCCGGAAGAAGACCTCAGTAAGCGCTTGAAGCGCAACACCAGCCCGCATAGCGGTGCCGCAGCCGACGGGACAGCTGTAGACGATCTATCAAGCGGACTCGTTCAACATGATCCGTTCGAGCAGAGTCGTGGGCCAGGACCACCAGTCTTCTCCATGGGTGGTCATCATGAGCCTGTGCGGTTGAATACTAACTCCAACCCCGGCAACTACCTTAGTATCTACTGCCCTCTTAATGAGGCCTTATCAACGAACTCCACCGATCAATATGGCGCGGATTGGCCTCCCGTGATCAGTCGACCGTCGAAGGCATCGATCAATAGCTCGCAAGATTTCCACCCGTACCAACCCTTCCCTTTCAACCAAGAGTATCCTCAATTTAACGAGCAGGCATACAGCGGCAATCCACTGGTGCAAGGAGCCATCGAAGCAGTAAGTAACTACTCTTCTTATCTGTTTCATGTTGCAGTTGAGATAGACTTTCTACGCGTATCGAACCCCCTGGAGTTATAGGTTGCCTGATTATTGCCAACTATGGTACGTTCAGCCTAAAAACATTGCTTCGAACGTTGCCACACGGATACCCATAGGCGTTCAAACTGGTGAGCTGATAATACGATGATACGTGCTCCGTTCCATGGTTCAAATGTTGCATCGTTGCACTGCGTGCTGAAAGACAGTCATTTCAAGTCCGAGACCTAATTCAAGTTAGACCTGTAGAACTTCCCGGTTGCATCTTCCCGTGAGACACAACACTGACTTGCCAACTAGGTGCCGGTAGCCATGCAGTACCTCCCAAGTGGGTATGAGACCGCAAGTGAGGCATTTGTAGGCCAAGACATCAATCCTGCGTTGTCCGAGGCAAGCGCCTTGTCCCTATCCCACGGCGCAGTTGGGCAAGACGTTGAGCTAGACGCAAGTCTTGACTGGAAAATTCAGAGCCTCCCTATCCTTGACAACCTTGTAAGCCCCCGACCCAGCAACCAACACCGCCTCTTAGTCTCTCTGCAGTGCGTTGTATAGCCGTTCTCCCCTGTTCATTTAGCAAGATACTCAACCACTGTTTCTTCGGTCGCAGTCTTCCATGTCCCAATCCCCCCTCAAAGCGATGCCGTCGTGATTATCCTGACTCGTGTCTAATGCAGCAAACAGGCCAGTCAAATCCTTTTCGCAATGGCGACTAGCAGCCCCGCAGAGATGATAGCCTGCATGACGAACCCAAGGAATAACGAACATGGCACTCTAAAGTCACTCTTTGAACATACAAAGAAGGCTTTCACTCGAGATGATATGATGATAAACCCAAACGCACTACCTCCGGAGCAACCGGCATCTTATGATATTCTTCGCAGAGCCAACATAGTAACGTTTCTAGTCAGTATCTTTGACAGCCGCGGCCCTGACTTCGTACTTTTGAACAGACTGTTCCTAGAGACTTTTGTTCCTCTAGGCAGTCGACTCTACAAATGGCAGGGAGCGCTGTTCCTGGAGCTAAAGACCCAAGCGTATATATCATCAATGCTGAGCGGCAGCTCCAACCGACAGGATGTGATTGATGAGTTTTTCCCAGGCAACTTGGAGCTGTGCCTCCTGATGAGACGGCCGGCATCCAATCAGCAAATTTCTCCGAGCGAGCAGGACTTCCTAAAGCGGGTGCAAACCAGGCGAAGCTATCTCCTCTCGGAACCAGATACTCCGGGGGCAGTTACACGGCTACTCAAGAAGTACGAGTGGAAGGATTTCTTGAAGGAGATCATCAACTGTGCGGGACGGTATGTTGAGAGCAGCACTCCATCTGCGCAGACGGTAAGTAAGAGACGACCTACCGGGCAGTGTATACTACAGGACGAAGTGCCTCTTCATCTCTTCATGCTCGCCAAGTCAATCGGAGCTACAGGCTTCCTTTGACGTTTCATTGCCGAATTCTATCTCTTGCGGAGGAGGTCAACTTGTAGAGGGCATTCTTCATCTTCTGCTATCTCGTTACCCAAACATGTGTTTCCTTCAGCACGAGATGGGCTTCTGAAACACACTTTCAGGCCTGACGGTTCTAGATTCTCTAACTGATTCCGTCTTACCACCACTTGCCCTTTAGGCTTTTTCCAGAACATTCCATTATTCATGGGGCAAGTTCCAGCACGACAGCATGCACTGACTGAGGATCAGGACGAAAGTAATACCGGGCGGCAAAGCCCCACTTTTTCGAACAATTACCCTGCCCCGGAAGAGGTTGCGCCGTCTGCGCCCTATGGGGGTCCCTATTATTATGCACAACAGCTATCCGGTGCCACACTACGGACGGAGCAGACTCCAGGATCCCTTGTTGCTCCCGCTACGCATGTAGTCCCTGCAGCATTTGAAAGTAGCGCAAGCCCGGACCCGAGCAGCAGCCAGAGCGCGCCGCAATACCTTCAAATGGCCGCCCCCCCGCCGCATCAGTATTCGGCGTACGCACAACCGCAGACCGGCGATTTGACCGACAAGGAAGCTCCATCCCATTCCCAGAGTTCATCAACGCAACACCAGCACTCGCCCGCTCGCCAAGCACAACCCTCAAAAACCCCCTCCCAAAAACATAAACCCACCATCCCCACAGCCCGCCGCCTCTGGACGTCCGAAGAAGAGTCCGCGCTCTTGGACGGTCTCGAGCGCGTCGGCGGCCCGCACTGGAGCCAGATCCTGGGCCTGTACGGTGCGGGTGGGACCATCAGTGAGGTGCTCAAGGACCGCAACCAGATCCAGCTGAAGGACAAGGCGCGGAACCTCAAGTTGTGCTTCCTCAAAAGCGGACACGAGGTGCCGCACTATCTGCAGGGGGTTACTGGAGAGCTGAGGACAAGAGCGCCGAGTCAGGCGGCGAGGCAAGAGGCGCTGGCCAAGGCGAGAGAGATGGGGATGGGAGGGAGGGGGACGTGAGGTGCATAGAGGTTTGAAGAACTGGTACGAGTTTTTGCTGGCAGAATTGGAGCAGCGCAGTGGTTGCCGAGCTTTGTTTTTGTGAACTAGTCATTCCTGACGGTATAGACTCTGGGTATGGATAGTTGACACTTTAGATGAGGGTAGCTCATCTGTTCAGAGCACCAGCTCGCTCAGCGGTTGATGGTAATTTATCCTTCTAGGCTTGAGGAAGCTGTCAATAACCAACACTTGTTTTCTCAAGCGTTACTTCAGTATGCGTGCGAGTTGCAGTCACTCCATGCGTGCTGAAAGATATCATGAACACAGCCCTTCCTGTTCTTGTCTCACCAGAGCAGATTATTTTATTGCAAGTATTATATATTACTAAGCCCGCCAAGCCCTCGCTCTGCAACGTCACACGAGTTCCTCCACGAAAACCGCCCAACCCGTGATAGACCTCCTCAGCCTTACGGGTCACGTTGACGTGCAACATCCAATCAGCCAGCATGGCAGATCCCAGCGGCAGCGCAGCACCGCCTGCAGCGGACGGAGCCGCACCCGAAGTGAGGGAAGACGACCTCGACGTCGCGATCGAAACCGACACGAACATAGCCGGCCCGTCACAAGCTGCGGACCCCATGAACGTCGACGGCGCAAACGACGCGGAGGCTCACAGCATGAACGGCGTCGACCCCACAATACCGCAGGCGCTGGAGGCGCGGATACCGGCGAAGAAGGACGCGACGCTGCGGGAGTTTCTGGGGAGGATGGACGACTATGCGCCGATTGTATGTCTTTGCTTGGCTCTCCCACGTCCTCCTATGTAGCTGTTGTCGCCACTCAAGCAGGACAGACAGGGCTGAGACTACTCATAGATACCAGACGCAGTGACAAACTACTATCTCACACTCGCCGGCCTCCCCCCGCCGCCCCAGACCTCTCCTCAGCTCGCCCGCCTCCTTGCTCTCGCGACGCAGAAATTCATCGCCGACATCGCGGCAGACGCGTATCAGTACTCGCGCATCCGGTCTTCCAACACCACGAGTAACAACCCGATGGGTGGGCTAGGCGCGGGTCCGGCTGGTGGGCCTGGCGCTGCGGGCGCCGCGGGCGCACAGGGTGGAAAGGAAGGCGGGCCGGCGGGCAAGGGAATGAATCTTGGTGTGCAGAGGCCGGGATACGGAGGTGGGGGGCAGGGGGGCAGTCAAGGGAGGACGGTGCTTACGATGGAAGATCTGGGGATGGCGGTTGGAGAGTATGGTGTTAATGTCAAGAGGGGGGAATTCTATCGGTAAGGTTTGCTATGGGAGCTTTCCCCTTGGGATTTGGGTTCGGGATTGGTATTGGCAGGGTTGATGTGGGTCGAAAGGCGTCATGGCATGTCATGCATTTGAGGCGTTGGTGAAGTGGTGCATGACGCATAAGCACTGGAATTTCTTTACGCCACGATCCAGGAAGGCGCGCTGCGGTACGAGTGGGGTGCTCGAATTCGAAGCTCGAAAGCTGTTTGTTGTACAATACAGACATGTCCCACAATATAACGCCACCAATGCACCGGTGTGAATTTAATTAAAACATCGACTCCGCTCCTACTTGTTCTTCGTCTGTTTGTACGCGAACTTTTTCCGTGTGCTACAAACCAAGGTCAGCCACTCCACCACGCTATTCGCTTCGTCCGCTGCATCCCCGTCCTTCCGCAGGAAGGTAAGCATCCGTCGCTCCCATGGTCACTTACGGCGAGAACTCCCCCAACTTGTGCCCCACCATATCTTCCGTCACCGTGATGTCGTGATAAACCTTGCCGTTGTGGACCTGAAACTTCAGACCAACGAAGTTCGGCAGTATGGTTGCGGAGCGGGCTTGCGTCCTGATGGGCTGCACTCTTTCGCCGGGCTTTGGTCGTACGATTGGTAGACTGTGTAGGAACGCACTGTGTAAGGAGGCTACGAGTTGGTATAAAAGGGCGATTGGGCTTACGGGACGATATTTGGGCCTGGGTGGAGCGCATGTTAGTAAATGCTGTGCAACTGAAGCCGTAGGGATCACTAGGTTGAAGGACATGGTACGTGGCAGACATACCCTTCCAAATTGACCGCGCATATAGCGCTCTTGTTGGTATCATCGCTGAGTTGTCCGATATGCTCCCTGGCGGAGGTGAGGTTGCGGAGCGGAAGTCTCGCTGATGGAATAAATTACATGTGACTAAGCGCGCCCTACGGCAAGGCTGAAACGATCCGTGCCGCCAGGCATCACCGCGGGGAAGACGGGAGCATCTGCGGCGCGTGTGGTCGCGTTTCTTCACAGATGTAGTTTCCAGTGACTTACTGTGTTTCTTGGGCTGGCGTAGGGGAGCAGTGTTTATTTCTTTCCTCTCGCGCATAGTCGTTCTTGTAAATCTTCCGCCAACCCGCTAAGCTCACCCTCCATCACCCACCACAATGCCCGCCTTTACAGGTAAACTCTTCATCACAACGCCAGGGATTCATTGCAGCTAACGAGAGTAACCGTAGAAGCCGACACGATCCGCATACTCGTCGCGACGGACAGCCATGTCGGCTACAACGAGCGCGATCCTATCCGCGGCGACGACAGCTGGCAGAGCTTCCACGAGGTGATGTGTCTGGCAAAAGAGCGGGATGTAGACATGGTGCTACTAGCTGGCGATCTCTTCCACGAGAACAAGCCGAGTCGGAAGTCAATGTACCAGGTTATGCGCAGCTTGCGGATGAACTGCTTCGGCGACAAGCCATGCGAGCTGGAGCTGCTAAGCGACGCAAGCGAGAACATTCAAGGGTGAGATGGTGCGCAAGAAAGGCTACAATCGATGAAGAATACTGATGACGGGATAGGGCATTCAACAATGTCAACTACGAGGACCCCAACCTCAATGTCGCGATACCAGTGTTTTCCATTCATGGCAACCATGACGACCCATCAGGAGTATGCCTATTCCCAATATTATTCAAGCGCAGCACCGGATTGACTGTCGTCAGGAAGGCCATCTAGCCGCGCTAGACCTACTGCAGATTTCCGGTCTTGTCAACTACTATGGCCGCACCCCTGAATCCGACAACATCGTCATCAAGCCCGTCCTTCTCCAAAAGGGCCAAACTAAGCTTGCACTGTACGGCATGAGCAATGTCCGAGACGAGAGGCTTTTCCGGACATTCAGAGATGGCAAGGTTAAGTTCTTCCAACCGAGTACACAGAAGAACGACTGGTTCAACTTGATGAGCGTCCATCAGAATCAGTATGTCTACCGAACCTACAAGTCTTACTGTGCACTAACTTTCTGACAGTCATGCGCATACGGCTACTGGATACTTACCGGAGAACTTCCTTCCTGAGTTCTTAGACCTTGTCGTCTGGGGACACGAACACGAATGCCTCATCAACCCGCGCTATAACCCCGAGATGAACTTCCACGTTATGCAGCCCGGCTCTTCAGTTGCAACTTCGCTTATGCCCGGCGAAGCGGTTCCGAAACATGTGGCCATCTTGAGTATCACTGGTAAGGAGTTCAAGTCTGAACCAATTCGGCTGAAGACTGTGCGGCCTTTCGTAATGAAGGAGATTGTGCTAGCCGAAGAGCGGGCACTGAAGAACGTCTGGCGAAGCGACAACAACCGCGTTCAGATTACGCGACATTTGATTGACATCGTCGACGATCTAATCAAGGAGGCGGAGAAGGACTGGCTTGAAATCCAGGACGGAGCGGAGCGTCAAGACGAAGAGGAGGAGCAAGAACCGCCGAAGCCGTTGATACGCCTCCGAGTTGAGTACACGGCACCGGAGGGCGGCCGGTTCGACTGCGAGAACCCACAGCGATTCTCAAACCGCTTCGTGGGCAGGGTTGCGAACGTGAACGACGTCGTTCAGTTTTACCGCAAGAAGGCAAGCGCCACTCGAACTAGCAAAAACGACCCGGAGATGCCTGAGGACTCCATTATGGCTCAACTTGCCATCGATAGCGTTAAAGTCGAGAAGCTCGTCCGGGAGTTTCTCACCGCACAATCGCTCACAATCCTACCACAGAACTCATTTGGCGATGCTGTCAGCCAGTTCGTCGACAAGGACGATAAGCATGCGATGGAGATGTTCGTCAACGAAAGCTTGTCAAACCAGATGAAGCATCTTCTCCAGACCGATGAAGTCGATGAGGAAGACATCGTCCAGGTGATGGATCAGTATCGCTCAAAGCTCGAACAGATGTTCGCATCCGGTCAAATCAGGAAGAACAGGAAAGCCAAGCTGAAGCCGAAACCGGATAACTGGGACAGTGATCTGGACGGCGAATGGGCAGATCAACCAGGCGCGCTGATACACAGTGAGGGTGAGGCTGGGCAGGAGGATGAGGAGGAAGAACTTGGCTCAATACCTCCAAAGCCTCCAGCTGCTCGCGGCCGGGGCAAGGCGGCAGCAACGACTCGCAAAGCTGCTGCGGCGCCAAAGAAGACGCCAGCTCGGGGCGGCGCTCGGGCGAAGAAGAAGGTGGTGGAAGATGACGAGGATGAAGATGAGGATGTAGTTATGATTGATGATGACGACGAAGAGGAAGAGGAGGACGATCTGTTCGTCAAGCCCACTCGCACGACAACCAAGAAACCTGCCGCTAAAGTCGCACCGAAGCGCGCGGCATCTCCTGTCAGAAAGACGCCTGCAAGAGCTGCAGCTAAGAAGCAGTCTACTCTCAGCTTCTCTCAGCCGGCGACACAGGGAAGTCAGGTCAACGGAAGTAGCAGAAAGGTCCAGGAACCGGTACGTCTCATCTGATTCCAAGAGCAGCTGGCTGCTAATACTAATGAATGCGCAGAGCGACGATGAGATCTCGGATGATGATGATGCGTTTGAACCGCCGCCGCCGACTGCGAGGGCTACGAGGGCAAGGAGATGAAGTGGGACGTGAAGTATATGGCGTTTATGCTTTTCTAAATACATTCCCGCCAGCGGCTTGCATAGCGTGGCGCTAGGATCCATCTTTGCTCTCGAATCGCATGATAAATGCCTGTTTCTTTGACATCCATAGCCTGGCTGCTGAGGCCAGTGGAGGCAGCTGCGCTGTTGCTTCGTACGGCTCACAACGCAAAGCTCCGGCAAGGTCCAAAAGGTGGACTTGCGTGGTAGCTTTGTTCATGCGCAATAAGCTGTCAGCCGAAAGTTTGGCTCTGTTGTTCCTTCTCTACGTTGTGATGATCTTTCTGCTCCTTTCAACAATAGCACGGCCTCTGGAGTCTGGACCATGTTTACTCCCCTGGATGGCAAGAGGTATCTTATCCGGACTTATGACGGTAAGGGGCCACCGCCCTACAGCAGCAACTTCCCCACGATCGGTCGGGGTTCGTACAGCAAGAGTGAGGCACCACCTGGGCACTCGATCCTCTTCAAAACCTCCTCAGTCCTCTCCTCCGTCTCTGCTATCAACCATTCCACTCCCAAACACTCATTGCTTCGCTTTTGCCGCGGTCAACGCTCGCTCTTGTCTTGCTGTCTAGCTCTCGCCCATTACCAGGCCGTTTTTGGATACTCTGCCATCGCTGCGTGTAAGAGTACTGGTTGCGTTGACAAAGTAAGCTCCTCCCTCCATCCGGACCCCTCAAGGCATACCTCGACTACTTCCAACTCAATTGACGCTAACTGCTTTGTGTGTCGTGACAGAAATCCACATCGCTCACCATCACTTGCGCACCGCTCCCACGAAGCCTGCTCTACGTCATCCTGACAAGCCGCACTCGCTGCTACAATGGCAACTGCAACCGCGACGACCACTGCCACGGCGTACAAGGTCGAGGAGCTCCTCGCGCTGAGAGATTCAGTCTCGGAATCTGCCGTCTCCCTCGAGAAGTTCGGTGACGAGGATGCGATCAAGGGTGGGTCCTTCGTCTACTTCACTTCACTACACCTGAACCCGTGATGAACCGGCCACCATTTATATCAACCCATCGCTTTGCTTCCGTCTGCATACATGCTCGCTTTCCGCTCATGACTTCCACCGTTCATTCTCGCCGTTCCTCCTCCTCTTCCGCTGATCTACTCGCCATCCCGCTTGCATTGAGATTCGTGTCCAGCGCGATGGCGGACTCGGCCAAGATGGATCCGTCAAAGTTGCGCAACGGCGCATCCGATTTTCTCTATCGTGCCGCCGCCTCCGCCGATCCTATCTTCAAGGACACCAATGGATTGCTAATTTCTCCTTACGATTTGGTAGAGCACGTTCTTCGCCCTTCTGCATCTAACAACACCATCGGCTCGCGCAAAGAGAATGCAGGCCCGCCTTCGCTGGCGCCAAATCGTGCTCTTAGCCAGGCTGTGAACGACGCTCGCAGCGTCAGTTTGCCCTACAAGCGACCTTCTCCGACGCCATCGTACAAGCGTGGAAGGGCAGAGAAGCTCCTCAAAGAACACGGTTCTCCGCCCACTCTTCGCGTCACGGCTGGTGGCCGCGTCGTTCCGAACGACGTGCCGGCACTTGGAAGTCCGCGCTACTCACAGAACTTGCTAGCTGGCTCGAACGCGTCCAGAACCGCGTCGCCTCCGCGCACAGCGCAAGCCGCTGTCAACAACATTCCGCATGGCACACTGGCGGGCGACAACCAGTACCAATACCTCCACGGCCAGTGGATGCCCTTGGTGAACTGGAACGGGATCCCTCAGCTGTACATGGAGCCCCCGAATACCATCCAGATGCCGCCGCAGTTGCAGCCCATGCCGTTCTACAACCAGGCGATCCCTCCATTTATGTACCCGCAACAGCCGATGGCGGCAGCACCACCGCAGCCACTCGGGGCGACATATCCGCAGATGAACATCAAGAACCTCCAGACCCCAGCGCTTGAGAGCATGGACATCGCATCACAAATCCGCCATCTTGAAGCGGAATACGAGAAGCACAACAACGACCACAAGGAGCTACTAAAGCAAGAAGTCCTTCAGCAAGATCACTTGGACAGCACTGCTCGAGAGGCCATTGTCAAGGAGAAGAGGAGCTACGTCACCCGCCTGGATACAATTCGTAAGAATATCAAGGCTCTGAAGGAGACTCAGGCCAGAGCGGCGGTAGGTATCATTGATCCGAGTGCCAGCGGTCAGCCCTCTGCAGAACAACCGCTTTTCGCTCCCTTGCCGCCACGCGGACATGCCATGCCTCCTCAAGCCAGCTTGCCGGTTAGCGCGTTCCCGCTCACTGCAGATGGGGTCGTGTCTCCCATGGCCGCAACGTTTGGCGTGTCCAGCTTTTCGGATGGGCCAGCAACTCAACCGCAAATTGCATCCCGCCTTCAACTCCAGAACGCCACTGCCTCTTTTCCACTAGTGTCAGCCGGTGGCAAGTTTAACCATACGGGTGGCGTTTCTTTGCAGCCTCTCCAGGGCAGTGGCACGATTTCCCGGTCTCCGAAAGCTCGACCACACGCACTCGAGATCAAAGCTCCCACCGACTCAGCGAAACCGGGCCGTAGCTTGCGGTCCTCACTCAACCCCACCAGTCCCACGTATGAGCCTCGCAACTCTTTGAGCCCGGATGTCCAATCGCCTGGCATCTTCGTACCTCCAAGTCCTTCTCCAGTCGCCTCGCCACCTGCGAACAAGGCGCTACTGGAGAAGCACCCGTGGCTCTTTTCCCATCACAATGAGGTTACTGCACCAAAGCCAACGGAGACCCGCTCCATCCACGAGCCTAGCATCTCCAGTGTCTCGACAACGGACTTCTTCCCTGACAACCCATATGATCATTCTGCGATCAAGTCTAATGAGGGTCAGAAACCCGATGGCCAGCGTCGAGTTAGCACCAGCACATGCCGGACCGCGGAGGCCTCTGCGCCGAATGGACATCCGGTGACGCCTCAGAAAGGATATGGGCCTACTCCTTGGGACAATCAGGTCAGCTCCAAGAGCCAGAAAAAATTTCACTCCACTGCTCCGCCAGTCTCCCCGGCTGACACTAGGTCGCCGTCCTACTGCAAGGGGACGGAAGCTGAACACGAGCGACCTGCACAGCTCGCCAGACCCGAACTCCACCACTTTGGTATGTCAGCTGAAACCGTTCCGTGGAGTACTGTTTCCGTCGCTGGCTCTATTTCCACGCCCAGGGGCGAAAGTGGACAATTCGGCTACGCTCAAGGACCGAACGGCCTTCTGGACTTTACGAGCAAATCTAGCTCGTTCTTGGATGGGTACAGTGCGGGACTGGCTGGCCTGCCGATTGCAGACAGTTCAGACACTGAACTGCTCAGCGGATACGTTGCCGGACTGCAGAAGGTCAAGTCAGCCAATGCTCTGTCGCCGACCGAACCAGTCAGCACGGGCGTTCAGTCCCGGCAGGCAAGCTTTCCCAACGTCAATCATGCGCCGTCTTATCAGGTGGGGGCTGCTCATTTTCCAATCCATCCATTCGCAGACCTCCGGCACCCAGCGCCAATAGCCCCTGTCTCCACTGCTACTTTGGGGCTAAACATCCACTCGATGGGCATCTCCCGCACTCCAACGCCTGGCGGCGTTTCCATCAACGGGCTCTTCCCTGGCATGGTCGATGCTCTCCAGCCGACCCTCTCTGCCACAACCTTCAAGCCTCTACTGAGCCGCCAACAGTCTAACGCTTCCGTGCATCTCGAGCAGGTAGCCATCTCGAGCAGCCAGCAGACGAACAACACCAACAAGGCGAGCAAGAGCTTCCCATGCTTGCCCTTTCCTAGAGCTTACTCGGGTAACCAGATCCAGCCACAGGGTTCCGGCAGGAACAACGGCCCTTTCACTCGGCACTATCAGGGCAAGAAGGTCTACGGTCAACACAGTGACGGAACTGCAAACTCCTCTGCCAACCCTAACGGCCACGGGCCTGTGGCAAGACCTTCTCAGTACGACGGCGCCATGGACGACCTTGCTGAGATGGTGCTGCCGGTTCGTCTGTCTCCGAGGCGCGATAACGCGTCTCCATCAGTCGCTACAGGCTCGCCGAAGAAGTCTCCAAAGAAGCGACACCCGGCCTCCCCTGGCAAGGCTTTTGACCCCCTTGTGAGGATCATCAAGGATTCACCGTCGAAGGCAGGTTCTGCGGAAGGTTCCGAGCCGGAGAAGAAGGCGAAGCGGGAGAACACCAACACCGAGGAGATGCCCGAGGTCGACCCAGCGAGGCTGAGTCGTGCAGAAAAGAAGTCGTGGAGGGAGAACTGGAAGAAGCGCTTCCAGGAGATCAAGAGCAAGGAGCGCGAGGAGATTGAGCAGTACAGGCGGGAGAATCCTCTCGACAACTGAAGTATCTGTTGCCGGCGCGAAGAATCGATTACTACCTATGGCGCGTCGACTACTATCTACCTGATCGCCATCACACCGGCATCGGCGCAGTATCATTCGGATATCGTCAGCAACGAAAACCACGGGAACCGGCATATGGACTTGGATGGATGACTGTTGGTGGAGGCTACTTCGTTTTTTCTTATGTTGGGTTTTACTCTCCAATTTTTCTGAATATTGTCTGGTGGCATCACGTTCGGAGATGGAATATGGAAGACACCTGTGCAGGCTGCTATCTGACTAGCCGGTCTGTGTGGTCTGACTGTTCGATTCTATGGTGGAAGGAAGTATTGCGGTGGATGTGTTCCCGTGCTTCGTTAGTAATGGCTAGTTTCTTGACCTTCTAATGGCGCTGAATGTTACTTCGATAGTATGGATAGGAAGCGCAATCGACGCACGTTCAGCTTACCCTATCACTCTTGTTCTCCTAATATGGCTAATATGGGCGAATGTCATGCTGGTGCTATCGATTTCTCTAGACGCCCCTCGAACGATGTCTCAACCAGCAGAGAGCACCTTCTGCATCTGACCCTCATGTCACACCCTCTTTCTTCTCCATGTCGACAACAGACTCAACTCAGCTAATGAGCAGCTGAACCCGTATTGCTCAGTTTATCTCAACTCCATCGCCGTCAGCAGGAGTCTTCTAGTAGCAACTGCCTCCAACATCCGCAGATTCTGCAGCAGAGATGGCCGGAAGCACGACAGCGCACAACGGATTACGAGGTAGCACCGCCATCACGTATCAGTATGAAATCGCTGGGCTTCTCTTGCAAATTAACATCAGCTGTTCTTTGACATCGCATCCAGCGGCGTGGCAACCGGATAAACCGAGCTTTACTGCAATCACGACAGGTGCAGTTGGGGGTAAATGCGGAGGAGAGCCCAAGAGAAAGGTGCCCTTGTGGGCGGTCCAGATGCGGGTTTGGGTGTTGCCCCGAAAGGCGCCGCACGCCGCCTGCCCTGTGCCTCTCCCGGCAGCGACTGCCCGTTCCCCACTTGACGTTGCGCCCCGGATGCTCGCTCAGCATTCCAAACCGAGCTTCCATTTGACTTTCCGAGTGACTTTGCAACCCTCAATATCTCATCCATTGCGTCTTCTGACAGACCCATCCACAGCAGACTAATCAGCGAACACAAGCTGGTTCTCTGCACTCCCGCCCCGCAAGACATGGCCCAGTGAGCTGGTATCCTCAGCCCGTCGTTGACGACACTCTCGTTCCTGCATCTCGACTCGATCCCAGGCGAATACTACCTGAACACACTATCACCGCGTTCGAACCGGAACGCAGGCCGTCCTCATGGCACAACTCTTCAACTCGTCGTCGAACCACTCGACGCCGCCGGCCGAGAAGCGGACCTTTAGCGGAGTCTCGCTGTCAACCAACCGGCAGGTTAGCGGCTCCAACAGCCAGGTCTCGCAGAAGATTAAAAACTTCTTCCGCATAACCAGCTCCTCCACAAGCAGCGGCGAGCTTAAGGAGCTGAAAAACAAAGACCATAGCGATGGCACCTCAACCCCAAACTCAGTCTCCAAATCATCGTTCCGGCAGTCACGGTTTTTGCCACATATTGGCCGGAACCGCTCCCAAACCGTCGCGAGTGAGGGCAATCCGCTCGACGACAGCCTTTCGCCGACTGCACACGCCAACCCCTACTTCCAGCACCAAGGCCCGCCAGCTATAAGGCATCATAATGAGGGCAGCGTACCGCCCTCACCGCCAGATACACCGCCGATAACCACCACCAAAGTCGAGGCTGTCAGTGGTGCGAACGACCAACAAGCCGCGGCGGGCAAGGAGGAGCTGGCCAGAAAACTGCGTCGGGTAGCTTCGGCACCCAATGCGCAAGGTCTTTTCGCAGACGCCAAATCTAGCGAACGGCCGTCTACGGCTGGACTCGATAAGCAGCCCATGAGCCAGCATGCGAACAGCTCGGCACTGAGCATGGTGGAGTCGGCGCCTAGTAGCAATCTCCTCCCGGTACCTACGGTCAACGGTGTCAATGGAATTCCCACCCCCGGCCAAATCCGCAATGGGATAGCGTTCAGGAGAACGTATAGCTCGAACTCGATAAAGGTTCGGAATGTGGAGGTTGGGCCAGGAAGCTTCGATAAGATCAAGCTGATTGGGAAGGGAGATGTGGGCAAAGTGTATCTGGTGCGGGAGAAAAAGTCGAGCCGGCTGTACGCCATGAAAGGTACGTAGTAGCTTGACCGAAAAGGTGTTGCCGTACTGAATATGGCAGTCCTGAGCAAGAAGGAAATGATCAAGCGCAACAAGATCAAGCGCGCCCTCGCCGAACAGGAGATCTTGGCGACAAGCAACCACCCATTCATCGTTACCTTATACCACTCCTTTCAGTCTGAGGACCATCTCTACCTTTGCATGGAGTACTGTAGTGGTGGAGAGTTCTTCAGGGGTATGTCAGCACATCGCTTTCAAACTGCGGTATACTGATTTAGACAGCCCTGCAAACACGACCAAACAAATGCGTGGACGAGGACGCAGCGAGATTTTATGCGGCAGAGGTGACCGCTGCATTAGAATACCTCCATCTCATGGGTTTTATCTACCGCGATCTCAAGCCCGAGAGTGAGCTTGTCCTACACCGCACATGAGTTCTTCGCTAACCTCGATAGACATCCTCCTGCATCAATCCGGACACATAATGTTGTCAGACTTCGACCTGTCCAAGCAGTCAGATCCTGGCGGCAGACCGACGATGGTCGTCACGAAGGGGCCTTCGTCCAACTCGTTACCCGCCATAGACACCAAATCCTGTATCAACAACTTCCGCACAAACTCCTTTGTCGGCACGGAAGAGTACATTGCGCCGGAAGTTATCAAAGGCTGCGGCCACACCAGCGCAGTCGACTGGTGGACCCTCGGCATTCTAATCTACGAAATGCTCTACGGCACCACGCCCTTCAAAGGCAAGAACCGCAACGCTACGTTCGCTAATATCCTAAGAGACGATGTACCGTTCCCCGAGGGGTCCGGCGCACCGCCCGTCTCGAAGTGAGCCAAACCCGCTCCTCCACCCCACCACTGAAAATGCTAACCGCCCCCTAGCCTCTGCAAATCCCTCATCCGCAAACTCCTCATAAAAGACGAGTCCCGCCGCCTCGGCTCCCGCGCCGGCGCCTCCGACGTAAAAGCGCACCCCTTCTTCCGCTCCACCTCCTGGGCGCTGCTGCGCCACATGAAGCCGCCCATGATCCCGCACCAGGGCCGCGGCATCGACACGGTCAACTTCCGCAACGTCAAGGAGAGCCAGAGCGTCGACATCGGCGCCGCCAGGGTCAAGGGCGTGCCCCTCGATTCCGGGTTAGCGACCCCGGGAGGCGAGATTAGTGATCCGTTTGAGGAGTTTAATAGCGTTACGCTGCATCATGAGGGCGATGAGATTCATGAGGGGGAGGCGGGAGGGAGGAGGTGAGGGGATGCGAGAAGGGCATGGGGTGCTCTTGGAACGCTTGGGAACTCGCCCGTTGGCGCGCTCTCAATGATTTTTGCTCCCCTCGCGAGCGACATCTGCATTCCCGCGTTTGCTGGTGTGCACAGTAAGGCGCAAGAAGCCCTGCGCTTCGGCAACGGCGTTGGGATCTGGACACATGGCTGGTAGGGAAGGGCAAAACCAGGAGTCTTGGAGCACTATCTATACCGTCAATGAAATCCTCAAATCAGGAGTGTTAGTTACCGCTTGTTGGAAGTGACCCATGCCAAGATATTCAATTGCTCTTCGCGACCTATCGCGATATCGCGTCGTTGTGTTTTCGTTCCCCGCCCCACCATCTACCAGAACCGTGTAGACAGCCAGCGCGATCGATTGACACGACACCGGTACTTCTCCAAGACCTAACGGAGAGTACCCGGCACATACTCAACGCAACGCACCACCTGCATCTACCGCCTGTCCGCATCAGCTCTCATCGCACCGGACCGGCATCCACAACACACCACCACCCCTCCCCTTCCCCACGGTACTCGAGCAACTCACTCCTCCGCCCACCCTTGTGCAGACACGTGGGAGCCAACAAATGACCTCCCTAGCCGCCTCCACCGGCCTCTCAGGAGGTCCCGACCACCCAGCAGGCGGCGCGCGAAGCAGCAGCAGCAGTCCCGAGAGCCTGACAGGGCTAGAGCAAGAGGTGCTGGGCGAATACGCGCGGCTGCTTGGGAATCTGAATAATGTAATACATCCCCCCACCCTCTATCGTATCCCAAGTTCATGGTACCCAGTCTTTTTTTCTCCTCCCCTCAGACGAAGCTCTCCCCCCCCCCCCCACACACACACACCGAGACTGCAGCTCTGACGAGGCGCGTTGTAGATGTCTGCCATACTGGCCGAGCTGGCCGCGAACCCGAGCGCGGAGATCTTGGACGCGCTGAGGGGCCTCGAGAGGAAGACGACGACGGTGTTTACGCTGCTCAAGGCGAGTGTTTATAGTATCGTGCTGCAGCAGCAGATGTATGGCGAGGAGGAGGGGGGCGGTGGTTGAGTTGAACGTGCTGTGGGAGGGAGATGTTCAGGATTAGGAGGATGAGTGAGAGATGGGGAGCGTGCAATGGGGCGTGAGACTAGTACATGGCGTTGATGGAGGCGATTGGAGCATAGAAGTTGGCTGGGCGTTTAAGGGGTCACAGGCATTTGGGAAGAGGCGTGCGAGATACCCGTTGTGGTTTTCTGGAGTTGCTCTACTGGAGGTTTTAGCTTGAGGGACAGGGAGGAGGCATCAACATGCTTGAGAAGCAGGGGCTGAGTAACTGCGCCTGCGGCTATGCTCACTATCTACAGTTTCTACACACGAATCACTACAGATGCGCCAGTGCAATGCTGATATGCTACATCCTCCCTCTGAGTGAGGCCCTCACCCACAATTCTTACACGCAGCGTTTCGAGGACGTTTTCAATAAACCTTGCCACCATAGTACACTTTCCTTACGTCCACCAGCTTCCTGCCTCGTGCTCGAGCAATATCCTCCGGTAGTTTCTGGCTGGTCAGGGCTTCGAAGGCCGCCTTGACCGTGTTCATCGGATTTCTCGCGCGGGTGACACGCGCTGCCAGGTCCGAGATGCCGGCTGCTCGAGCCATTTCGAAGATGAGATGTTGACACCGGATGCCGAAGCCTACATAAAAAAGAGTTAACATGTCTCCATAAGCCGCAATTTCGACGACAGCCTAAAAAGCTTCTGGTTGCAAGGGCGTAACGGAAACACATACCAGGCGGCCTCGCGCTAATCTTCAGCTCCGTCGCCCCAACCTTGCCCTCCACCTCCCCAAAGATCGTCCTCGCCTCATACCGCGGCACGGGCTTCATGCTCCTAATCGCCTGCATCATCGCCTGCCTCTGCCCGTCCTCGGGCTCGCTCGCCTTGCCCTCCCCAATCCCCAACATGCCGTTCTGGTTCCCCGCAATCGTCAGGTAGTACAGACTCTGGATCTTGCCCATGCGCGTCTGATTCACAACGCGGTGGCTCACGAGATTCTTGACGCGGATCCGCTTGATCTCCTGCAGCGTCAGCCCCGTCTGCTGCATCAGGCGCACCATGTGCGGATCCTCGTCCTCGCCGCGCGTGTAGCGCAGCCCGGGGGTGTTGAACTTGGGCAGCTCGGGCGCGAGCGCAGAGTACGCCCCGCTCTCGTCCCGCATCGCCTCGTAGGCCCGCTCGTCGTTCGCGTGCATGAAGGTCTTGGGGTCCCGCAGGAACTGTGACCACTCGCGGAAGTACTCCCAGTCGCCTGGCTGCTCTTTGAGGTCGGCGCCCCCGCGCGGAGGCTCGGTCCCTTGGTCGCCCAGCCCCTTGGTCTTCTCGGTGAAGTTGACGAGCGCCCGCGCCAGCTCGCGCTCGCTCTTGTGCCGCACGCGGTAGTCGACGCGCGAGTCGAGCTCTTTGCGCGGCTGCTTGTCGGCCCACGGGTGGATGGCCGAGAGGTCGTCGATGTAGCGCAGCTTGTAGGGATCGGTGCGCAGCGCGCCCTGGGTCAGGAGATCGCGGGCATCCACCGCCGCTTCGCCGGCTTCGATCGCGGCGACTTGCTCGGGGGTGTACTTTTTCGCGAGGAGGGCCTTCTCGGACTCGCTGTAGGTGGGGACCTCGGCGGCACGGGCGTTCAGGGCTTCGAGGTCGGCGGCTTTGATGCTGGGGTAGTGCGGTCGGCGGCGGCCCCGGCGGGGGGTGCTGGTGTGGAAGCTTCGGGGGTGGTGGAGGCAGGGCAAGGGTTTAGAGGCGGAGGTGGCGGCGGAGAAGAGACATCGTGCTGGGCGAGAGACGCTCATTGCGGCGTCTGATGGCTACAATGGCTCTCAATCGGGGGGAAGGGGGGTTTATGGCGTTGGTTTGGATGGATTGATGGTGGTGTAGCTGTTCGGCGGGAGTGCCAAGGGTCCCGGAGGTGTCGAGAAATTCTGCCGCGAGACGGTCATCTCCGCCCACAGCTTTGGGAGACACCACTGCAAAAGTTAATGTTCACACTCCGAGTATTTAATGCAGTGAGAGCATGTCATGAGGTCGCAACCATCTCCACGACCGTAAGAGCTTGGAATCGCAAAATGGCATCCTCGGCGGCCAACGTAGCGCCAATCGAGAGCAACGGCTCGAAGAGACGGATGTGCGACGGCGGACGCCAAAAATCCTACCGGTTCAAGAAGCAGAAAACGAGCAAGCCTACCAAAGACGGATCGAACGAGGAAGTTCTGATAGAGGATGTCAGAGTGCTCCTGCAAAAGCAATCCCTGGAGGACACGCCGGCCAAGGATTACACGAATGGAGAAACAGAAGGATCTTCTACAGCAACAGGAGCACTGCCAGAGCCTTTCTCGGAGATTGATCTTACAGTATCAGAGCTCTCCTCTACAGGCGACGGCCTAGCCATAGCACCAGACACGAGCAGGGTATACGTTGTGCCATTTACCGCACCCGGAGACACAGTAACCGCAAAAGTCATAAAGCACTTCCACGACCACCCCTATACTCTCACCGACTTCGTCAAAGTGCAGCAACCCTCACCCCACCGAGATGATACCCTGGTCCAATGTCCCTACTTCGCCAAGTGCTCCGGTTGCCAATTCCAGATGCTCCCCTACTCCTACCAACTAGAACACAAAAAGACCATCGTCGAGAAAGCTTACAAGAACTTCTCCAACCTTCCCCCAGAGCTCATACCGCCCGTCGAGGACACCATCGGTTCACCCTTGCAGTATGGCTACCGCACGAAACTGACACCGCACTTTGATGGGCCGCCTGGTAAAAGAAGCGACAAGCGGAAGGGTATACACCAAGCCTTTACAGAAGTCCCGCCAATCGGCTTCATGCAGAAGGGTACCCGCAGGACCATCGACATCGAGGACTGCCCTATTGGTACCGACGCCGTACGCATGGGCATGAAGTGGGAGCGCAAGCGGGTGGCAGCTGAGCTATCCACCTACAAGCGCGGAGCGACGCTCCTGCTCCGTGAGAGCACCAAGCGCGTTCCCAAGCCCCTGCAAGATGCGACTACCAATTCTGCTGCAGACGAGAGCGTAGCTGCAAAAGACGATGTAATCCTCGAAGACCGCGGCGACTACGTTGACGAGAAGACATGCGTGACCAACTCAAACGCCACAACAACCGAATACATCGACAACTTCGTCTTCGAAAACCCCGCCGGCTCCTTCTTCCAGAACAACAACTCCATCCTGCCGACCTTCACACAGTACATCCGAGAGCGCATTCTCCCTCCTGCTTCCACCGCCACCACCCACCCCAAAATCACAAACCTAATAGACGCCTACTCCGGCTCAGGCCTCTTCACCATAACCCTCTCCTCCCTCTTCGTACGCAGTCTCGGCATCGACATCTCGGGCCCCTCCATCGCCTCCGCAACCACAAACGCAGCTCTCAACAACCTTCCCCGAGACCGGACCACTTTCCTAGCCGCGGATGCCGCGAACCTCTTCGCCTCCATCGACTTCCCCGGGGCCGAGACCGTGGTCGTCATCGATCCGCCGCGCAAGGGCTGCGATGAGAGTTTCCTGCGGCAGCTCATCAGGTTCAGTCCCGCTAGGGTGGTTTATGTGAGCTGTAATGTGCACACACAGGCTAGGGATGTGGGAGTGTTGGTGGGCGGGATGGAGGGCGTGGATGGGGGGACGGGGCCGGGGAGGGGAGTTTATGAGATTGAGAGTTTGAGGGGGTTTGACTTTTTCCCGCAGACGGGGCATGTGGAGGGGGTGGCGGTTTTGAGGAAGAAGGCTGAGGCTGGCGGAGAGTGAGTGGGGGATAGGATGATGTATGTTGGCTGCCATCCGTAGGGGTATCGAAACCTCCCGTCCTGTCCACTTTCGTTGCTGCCTTCTGCTTGTGAGATGCCATCTACTTCACCAACAAGGGTGGTCCTAGCAAGCTCCTCAACACTGTCACTGTCATCGAGTGTATCAGGACCTTTAAGTGGTGCGCGTCGCCCTGCGTGGCGTTCAATCCCCAGCATCACAGACCCGCAAAGACCGAGAACTCAAGGTTAGATACTGTCTATGTTCTTGCAGCCCAGCAGCCCAGCAGCCACACACCGTCACCCAAACACCCTCCCCAGCAGCACCCCGCCAAACCTCTCCTCCCCAGGCGTGCCCACGACCCTGTCAATGCGGTTCCCGCTCCTAACACCAAGCCAGTTCCCCGCATCGCTCGGTACCTGTCCGCCTTCTCCGTCGTCGTCGAGGCGCTTCTTGCGGTTCCGGCGGTCCACGACGCACATGCCGCGCGTCCACTGCCCGCTCGTCTCCACGCGGATGTCTTCGGGAGCGGCGGCGGCGAGGGTCCAGTGCGGGGAGGAGGCGAGGAGGGTGTACCAGATGCAGAGGCTGGGGGTTGTTAATGGGGAGGGGGGTGTGCGGTTGCGGGGTGTCCTCTTGGGTATGGTGTACAATGTGGGAGGGGTGTGTCGACAAGGTGTAGGTCGAGTTTGGTAGAGGGAAGAGGTGACTTGAAGGAGGGGAATGGGGAGGCTTACGGATCATGAAGAGCGAGTCCAACGACGTCGCCAGAGACGCCTGGAGTCAGGGACTCCATCTTCGCGAAAGTGGAGCCGAGAAACGCAGTCATCCACTCGGCTAGGGGCGAGCCGGCGTCGAGTTGAGGCCCGACGATGGAGTTGAAGGTGCCGCGGGTCAGAACGTGGCGTTCGGTTATGTCTTCGCGTACATGTATGTCAGATGCTGTTTCAATCCCGTCCTGACATCTAGGTGTAACATGAGGGGGTGCACCCACCAAGCGGAAAGAGCTTAACCTTCAGCCGCCTCGACAGCTTCTCCGGATACGCCTTCAGAAACGGCGGCGGCGGCTCCGCAGACTGCTTCCCCGGCGGCGCAGGCGGCACAGGCGGCATAGTCGTCTTTGGATTCGGGCTCGTAAGCGCATAAACACGCGCGGCGGCGATACTGTCCGCGTACGTGTTGAACTCGGCAACGGGCGTCATCTGGTTGCGGAGATTTAGCGATCTCCTTAACGGCGTGTCGGGCGCCTTGATGAGATTGAAGGGTGGGATGGGGATGCCGGGTGGGAGAGGGGGAGGATGGATGGGCGGAGGGGGTTGCTCTACGTTTCCTGTGTGCTCGATGGCGCCGCCCATGACAACGACTTCTTTGGCGCGGAGGAAGGTTTCTGGATCTGCTGCTGCGGCCAGGGCGAGGTTGGTCATGGGGCCGATGGCTACGATAGTGATGGTGTCTGGTTCGTTCTCGCGGAGGAGGCGGAGCATCTCTTCATGGGCGGGCAGTTGGGATGGCGTGAAGGGTGCCTCTGAGGCTTGGATCTCGCGGGCTGCTTCCGCTTCGTCATCGTTGCCGGATGAGGCGGCAACGTCGAACAGACTCTTCCAGCTCTCTGCCGGGGTGAGATGGGGATGCTGGCGGAGATCAGAGCCGTACTGGGAGACAAGGACGAGTATGTAGTACGCTGGAATGAATACCGCCCAATCCGTCAACGCCGTCTGCGTGTCTATGGTCAGTACTATGTTCATTGTGCGAAACACGGAGAGCACGTACGGAAATAGTCGGCCATCATCAATTGATCTGCTAGAGGTTCTTCCGCGCCAACAGCCACTACAGATGTCGTATGAGTAGAGGATAGGCAGACAATAACTGTCATCCGCATGCCGCTCACCAATCGGCTTGCTAGCTCTTAACGTCTCGAATCCTTCCGGCTTTCCGTTCTTTCTTCGCCATTCCTGCTCTTTCTCGATATGATGAAACAGTGATACAGCATTACGGAGACAACTGCAGCACGATTAGCCGGGAACAGCAGTATAGTCACGCAATGAGATATGGCTAACTTCTGCACGTCTACATTGCCAAATGTGAGCGATATGAGAAGTACCTCTAGTTCTTCGGGTTTTGCTGAGAATGCTAGGAGTAGCGCCAGAATGTCGTCAACTCCCTGCTCTCTGTTAGCTATTGACGTTGTAACATTATATTGAAAGGGATCTCACAGGATCCGTATCAATTATGATACGGTTTGGCGACGCCATGTTCGGAACCAAGAAGCCAATATACTCCTCTAACTCAATAACACAAGGCAGTTGTGTTCCTGCAGGATGAAATCTGATGTTGGAGGATCGGCATGCCAGGGAAGATCTTCATACCCGTGGCTGGTGAACCAATCAACTACGCAACTCTCCCACTTCCAAGCTGTATATCAGGAAACTCCATCAAGTTACGGCTGTCTCGCTGTGTTGTTTATCGACATTGTGCAGCACGCTAAGCAAGACATACAAGGGCATCACAGAAGCAAAGGTCACGTGCATTGTCACAAGAGCACCAAGTACACCAGAAACAGTCTTTCCTTTCCAAAGTTGATACGCACGACTACACAAAGCTGCTTGGAGTGATGAAAATGATGATAGACTCATTCACCGCGTCCAAAGCGGCCACCTCATACGCCTCAACCCCTTCATTCAATGCGTGGCTTTTGAAATTGACAACAGGCCTTTTCTTTCTCCCAGAAGCACCTCTTCGGTAAGAGCGTGAAGCGCGGGGCTCAGTACACCTTCTTCTTCTCGTCGACGCTGAACTGGCCCGGCCCCATGTTGACCAGCAGGAGCAGGCCACCCACGATGGAGAGGATCTGGAAAAAGTCGTACTTGGCGAAGTCCTTGTGTGGGTGGTGAGGATGGAGCTGGCGAACACGAGAAAATTAGCCCAGTTCCCCTGATCCACCCAAGGTTCTCCATCTCCAGCATCTCCTTCCAAAAGGCAATGAATGAAAAAGCCCCACTCACCGTCCAGAAGTTGTTAACAAGCACGTTGAAGATGCTCAAAATAACCACTAGCATGATGGCGCTCCACTTGGCCTTGAACCCCACAACCACCATCACACACGCCACAGCCCCAAGTCCACTAACCAAGATCCTGCCAACGCTCCACTCGCCCGAAAACACGAACCCCACGAACAAGAAGATCAGCAGCACTCTCCCCGCAAGCTGGAAGTACATTTTGCGATCCTTCTCCGCGATCTGAGGCAGCCCTGCGGGGGCGAACCGCTTGCGGACCCACGAGTCCGACAGCACCATGAGCAGCCCGCCCATGACGGAGAGGTTGCGCAGGAAGAAGTTGAGGTCGAAGATTAGGCCGTAGCCGAGCGCTTGGGTTATCACGACGCCGAGGAGGCCCATGACGGCGTATTCGGAGTATTTGCGCGCGATGATTAGGAGCGAGGAGATGGTCATTGCGACGACGTTTACGAGGAGGAAGAGGTGCGTTATGCCGGTGGGGACTGTGGGAGAGTGTAAGCGTCTTTTCTGTTGGAGGAGTTTTGAGCAGGAGCGTGGAGAAGTGGGTGCTTGGGGAAGGCGCGGGCGGGCTGTTCTTACTGCGGCGGTAGTCATGTAGGTAGGTGAGCTGGTCGCTCCATTGTGTGATGATACGGAGAGCATCTTCTAGGAATGTGACGACGATGAGGAAGCGGCCGATTGCTGGGAGGTAGCTGTGCGTCGGCTGTCAGTAATCCTGTTCATGTACCCTGAGTGTGTACACAAGGAGCTGCTTCGCTGCTGTTGTGCTGGCAACTCCCCGAGACCTCTGGAGGAATAACTCACGGCTTAACAGGATCCGAAAGCGTATCTAACCAGTCCTCGATCTTGCTCGTCTGCTCGCGGATCGCATCGAGCGGGCTGGGGTCGTTCGTGGCTTCAGGCCTGCTGGGGCCGCCGAACGGGCTCTGGTTGCCAAGGTGGTAGCCCGCTGTTCCTCGTATCTGCGCCATTGCTTGGGAAATGAGTGAAATACCGCTGCTGCGAGGAAGAATGGCGGCGGGGCTGAGGCTGAATTTATTGGATATTGGGTGCGGGGAGGCGTTTGTCAGAGCGGTGCGGTGGGAGATGGGTGTTGGCGTTCTTGCGCCGCCGCGGCAAGGTGGCCTTTCGCGTTTGGGGTTGGAAGCGGGCAGGAACCATGGACAATGAAAGCGGAAGGCTCTTGTGTGCGTATCTGGACAACACAGGTTAATCCAGTTGCAGTACGACCTTCTAGTTCTGACCGAGTGCATAAATGTGACCTCAGATCGGGGATCATAGTGTCCTCTTCTATGGATGCCTGAGGCATAAATCATGTTAATAAACGGCCTCATTCTTGCCACCACATCAGCACAGGAGGTTTTTGTTCATTGTCTTGGTTTGTTGTAAATGTACAATGAGCTACACATTTTTGACTTGTCCTATCCCTGCTCCAGATCCCGGTAGCGATGAAATGTGAAAAAAGAAACTATCAAACGGCAGGATGCAGATAAAACAAGTGCGGAAGGTAATCCAAGGACCGTCTACTGCCAACCAAATAGCACACCCCCGTTGCCACCGGTTGGCTGTATTCATGAGCCGGTGACGCCCCTGAGATACTCTGCAGATTGTGTTGGGCGAGGCCGCGCCGCAATTCTGCAATGACGTCCTACAGAGACAGAATTGAGACGCGTATGGGCAAACGAGTTTGGAGAAAGTAAATGAAAGCCGCCCCCAGCATTCCTTTTCTGATGAGGAATCGAGTAGATGCAATAGCGCAATCGCCAACGAGACCATAGTTTCGTTAGCTGTTTATCGCGAAGGAGCGTGGAGACGCTGCTGGAGCTGAAGTGGAGACATGCTCCGAGGCTGAATAGCCAAGGCCGTCAAACGCCGCAAGAGCGCAGCAATAGGCCGACTGTCTAGAGAACAGCCCAGTCGGAATCACCGGGATGACGTGAGGTCATGAAAGCCGACACATCAGCCGAGGAATTAAGCCCGTTGTTCAGTAATCTTGCACCAGCTGAGGTATTGGTTGCCGCTGGAGTGGTGGTTGCAGTTGCAGGGGCGGTGGGAAACTCTCTCACCACAGGAGCGGCTTGGGCGATACCCGTGTCGCTGCTCTCGTTGCCAGTGGCATCTCCAGCGACCTCATTGCCGGTCCGCTTCTTGGCCTTGCGGCCCTTCGGGACGGTGTTCCAGCCCCAATCCTCTGATTCCTGAAGAAGGCGCATCTGTTCCTCCTCGGACATGCCGTCGTTGATCGAAGTAGTGTTGGTGCCGGTCCCGGCGCCATCGGAGCTAGTTGTCGAATGAGCGTCAAAAGTATCGAGTAAGGGAGCGGCACCGACTGCCGGTGCAGTTGTGGTGGTACCATTGGGGGCCTTGCTCTGGCTCGTTGCGGTCCAGGCGCTGCTTGCGGGAGCCACCGCTGGGGCCATGCCGTTCTTAGCCGGCTCGCCACGAGCCTCGCGTGCGGTGCGCCGTTGCTTCTCTTCGAGTGCGCGGCGCTCCTTCTCCTCCTGCTCTCGTGCTAACTTCCTCTCTTCAATCTTCCGGCGGTTCTGACGCTGCTTCTTCGTCTCCGCGGACTCGGCAGGCTTCTGCTGCTGCGGCTTCTTGGCCCGCATGGATTGCGTTGACTCGGTAAGCCGAAGGACCGATGGGCTGGCGGCAGGAGCCTCCAGCATGTCCGAGACGTCTCTACCGCTAGGTACAGCGTCGGCACTGGCGCCGAGAGACGGTGACAAGGCCGGGGACAGATCATCGTCTGCGTCAGCGCCAGTCGTCGATGAAGTGGTGGATTGACGAGTTTCAGCACTCGCCGCAGACTGACGCACGGTCTTACCGCGGTTGTTGGCGCGCTCTGGCGGCGCCAAAGATGTACCCTTCTTCAAGCCTGCCAACTGCCGAGCCCACTCCTTGTTGCCCTCTTCCTCCTCGCCGTCGGAAGCCGACGCTTGTGAGGCTACGACCGTCGGCTTGGTGGCAGCTTGCTGTTGAGCTGGCTTTTTGCCACCCTTGCGCTGTTTGGAGGTTTCGCTAGCGCTGCCCGTATCAACTGCCGTTGCCCTCACTGGGCGTGGAGCGTCACTTTCGGTCCGCTGAGGTGTAACGGCCTCAGGCTTGCGCTTTGGCTTCCCCCTCTCACGCCGTTGGTCTGGCCGTGAGGCTTCATTGCCAGCGACCGAAGCTGCTCGGGCCGGCCGTACTTTGCTCTTGTCTCGACCGTGTTGAGTGTAGTAATAGAGTGCTCCTCCACCGAAGGCCAGGAACAGGCCCCAAGACACGTAGAGCTCCATATTGAGTGCCGAAGGGGTCTTTCAAAAGACCACGGCTGCACCTGTTAGCTGGATGCGCTTTGAGGCGGTTGGGGCCGGATCGACACACCTAGGGACGTATGTAAAGGTGAGAGGTGCGGATGGTGGGTTGAATTGACAAGAGCCCACTCGGCCGAGTTCGCCAGATGACTCTACCGGCGATTGTCACAGTCGAGAGGCTTTCCGAAGGTGGGTTTTGTGATCCCCTTTCACGAGAGGTGTGGTTGAAGCAAGGGAGGCTGTGCTCTGGGAGCCAAGAGCCAAGATATTGGCACAGCGGAGGAAAGCCGGCTACACAGTGGCAATACCTGGCATGCAACCGGTGCTTGTGATTGAAGGTGCTGTAGAAGTCGACGAGAAGTCGTGGAGCGACGCTGTGGCCGGCTCAAGAGGACACCTCAGCAGAGCTACCCCGGCTGAGGCGATGCGATTCCGTGAGGCGAGATCAGGTGATATTAAACGATGAAGGAGGCAGGCTGCGCAAAGATCACACGAGCGGTAGACAATGACCCTCGCTTTGAAGAGAGAGGAATAGCGCTGTGGGGGAATTGGAGTGGGTTGAGGAGGAGGCCGATTATGAGGTCGCAGGTAGTCAGGGTACGGGAGCACGGAGGCGGCGAATCTAAGGTTCTCAGGGCTGCCAATCTGGGATTAGACGCGCCAGATGCTCCACGCCGTTCCTTGTCCCTTTGATCATCTGGGGGGGGGAGCTCCGCCGCGGGTTTCCGTGACAAATTGTAATGGCTACATCCTGTGTGGCTCGAGCGTCTCCGATGGTGTTTGAGTGTCTTATTGAACTGGGGCGGATGGCCTCTCTCCGTCAACCCGCAAAGTCTCAACGGCCTCCTAGCCCAACTCAATATGCGAACAAGTCTCCCGTCTGTCAGCTGGCCTGAAACCCGTCGGCGCCCGCGTGTCTCTCTGGTGATGCCCTGAAATGGCAGCTGCGAGTTTGGTGTGCTCGTTGGATAATTGGCTAATATATTTCCCACTCCCATGCATCGATCCCGAACAGCCGCTCAATTCGCTAGGATCATCCTGGGTCCCGCAGCAAGCGCCGACTCGTCTTGGAACAACCTTAAGCCGACTACTTTGCTATTTCAATCGTGTAGAACAGGCATGCTAGGAGAACGAGGCCAATAATAGTTATATTTGTAGATTACCTTACCAATCTTCACTCATGTCACAATCAGGTTTCTTTGGAACGGTGTTTTTGGCAGAAAGCCTCCCATTTTTTTGTGGGTGTTTTGTCATTTTATATCTCCCAAAAAGCAGTCTAGTTAACGCCAAACGCCTGGGCGATGCAAACCTCGAGATGTGGTATCATCGCTAAGCGCAGGAAATCAAAAGCAGTACCCAGAGACCCTTATCCTCCTATTCATCCCCTAAAGGCCACACTCCGCTTCCTCACGATAGCATTGTTCTCGCAAGTTGTACCGAGTGCAACATTCTGCCAGGTCACCTTGCCGTGGTCGCAGAGGCCGAACTGGAACAGTCCGTTGCAGAGAAGGCCTGTACCGGTGCATGGTGACTTGCCGCCGCTTGAAGGAGCCGCAGGCGCAGAGGCTGCTGGAGAAGTGGCTGCCGGCGGCACACCGGTGACGGTGACGAACGCGGTCATGGTGATGGTCGGCCGCTGCGCAAACTCGCCTGGAGCCTGCGAAGTGGCCGCGGGAGGCGCTGGAGCTGAAGAAGCTGGCGGCGCAACAGGTGCTGGTGCAGGTACTGGAGCCGAAGGCGGGCCACCAGCTGCAGTACCACAGTCGCCAGTCGGGTTGCCCTTTTCAACGGATGGAGCTGTCTGAGCGAATGCGCCCGGGTTGGGAAAGACGACGTCGATGGTCTCGGCGGACTTGCAAGTTGTAATCGCAAGGTTGGCGACGAACATGTCGGGAAGGGCCTCGAAGACGCTGTCATCGCTGCCGCCCTCAGTGATAGTAACCGGTGCACAGTTCATGTACATCTCCCGGTTGCCGATCTTGTTGAACCAGGTCCACGCGAATGCGTACTCACCGCTTGGGAAGCCCGCTGGTATCTCGAAGGTTTGATTCTGCCCACCAGAATTACCTGCCCCAGCGCCCGGACACCCGCCGATGTACGACTTGATGACCTTGAACTTGGAGTCCTTGGTGGGCTCCTTGTCTTTGCTGAGGGAGAGCTGGCAGGAACCGCCGCCGTGAGAGGCGCTGCCGGTGAAGGAGAGGATCTGTGAGGATCCGGCCGCCATGGTGTTCATCTTGGATACAGCGTAGACTCCTGAGCGCTGCTTGCAGGGAAAGTCTGAACCACTGGGATCAAGAGGACTGTTGTTGAGCGTGGCCATACCGTAAGGTTCTGGAGTGTTCATGATCATGTGTCCGCTGGCCGCGGTGGCGAGAAGGCCGAAGAGAGCGAGAGAGTACATCGTAGATGTCGTGGTGTTGATCTTGAAAGAGTGAAGTTGTCTCGGTGTATTCAGGGTTGTTCTCAGTGTATCCAGGGTTGTTCTCAGTGGAGAAGATGCTAGATGACTAGAGTGTCGTGGATGTAACGAGCTTAAATGAGCGTTGTTGGACTTACCAGCGATTTGGTGAAAACACAGTTGAGCTCTTTGAGCTGTGAGAGTTGTATGTGACCTGCGCTAGATGTAGATCTGTGCGGTGAAGAAGTGGAGGCAAAGGGGGGCTTCACTCGATATTTATTCTGTTGTTCTCGGCATTGTCCTCGTCACAGTGATCCCATTGTGCCTGGCTATGATTCCGCTGTGGTTTCTGAGCCCATGAGCATAATACCTTTGTCTTAGAGAGGGTGATTCCTCGCAACGCTCTTTGTCCCGTTTACACTTGAGCGACTAGCGCCGCCGAGGCGTCTTGGATGTGCTCAACAGTGCTCGCACTGTGCACTTTGGTGACTTAGAAACTGTGAAGGCGGCAGGCGATGTTGTCGCAGCTCATTGCTGGACTGAATGGAGATCCGCATATTAGCAGGGCCTGTGAAGCGGAGCCTAGACAGCTGAAAGCCGATTTAGCCATGTCACTGCTGGAGACATGGCAAGTAGGAAGTCCGAGGCACGTGACAGGGTCTGCGAGGCCGGCAGTGTGTCGAACACTTCCACGTGTGTGAGCGCTTCGGATGAGCTGCCCAAGTAGCCATTGTGGATTTTAGGCTACTAGGCTACTCCGAGATCTTGTCTGCACCACCGACGAGAAGCTTTGCGGTGTTTCGGTGAAATGCTGCAGTGGAACTCGTAGCGCGCTCAGTGTCCACACAGTACGCGGAGCGTACAATGAGGCCGTTTGTTGAAGACAGCAAAAAACAATTCTCCAGCTGCCGGTAAGGAAGTGAATAACCGAACATTGAGAGATCGAAAATCATTCTCTGAGATTGTTATCTGATAGAGAAGGCCAATAATGCAGTCAAGTAATGTAATATTCGGCCCAAAAAGAATATAACCTTGAATTAAGCAGCAGTGGTTAACGCATACTAATGAAATGGGAGATGGCGATCAGAGATGGATCAAAAGGCTGCAAGGATTGGCAAGGGTTTTGAGACGAGAGGGTTGGCCTAAATGTAGCGTGAGCAGATAGAAAGCGTAGCGATCCCACTGATGGAGATAGAGTGGACATAGTGTCAATCTTGGGGAGTGGCTGACAACCGCGTCGTGGCCAAAAAAAACTTTCCTACCAAAATCGCATCCTCACCGAATGGCAAAACCACTCTCTTGCTTTGAACAAAAACTCTACTGATCAGAGTAAAGTGATGTACTAAGCGCTTATCCTTACATGTAATCTATATTAAAGCATTCTTGCAGCTAATACCATATTACTTTGTGAAGTTCTGAACGATGTAAAGACGCGATCTTGGTGAAGAAGCGCTTCGGTAGGAACGGTTTTTCGCCACGACGTGACAACCTAACGCGTACTGATCTTGTGTTCTCGTTATCGAACAGGCGGACAAATTAATACTTTCATCTTTGGGAAGATTCACAGCAAGGCCGCGTGCGTCCGTGTGGGTGTGAGCGCTGATTAGAGGACGTGGGAGATGAGGATGAGGTTGAGAGATGTGGTGCCTAAGGCATACAGTATATATTACAGCTGACGTAAGTTACCGCGAGCTGTTAGGTTAGCTGTTAGCCAGATCGCCGCGAGCTGCCGAAATGCGAAGCCAGGAACGACAATTGACGAGCGCGACAGGTCATCGCATCACGCTGCAAAGATCCACCAAATTCTGTCCGCTCCGCAGCCTCGACGCGTCAAGTCGGTCGCGGAACCACCTAGAAGCCAGCATAGAGTCAGATTCCAGAGACCATCACTCCCCGTCGAGCATTCCGCAGGCACCCGTATCCATCTTGTAGACACAATACCGAACAGCACGCCTGGGGCTGGTGTTCGGCCGCACCATGTCTCCAGCGATTGCACCGAAGATGAATGCGCCGCAAGCATTTGTCTCCAGCTACGCGCCGCGCATCCGAGCCTATGGCAATTCCCTACTCACTCCCGTCATCCCCCAGACCACCCAGCTCCCACCTGCACGAACGACCAAGCGGGGGACGACAGCTATAAACTACGCGGAAGATGGGTTCGACGACGAAGATTTCGATGACAGCGAAGGACCACGGCGACCCACCGGACTTCGCAGTCTACGGAGGGACGAGGCCGGCGTGGATAAGGTGGGAGGACAAGCCACCCAGCTGGGCAAGGAGCTTACGGCGCCTGTGGAGATACAAGGTGTGTGGAGGGATTGGATGGGCAAGCCGAAGCGTTCGATCAACAGGACGGAGCGGCAAATGCAGGTCCAGTCCGCGCTTCCGCTGACCCTAATCCCCATACGGATTGACCTGGACATACAACCCTTTAGACCTGAAGCTGCTTTACCCCTCCCGAACAACTTCCGCGACTTCGGTATCGACGAGAGTTTGCCGGCCTACAAGCCTTCGGAACCGACACCAGCTTACAGACTGAAGGACACCTTTTTGTGGAATCTGCACGAGGCGTTAATGACACCGGACCAGTTCGCAAAAGTGTTCGTGGACGAGCTCGATTTCCCTGCGGAACGCAAGCTAGCATTTATCATGACGATCGCCGCTCAGATACGGGATCAGCTCCAGGAGCATGCTGGCGTGGCATTACACCCCCTTTTCCACGCCACTAGCACCACGTCCGCAGACGGAGCTGCGGTACAGACTGTCCAGCCCGCTCCATCTCGCGACGAGTCCTCAACGCCCGCTCCCATAGTTCCCCCTTTGCCCTTACCAAACGGCATTAGGGAACGGGATGGAACACAGACGCCTTCAGTCGTGCCAAACGGCATCACAGCAACCGCCAAACCCCTTCCCACCGAAGACATCCACAACCCCGACGACGCGTACCGCTGCATCATCAACCTGAACATCAACCTCATGAACCGGCTCTACAGCGACAAATTCGAATGGTCGCTTCTCCATCCCCCTGGCTTCGCTGAACTCTTCGCCAAGCAAACCTGCGCGGACCTTGGTCTCTCTGGCGAATGGGTCCCCGCGATGACCCATGCGCTCTACGAAGCCGTGCTGCGCCTCAAAAAGGAAGCCTGCGAGAACGGCGGCCTGGTCGGCTACGGCGACATCGACAACCAGGCCGCCGAGGGCGCGGAAGCGGGCTGGCGGTACGACAACGAGGATCTTGGCGCCGAATGGGAGCCCAAGGTGGAGCTGCTGTCGAAGGAGGAAATCGAGAAGAGGGAGGGCGATCGAGAGAGGCAGATCCGGCGGATGCGGCGCGAGACGGCACGGTTTTCTAGCACGGCGAATATGGCGGGCGGCGTGCCGCAGAGCGACTATTTTGCGAATCCGCAGGAGCTGGAGCAGCCGATGGGGCGCGGTGAGAGGAGTAAGAAGAAGAGGAGGTTCAGGAGTTTGAGTCCGGTGGGGAGGGATACGCCGAGTGCGGCTGCTGGGTATGGCGGAGAGGAGAACCAGCTCAAAGAATGGCACGTCACGTGATCTCCGCAGCGCCTGTAGAAGAGAATGCTGACTCGAAGTTCAGGGAACGGACAACCTGGCGATGCGCGCACTGCAAGGTCTGGGGCTCCGCCGTATGGGGTGTCCGGGACGGTCCGGGTGGCCCAAGGGTAAGCTATCTTGCCTTTGACCCTATTGCAGCTCATCAGAGGCTAATCGGCACGGTACATAGACCCTTTGCACCAACTGCGGCCTTCTCTACGAACGGGATAAAAAGCTGCCCCCATGGTCGACGGATCTATTCGAACACGAGCGGGCCTTCGGTGCCCGATAGCATTTCAAGAAGTCCTGTTATTCGAGTTCTGTTGAGGTGATGCCGCCTTACACTTAGGGTTTGCATGTGCGCAGATCTGCGGCATATTGGAGCATTATGGGAGCGTTGGAGTTCGGGGAGCTGGCTGGAGTATCCTCTCTGGCCGCAATCTTTGGCCATCTAGGCCACAACTTATTAAGCGCCTGCATATCTACAAGTAGCCGCTAGCATCTATGGGCGATGTTTGGAGCCTGTTTAGGTCAACAGTTCTCTGACAAAGACCGAGGGACATCAGTTGCAGTAGCGGAGCGAAAACGGCGCGCTAGGGCGCCTACTCTTCATGAACGCGTCTTCCTGTTCCCGCAATACTCGTGACTTGAAGTCGCACCTGTCGCCTTTATGTCTGTCAGTCTCCTCGAACGACACTCGTCAAGCAATGAATGTTTTCTGTGATATCATTGCGATATCCTACGAACCTTGCACAGGCCCGTCGCCTGGGGGCCTGCCCGGCATCTCAGGGCCAACTTTGGCATGTGAAAGCATCCCCGCGGCGTAATGCGTAATGGCACAGAGCTCCACTCCAAACCGTAACACTCGCTATCGACGCCATCACTCCAGACGTGGCCACTGAATCTTGTCCAGCTATGCGTGCTTCGAACACTCCAACGACTGGTCATGTTGAAGAAACACAGCGTCTTTGGCGTCCTGAAAGCGGCGACCGGCATCTTCGTTGAAGTAGCCTTCTTCTGGCAGCTCGTGAGTTGCTCACATAGCTTCTCCCTATCTGATGCGGATACTGATGCGCACGCCTAATGCAGCGGCTGTATAGCTGGTGGTCTCGCCCATCACCTCGCGATGCACTGCTCGAAACTCTAGCGGACGCCCGCCTCTTCGAGGAGTGGGAAGCCGCCGCCTTCCAGCTCGACGAGGTGCTGGGATATGACCTATGGTATATACTAGACTTCCTTCTCTGCTCCAGCCGGGTTGCTTATTCAAGCCGCGCGCAGGCGTCAGAATCCCACGAGCAAACACTACGACTACCGCCTTATCTACTCGCGCCTGCAGGCTATCATCGAAGCCCGCGAAGACGATGACATCCTCGGCCTTGTCAACCTGCTGCGCTCCGGCCTGGTACGGAATCTCGGGAACATCACCGCGCCGCGCCTCTTCAATCGCGCGTATGCGGGTACTAAGCTGCTGATCGAGGACTACATCACCCAAGTCGCGCTCGCCGTCGAGTACGTGACCACGTATCCGACTTCGCCGGCGCATGGGGATGCCGGCTTGACGAACCAGGCGAAGCTCGACGTACTCCATGATACGCGGCAGGCGTTTGGGCGGTCGGCGCTGGCGTTGCAGGGAGGTGCAATCTTTGGGCTGTGTCATTTAGGGGTGGTGAAGGCACTGCACCTTAGAGGGCTACTGCCTCGTATCATCGCTGGCACGGCGACTGGGGCGTTGATTGCAGCACTAGTTGGCGTGCACACCGAGGATGAATTGCTAGATTTCTTGGCGGGAGATGGCATCGATCTCACGGCTTTTGCGAAGCAGTCGAAGAAGAACGGGCGTGCCATGATGGCCAAGGGACACAATGACCAGAGCGGCTGGCTCGCGACGCTAAACAGGCGTGTCAAAAGATTCATCAAGGAAGGCTACTTCCTCGATGTGGAGGTGCTCGAGCAATGCGTGCGAGCCAACGTGGGCGATCTTACTTTCGAGGAAGCGTACGCCAAGACCAAGAGAGTCCTGAATATCACCGTCTCCAGCACTGGTGGCGGCGTGCCGGATCTGCTGAATTACCTCACCGCGCCGAACGTAGTAAGTCTTCCTCACCCTTCCACTGCTCCTCACAACTAACACCATCCCCTAGCTCATCTGGTCCGCGGCCGTCGCTTCCAATGCCCCCTCCACCTCCAGCCTCTACCACCCCGTAACGCTCCAATGCAAAGACGAGTCCGGGGCCATTGTGCCCTGGGCCTCAGCCCAAGAAGCGACCTTCCGCCCCTGGACCCACGCCTCGCATACTGAGCGCGAGTCCCCCCTCTCGCGCATCGCGGAGCTCTTCAACGTCAACCACTTCATCGTCTCCCAGGCGCGGCCGTACCTCGCACCGTTTTTGCGCAGCGACATGCATCACCCGCACCCGCGCACTGGTGGCCGTCTAAGTCTGAGTGTCCCGCTGCTGAGGCTTATGGTCATGGAGGTGCAGCATCGGCTGCATCAGCTGGACACGCTGGGCTGGCTGCCGCCGGGGATCAGACGATTCTTGCTGGACGAGAATATTCCGGCGGCGAGCTTGACGCTGGTGCCGGAGCTGACGGCTAGGGATTTTGTGCGCTTGCTTGAGAATCCGACGAGGGAGAGCATCGAGTATTGGATCCTAAGGGGTGAAAGGAGCGTTTGGCCAGCGGTGGGGGCGCTCAAGGTCAGGTGTGCGGTTGAGGTCGAGTTGGATAGGGGGTATCAGCTGGTCAGGAGGCGGAAGCCGTTCGATCCTGCGACGCCGGGGAAGGGGAGCAGGAGGGGGAGTGAGGCGGGGGTCAAGAAGAGGGCGAGGGCGGCGAGCTTTGGAGCGGCCGCGTAAACAGCTGCTGGAAACGCATCCAACTTGGTACAAGTGATGAGCAGCATATCTTTATATGGTACAAATCTGATTACGGAGTAAGGAGCGTATCTGACAGGGCTTATATCAATCGCTTCTTGGCATGGCATCACTGTATTCAGATAGTCCATCGAAATCACGCCCTCTATACCGTACCTTCATCTTCAATGGAGGTTCTATTCACCTGGCCTGAATCTTATAATCGATGTCGGGGATCGGAGCTTCAGGCGATGCCTCGGCACTTCCCCAGACCCCAGAATCTCACCCCCGAGCTCCCCGCAACCCCAAGCAATCATGAAGCTCCGTATACACCTGTCAGGAACACAACAAAGAGCAACTTGTATTTTAAAGGCCGTATATACTTGCAGCGATTCATCAACATACAAGCCACCTTAAAACCCGTCACGTAAACCTTAACTATGACCTCAGCACCGGCGAAGCGCTTACAGCAGCTGAGCGAACAGCTCTCCAAGCCGCGAGACGACCCGGGCAAATTTGAGAACATACCCAAGATTCCGAGGATAGCTGGCGATTCTGCCGGGCAGTAAGTGTGCACTGTTTGACAGGCATGGATGGGCTCTAACTCCCCGTTCCATAGGCGAGTAAAAGGCAGAGTAGTGATCATAACCGGTACGAACAAACCCACGTTGGTCCTTCACACTATAGCAATCGCTCATGAGGTCTTTCGCCAGGCTGCAACTCCCCCATAGGCATCGGCCGCGCCACCGCCCACCAATTCGCCCACAACGGCGCCAAAGCCGTGTATCTGTGCGACTTCAACAACGAATACCTCGAGGTGCACAAGCGTGAGCTAAACTCGCTGTACCCAGATGTCGACATCCACGTGCGGCAGTTCGACGCCGGCGACGAGCCCTCTGTGAAGAAGGTGGTCGAAGAAGCGTTGGAGAAATATGGCCGGCTGGACATCGTGTTCGCAAACGCCGGGATCAGCAGCATGAAAGTGTTCTACGAGGCAACTGGGGAGGAGTTCATGAAGATGATGAAGACGAATGTGCTGAGGTGCTGTCTCCTTACCCCCATCACCACCTTCAAAACACCGCGGAGAGATACTGACACGTCCCAAAGCGTCTTCCTAGCCACCAAATACGCCGCAAAAGCCATGCTCAAGACCTCCTCCGAAAAGCCCTACCCCTCAGGTTCCATAATCGCCACCGCCTCCGTCGCCGGCCTCCGCTCCAACGCGGGCCCAACCGACTACTCCGCCAGCAAAGCGGCAGTAATCTCCATCATGCAGACCGCATGCTACCAGCTCTCCGGCACCGGCATCCGCTGCAACGCCATCTGCCCCGGCGTCATCGAGACGGGCATGACGAGCCAGATGTACGAGATGGCGCGAGCCAGGGGCACGGAGAAGAAGATCGGGCAGCTGAATCCGCTGAGGAGGGGGGCTGTGGCGGATGAGGTGGCGAGGGTCGCGCTGTTCTTGGGGAGCGATGAGGCGAGCTATGTGAATGGGCAGGCGTGGGCGGTTTGTGGGGGGTTGAGCGCGGGGCATCCGTTTGTGCCGGGGAAGTTGGCGTAGGTGTGATGTACGCAGTGGGAATGGATATTTGACAGTACAGAATTTTCCAGAGCAGAGATTTCCCGGAGTCGAGATTTCGTGAGATATTGGTACACCCCCTTGCCGGTCAACCATCCACAGAAAACGTCACGCGTATCACTCCAAAACATACTCAAGCCTCCTTCCGCTCCTCCCTATACCGCCCAATCCACTCCGGCCGCCTGAACAGCACCCAAAACCGCCAGGGCAGATGCGGAATCATACTCCCCATCCCCATCAACAGCCCCTTCCTGCTCATCCCCGATGCCTCCCGCTTAACCAGCGCCTGATACAACAGCAGCGGAATGAATGCCAACTCCCCAGCAGCCAAGCCATAGTACACTGTCGTTCTGCTCTCGATGCCCCGCCGCGTGTTCGGGATGGCGAGCAGCATCGGCACCGTGAGGATGTAGCCCAGTGCGCCTAGCCATTGGGTCACCGTCGTGGCGGTCGCGGTGATCTCGGAGGGCTTGGATGCGAGGAGCTCGAGGAAGCGAGAGGGGAAGAAGAGCATGCCCGCGCAGCCGAGGAGGTTGATAGCGGCTTCTATCCCCAGCGCGTAGCGCATTATGGTGCCTGGGGCGGCGGGGTCGGGGATGATGGGCGTGGAAGAGAGGGTGGGTTGGATGTGCTTGGGGCTCTTGGTGGACATTGTATATGTGCTTATACAGAAAGACTATAGACGCTGTATAAAGATGCTGTTTAGCGCGGTTGTTATAGTTGATGTCGTTATCGAGTCTTAGATCATTGTGTTCACATGCCTCTCGATCTGCGGATGCACGTCATCGCTGTCAGGCTTCACGAGCAACACGTTGCCCTCTGAACTCCAGCAACGCGCCATGCGGCGCGAACCCAGGCTTCCTCGGCTTGGGAAATGCAAAGGCCATTCACTCCATGATGGACTCTGAGCTCCACCCCACACACATCCGAAATGTAAAGCACCCATCTAGCAAACCAAGTCCACGGCTAACCCTAGCAGCCCAGTTGAAACCCACCATGGCCTCGCCTCCTGGCCGCGAGCCAGTAACGGCATCAGCCATGGCCCGCGAAGCTAACAAATACATCCGCGAGATCCTCCACGCCCCCGAAGCGCCCCCGCCCATACCAGTCCGCTACTTCTACTCCTCACCCCTCGCTCTGGACGACCCTCTGTCTCCGGTACCGCCGCCTCTGACCGGCTCCACGGCACAGAAGCAGCATCGACCTCGACCCTTCTCTACGTATGACAATGAAGAGCTGGACAAGGCATGGCTGGAGCTACGGCGGAAGATGCTCAAGCTTGCTGAGGATAATGGCGGAGAAAAACGGCGGCCTGACGAGCCGGAGGCAAGCTCTAGTGTCCTCCGTACGGGTCTTGGTAAGGGCAGCGGCAGGGGGCAAGAGCCTATTTATGATCCACGGCGGAGGACTATACCGAGTCTCGCAAGGCAGCAGGGCGCTCTAAGCAATGAGCCTATTAGCGGTTCCTTTGGGTCGGCAAGCTCAGCGTCTCCGCCGAATTTCCTTCACAGGGAACCCAGAGATAGAGAGCTAAGCGCTGTTGCCGACACGACCCTTTCCGGCTCGATCCGTGCTCTCGATGTTGGCACTTTCGATCTTAGTACAGAGACCCCGGCGACAACGGGGACACCGTTTATACGAGCACCCTCCCGGAGAAACGTCGTCACATCTAGAAAGGAGAGATCCTCCCTATCTTCTCGTCCAGTGCCTTTCGAGTATGACAGCTACAACTGGGACGACGACCACTTTGCAGGACAGGCATCAGGCCACGAACGCGTACCAAGTAAGGAGCGCCCAACCCCAGAGCCCTCCGGCCCCTCAGCAAAAGTCCCCGTAGGAGTCTCCCGCCTCCACAATGTCGTTATGCCTCGGTTACAAATGGAGCCCATCTACTGGATTCCTGTCAACGACATCGCTACTGTCACGCGGGGCACGTGGTTCTACAAAGATACGATGCTGCCGGTGGAGGTCGATGTCGCGAATATGCTTGAGGCGGGCTATGTGGAACTGAGGCCGTGGACCCAGTCGTGGACCGATGAGCTTAATAGCGCGGTCGAGGTTGGGGCGCTCGGCGAGATGAAGGTGCTGCATAAGTTGTGGCCTGAGAAGTCGAAGAAGCCGGAGAGTAGGCCGGGAACGGCGCAGGGTTCGGAGAGGATGATGAGTACGGGGTGAGCTGAACTTCTAACTCCGTCCTGTTTTTCACGCACTGTTACCAGAGTCTACGGGTTTGCGGCCCTGAGCCCTTTTCTTGTTCCATTCTCCCACGTCTTCTGTGGCGTCCCAGATGCATAAAGTCATTACTCAACTATCGCAAGATTATATTGAGTGGCAGATAAGTCTAGCGTTATTTCTCAAGGAGCGTTAACGCTGCTGCTCTAGGCAAGAGTCGGATCGTCCGGACAGATTTCTAGTCTATCTCGCTTTCTCTACTACCAACAAAGTCTGCCGATACCTTCACTTCCGTCTCGATTGTGCACCCAGCGTGCGGTTCGAGTTATACTGACACCAATATCAGATCGGTAGAGATACCCGAAAGTCCTGAGAAGGAAAGGGAAGCAGTCGTCGAGATCGCTGGCGATCTCATCGACATTTCCACAGGTCCTGATGGACCCGATAATAAAGCTGCCGGTTCAGCTTCGTATGGCAGAGACGGGCAGAAGCGGTTGTACCTTGGCGCTGGGGTGATCTACGCGACCGAGACTGAGGCTTATGTCCTACGCCAGAACCTCCAGCCATCAGCTTACTACGGCCGAAGACCGCTAGCCAACTATATCCGCAAAGGGCGCAGCATAGGCATCTGTGTTGTACGCGGCTTTGACCAGGATGTCTGGGATAAGTTGCATCCTCCAAAGAAAGGCGTAACAGCAACAAAGGCTCGCGAAGGTGTATCGACTTCTCAAGCTGGAGCTCCTCCGATTCGGCGACAGAAGCTTGATTCAACTCTTGCGCAGTCCGACAGACCGATAGTGACTGATCTCGTGTTAGTCATCCATGGTATCGGACAGAAGCTTTCGGAGCGCATGGAGAGTTTCCACTTCACACATGCTATCAATGCTTTCCGGCGAGAGGTCAATGTTGAGCTTGGCACCGATAGCGTCAAAGCACATCTGAGACCGGAATTAGGCGGTATAATGGTTCTGCCGGTGAGTCCCTCGGCGTTGTAGGGGTTCCTCTCCCTACTCTCCACAGTTATCGAAACCACTCATGTCCTGCAAGTTATGACATCCGATGCTGACACAGAACAGGTCAATTGGCGGCTAAGGCTGTCCTTCGAAGACGGTGGCTATCGAGACACAGATGAGAATACTACCTCAAATCAATATACGCTCAAAGACATCACACCCGACACCCTACCCTCTGTCCGCGGTATCATCAGCGACGTGATGCTCGACATACCCTACTACCTCTCCCGTGAGCACAACCCCAAAATGGTCGCCGCCTGCATCAGCGAAGCCAACCGGATCTACAATCTCTGGTGCTCCAACAACTCCGGCTTCGCGGAACACGGCCGCGTGCATCTCATCGCTCACTCCCTCGGCAGCGTCATGGCCGTCGACATCCTCAGCAACCAACCAACTCATACCCCCACCCACCACCCCGACCCCTCGAGCCCCGCCCCCGCCATCCCATCCGACCACTTCCTCTTCGACACCAAGTCCCTCTTCGTCTGCGGCAGCCCCTCAGGCTTCTTCCTGCTCCTCAAGAAAGCAGCCCTGCTCCCCCGCCGCGGCCGCGCCAAGCCCGGCGGCGAAATCCTTGATGCAGATGTAGCAGGCGAGCAGGGCACCTACGGCTGCCTCGCCCTCGACAACATCTACAACATCGTCAACCCCTACGACCCGGTCGCGTACCGGCTCAACGCCACCGTCGATGCCACCTACGCCGCGGCGCTGAAACCAGCCTTTGTGCCGAGCGCCAGCACCTCGTGGCTTCCCGCTCTAGGCAACCCGTTCCGGGGCTCGCTGAGCAGCGCGGAGGCGGCAGTGGGCAGGAAGCCAGCCGTGCCGCGCATGCCGAGTAACGTCGAGCTGGAGACGCACGATTTCAGCAGGGAGGAGCTCGCGGAGCGGAAGGCGTTTTTGCTGAACGACAACGGGCAGATTGACTGGTTTCTGAAGTATGGAGGCGGCGCGCTCGAGATCCAGTATCTCACGATGCTGGGCGCGCATAGCAGTTACTGGATCTCGAGGGATTTTGTTAGATTTGTTGTTGTCGAGGTCGGCAGGGGGTTGGGGAGGGAGGGAACGGTGCCGGGGATGCGGGCTGTGAAGAGGAAGGTGCTGGTTGGGTGATCGGGGGGTCTGGGGGCTGGTTGTCCTGGCTCAGGCGGAGACGAGTCTGGGAGGCTTCAGAAGCATTGGTTCGCGTGGGAGGCGGTTTGTTTGAGCGTAGAAGCTGGCGCTACATAGACTGATACCCAAGCATTTTCGCACTGTTATGCATAATTTACGGGAGAGATCTTAGGTAGATAACTGTTATCAACTCTCCTCCCCTCACGTCTGCTCCTTCTGCTCCTTAGACGGTAAAGCCGGCTGCGAACAGTGAGATCGACTAGACATATAACTGAGTGGAGTTGTATTCTTGCCAGTCGCGATGACGGCTAATACTACAACCTTTTTAGTATAGTGCGTATAATATAATAGTGGATTGCTGCCTTATAATAGGTAGGAAGGTAAAAATTTATAATTAGAGCGAGTATAAAACTCCTAGAGTGGTATTATGTAACCCTAGAATATCTAGTAACTAAACGCTAAAGAACTATTAACTAACTCTTAGAATAACCTAAGCTCTAGATTCTAAGTCCATACATAGTTAGACTATAATAACCCTAAAATTATTACAAGAATCTCTTCAAAGTATATATTATTAGGATTTTAATAATACTGGATTCCTAAATGCAGGCAGCCTAGATAATAGTGATCGTCCGCTTCTCGCAGGCATTAAAGAGGGTCGAGTCACTATGGATCGGGCCATAGGGGTTCACCTTTATCCAGAATATACCTATGCGCCGGTACTCAGCCTCTATATTAGGCGACTTCGCTGGTGTAACGATAAGACCGACTTGCTGAACATCCCGACCTTCGGGGGAAAAATTTGCCAATAAAAGAGCCCATACATCATGCTCTATCTGTGGCTGATAGTACCCTGCATTGCAGTCTGGCGTTTCGCATTTAGACCGATCAGTGCATGTGTGTTCGCCAGGACAGTCAAGCATGCCGCTCGCGACTGATCTGTCGCCTTTGAAAAGAAGCTGCTGGTCACCGAGCCGCATCCGGCTGTTTGCGGGAGCTGTATCATACTTGACGGAGTCAATCTGTGCCAAGCTACCCGTCACTTTCAAATAGCCTCCGGTAATGCGGCCAAAAGGGTGGGAATCATTGCTTTGCACCACGACATCAATGACGCTGCATTGGCTTTCCAGTCGCTTGTAGGCGAACACAAAAGGATACTGAATGCGTCCGTCATACGCGCTCCAGCACCAACTTGGGGCACGATAATCCAATGATCTCCATAAGTTGCAACAAGCTTGGGGTCGACACCATAGTAGCCCGCCCACAAGTTTGCGCTTCCAGAGCCCGGCCAGGTACGTGTCTTGAAGCGTAGACAGTTGTAGAGCATGTGCCATCGTGGCTGCAAGCCCTGCAATAGCAGGCAATTTGTCGCTTTTATATGTTAAGGTGCGTTGAGTGTATATCTCCACGAGCTTGCACCAAATTTTGTACAGAGATTCTGAGCCGCGCATGTCGAGTTCTTGTTTGGGACACCACTTGAACATGGTCGCCCTTTCGAAGGTCTCCGCCGTGTTTTCCGAGTGCTGAAGTTCCTGACACTCATAGTGAAGCATTGTCTCACAAACAAACAAGACCCTTCTGGATAGATACCGCTCTTGGAAAGTCCATCCACGCTGATCGTATCTGGAATCTGTAACGTCCATGCTGAAATAGTGCAGGGGGGTGTAGCTGTTACGGCGAACGAGGCCATATGAGCCCTTCAGAGAGTGCCCTTCGGAAATGGCAAAGGGAACCTTGCAGACGGGCAAATTACGGTCCCGACGAACAAAGCCATCAGAGGTAGAGATATCCGGCGTAAACGCTACCGTGAGATAAGCTTGAGCATACACCTCACCCATTCTGCCTATTTCTATACCCAGATCCTCACAATCGTCTTGTAATATGCACACCGAATCGATCCATACAAATCGCAGACCCAGCCCGCGTGCAAGGGTGAACAGATGCTGAAAGCTCTTTGGTAAAGTTTGGAGGGATATACCATGCCGCCGAAGGTGTACATTCTCCTTTGTGGTCCTGAAAGACGGGAGTGAGGATCCAAGGCAGCCCCAGCAGTAACTGAAGGCTAGATATCGGACGGACAAGTCGCTTGAGAGGGCCACATCTGGGTCAAGATCCTTGCTACAGCTTGTCGGCCACGGGTCCTGATTGGTGATGATCAGACGAGGCGTACTGGGAAATGGCCCGTCTCCTATGTAGATGAGTCGAGTTGGTATGAACGGCGCCGTGGGGGCTTTGCAGGACGCATGATCCCGTGTACAGTTCCTGAGCCATTCAGTGCACATACGCATGGTATGTGAATCGAATATATTCGGTTCTACAGGTCGACGCTGAATTCCTAAGAAGCGAGCCACTGGTGTACCTAGGCCCCATCAGCTTAATGTTCGTCTTGTTCGGGAGGGAACATAGCAGTCTTACTTACCAAAGTCGGTCATAATGTCGAAGGGCAGTAGCATCTCCCGGGAGAAGCGGCCACTGCTAGTACTAATGCGCAGGTTTGGCCAGAGTTGAGAAAGACCTCCCGTAAAGCGCCTCGTCCAATAGTAGCGAAGTCCTTTGATATCGATGGTAATCTCCTCTTCCTGAGTAGCTCCAAACATCTCGTCGACCTCGCGTAGTACAGATTGGCTGATCTCCACGCCAATTTCCTCTTTGAGGAAGCCACAAAATCGGCACCCTTTAGCAGCAGACGATGCGAGCCGCGGGAACTCTGGGTAAGTATCTTGGAGCTCAAAACCCAGGTGGAGGTCTTGATCAGATGGCGCCTCGAGCACGACCTCCCCATCACGGACCTTCGTACTAAGGCTCGCCTTCCCGATGTCGATAACGATGACTTTACACCTATCACAGAGCCCAGAAGGTCCTACTATGTCGTGACTCGGCTTGCCATTGCTCGAAGGTACGGAATCATCGGTACGCTTAGTGACACTGGAAGCGGGGGTTTCTTTGCTGCGAGCCTCTCGTTTGCGTTTGTTCGAGGCTGTAGAGACCCTCTTGCGTTCCTCGGTCTTACTTGCTGACTCCGGAGTCATTTTGTATACTTCGGGTTGCTTTGCTTCACGTAGGTCAAACTGATAGACAAATGGTTCGGTCTTGGTCTGTCTTGTAGATTGTCAGAGGCTACCAAAGCGGCAGAAAGGGCAGACCTGAGCGTTGAAGAGAAGGCTGAGACAAGGCTTCCTATCTTATAGTAAAAGAGCAATCAGCCCTACGCCGGGCGCATGCCCTGCTTGGCGAAAATCAACTTCCACCCACATTTTTGGGAAAAACGCCTGCAAAACCCTCGCAGTACGATGATAAACTCTACGTAGAAGATATTGTAAATCCGCTTTATGCTTTTCTAAGCCTGCGCCTACGCTTTTAATGCATCAACTTTGCGGCGCGATTAAAGCCTATTTGCGGGCCCTGATAGACTTTAAAAATCGTGGTATGGCTTTGCTATGGCTGGCGATTAACACTTTGCGACCGTGGAGGTTTCGTTCTTGTGGTGTCCGAAAAACCCATCCTCTCTTTTTGCCCTTGCCAAGCTCCACGGAGCATTCATCGCTCCATATAATTGTGCGCTGTTATTCCGCAGTCCAATCCACTTGCGCTCTTGCCTATTTAAGCCTTATAGCTGCAGCTTTCTTTATATAAGCTAGCCGCTTTTTGCAACGCTATCTTGTAATATAATAGCATTTAAGAAGCTAGTATATGGTCCTAAAGACGTTCGATCGCAGTTTTTTCCCTATATGAAGCTCAAGGTGGTCCACCCTGGTTGCATGCCAGGTGTGTTTCACCCTAGGGAATTGAGTTCTGGTCATCCTCGCGAAGTGAGGCTGACCGGTTTTAGAGTCACTTTTGACATGACCATCGTTCCAATCTCTGGCAGGAAAGGGTGGTAGTAGCGTTATGAAGATTGGGCCGAAACACTTGTCATCCACCATATAAAGCTTCGGATCTACGGTGACATATTTTACGAATTTTCCATTAACAAGAAAACGGAAATGGCTTTCGTCGTCCCCTTCGTCGACGCTGGCTTGGAGTAGCTAGACTTTTGGACAGGTGGCCGCCATGGGATCGGGAGAATGAAGCGCGGATAGTTTATGATTATGTTAGTTACAGGCAAAAGCAGAGCAGTAATACTTAGCCTGAGGATGACACACGGCCGATTGCTGACACAGAAGAACGAGCGGTTACAGAAACAGCTGGGTGAAGTGTTCTCGTTGGATTTGTTTAGTTTGTTGCGGAGCTGCCTCACATCCCGCTGCCTGCTTCCGTCCACATGCGCTCCAAGCACATGGTAAAGCCTGGGAGGGACGAGATGCGTAGATGACTTGAGTGATGGCCACGATTAAATCGAGAGGGAACAAGAGAGAAGGGGGAAATTTGAGCACTCGTCAATCCTTCAACTGGGACTCTGCTCGAACAAGGCGTTCTTACTTCTTCTGTTCACGGGTCTCCATATTCAAACCGCGCCACCTCAATGTATCTAGCCATCCTTTACAAATGGTTGCGAGCCCCCATCCATTTCGCTCCGATAAGACGACTTTTTGGTTGCCAACCGAGCAGTAGTTGATGCATTGCGATTCCGTAACACTATATTGCACAACAGCCTTGTTAATCTCATTGTTGTGCTGGTGCAAGGCGATGAGCCCTGTCAATGATATCCCCGCACTCCCTGATGTGATCTAGGAGCGTCCCCCTCGTGAATTTTCTTCTCCAATGCATAGGCCGACATCTGTATTGCCGTTCGCAACCGACGCAATGAAAGCCCCATTCTGGAGATTTCGTACGTAGGTCCAACCAAGGCGTGCGAACAACTGCCATGAAGCGTCTTGGGTTCGACATCTGCCCGTCAAAAGAATCTTCAGAGCGAGGTCGGCGTGGAGTTGAGTCTGGCGCGCTTGCTGCCTTACATGCCACCCTCTTCCGATACTCTTCCAGTTTCTTAGATGCCATGGCAGAGACGTACTGCTCCATGGCGCTGACTGACCCATGCAGTGTGATTCCAGCTCGTCGAGCCGAGTCAGGATCGACGAGCGTAAGGCGTGTCCGAACGGATTTCCAACCCGGTGAATAGCATCCAGGTATGCTCTTCAAATAAGGTGAAGACGCCAGAAGGCTACGATCCAGCCCAAATTTTCGAACAGCGTCAGACCGTAGTAGTGGAAGGTAGTTTGGCTTTTCCGAAAGACAGATAAAGCAAACACGCCTACAAGTGGCGATGTAAAGGAATCCGCCAAAATCCCCACATTGCTCACACTCGGCGGTGCATAGTTTCTCATAGAGGTCATGGCACGTAATCCAACGGCCAGTTTCGATAGTGAGGATGCCGCGGAGTGAGTCAGGAGCGTTGGCCACGATAGCCTTGTATTCTGGAATAGAGTCCACCACCTCCACGGCTCTTTGATTGACGCGTCGGAAGTCGGTCAGAGATCGTAAGTCAGTTTGAACGAGTATCGCGCTCAGCAGTTCCAGAGGAAGACTATCCAAGGCCCCAAGACTGAATTTCGGAGTGATGTGGTGCCGACCATTGTCCAATGGGCAGCCCTCGGCGAGATCGTTGTCGTCAAGCGTTTGGTCTTCGATGTTCGGGCGGTGGTAGGTGAGCTCTTCAAGACGCGCTGCGCTCAGCGAGTGTTGATCCATTGGTTTCGCAGACGTACGAACAAGGTGCTCTCTTCCTGGGGTTGCGGAGGGCCAGATCGAGGGTAAGCTTGAGTTCGTGGAGAAAACTACGAATGATGCCCGTTATTGTGGTTGAGGGGCTTCTGTTCCTGCACGCGTAACAATGCGTGTTGGAACGGCGACGTACCTCCGTACACTCCAAGGGCCACCTGGATTGAAGGTGGCCGAACCGAACAATATGTAGCCGCTCCCCGCCATCACCATAGAATTTTACCAGCAAAAGTGGGGGATCAATTAACGACCTGGGGAGATTTCAAAGCCCAGTTCAAAGTTGCAAGCCCCGTAGCTCAATGTCCAAGAAGATGCAATCTAAACGTACTTCGTTCTCCACGCGCTATGCTTGCAAGATGCGCTGCGCTATGCTCCTAGCCAGAAATCAGAAACCCCCACGCACTCTATGCTACCCAGTTCCTATCCACACCTTGCCCCGCACTCATCCATCATCCATCCTAAGTACACCACAACACTTTCTACAGCGGTCTATACACACCTCACCACAAGACGCTTGGCGCCCCCGTCCCCCCCCAATGCCCCCATCCCACAAACTCCTCAACTCATCCCCCTCAACCTCTCCTGCTCCTCCGGACTCAGTGCCGCAAACACCTCCCTAAACGCCGCATCCCCCGCAATCCCCCTAAAAAACTCCATCAGGAACGCCTGCGTCTCATCGTCGCGCTGCCTCCCCGATCCGCCGTCCTCACCCGCATACGCCATGAGCTCTGCCTTGGTCGCCGGAAGCCCGAGATCCAGCTCATCCGGGTCGTCCTCCCAGTCGCCGTCTTCGCTGTTGTTGTTGTTGTTGTTTTCTGCGTCGTCGGCGAGCTCGCCTGCCGCTGCAGCGGCGGAGGAAAGCGTCCGCGGGTTGCCGGATGCGGAGAGCAGTTCTTCGACGAGGACTTTAAGGATTTTGAGGGGGGCGGGGATGATGGTGTAGCGGTCTGGGTCTTGTAGGTTGGGGTTAACGTGTTGCCTTGTTGTGGAGCTTTGGCGGCTGCGTTGGCGAGTGCGCCAGATGGTGAAGATGGACGGAGAGGGAAGAGACGGGGGAAATAGAGAAGGAGGCGTACTTTGGCGCGCGCGTGAGCGCGTCATGATGCGGTCGGATTGTGGGACGATGAGGTCGCCTTTGACCATTATAGACGAGAGGCGTGGGTCTTGAAGGACGTAGAGTTTCGAGAGGGCGATGACGCTGTTTGACCGACTTAGTAAACATACCCAAAAGCATTCAGGACAGCGCCAAACTCACTTCTGCCGTATCTCATCATACCCAGCGAAATTGACCGAGTTCTCTAACCACTTACTCATGACGATCTGCAAGCCGCTCTCGCTCCCCACCTGCACCTGTGCGAGGAAATCCAGCACCTCCTTCGGACTCACCAGCGACAGCCGTGCGAAGACCAGGATCAGCGACTGGATGAACTGCGCTGTCTCCGCGCTGCCGACCCTAACCGCCACCGCGCGGAGCAGCTGCATCAGGTACGGCCCCAGACGCTCGCTGCCGGCTTTCTCCACCAGCTCGGCGGCCAGCCCACCCACTTCAGCCGCTGCGTTGTCGTCGACTGCGGGCGACAGGAGGCGGTCGATGATGACGAGCACGACTTCTAGCCCGCCTTTGCCGCTCGCGTCATGCCAGGCGAAGAACTGCGGCGCGTCGTGCTGGAGCATGTTCTTCACCGCGCAAGTAGCGGATCGGAGGAGCTCCTCGTCTGTGGAGTTAAGCAGCAAGCGCTGGAGCTTCGGCATCACGGAAGCAATAAATCCATCCGGAAGGGGCGAGTGGCCGTTCTCAGCGAGCAGGGAGAGGAGATCGGCGGCGAGGTTCGTCAGAGCGGTTTCTTCGGTCAGAGTGCCGACGTCGAAGGCGCCGGAGAGCGAGGGCAGCACTTTCGCGCAGAGCTGGATGTAGGCGTCGTTGCCGAGGGCGGCGACTGTCTTCACGACTTCTTCGAAGGTCTCGTTGACGAGCATCGTTAGTTGGAAGTTGTTGGCGCCGTGTCTTGCGATGCTGAAGAGGAGGTCGAGACCGCCGCCTGTGAGGCAGACTCGGGTGTCGAGCAGGATCGCATCTCGCAGGGTCTCGACGAGCGTTACCATCAGGTCGTCGCTCTCGGTGAGCTCGCTCAGGTCCTGTGTTTGGAGGTAATTTGACAGCGCTGCCATGATTGATGACTGTAGCGGAAGAGTGATGGCTGGTGGGAGGGACTGCAGATAATGTTGCAGTGCTCTTATGCAGGAGACCTTTACGACTTCAGACTCATCATTAGTAATCGCTTGTAGTGAGGCTTCCATGAACGACGCCGCGACCGGGTGTAGCACTTCTCCAGACGTCCTGGTAAGGCTGCCTGCGACAAGATAACCACGAGCACGTAAGAACTCTTCGCTCTGGTGCATGGCGTACCGGATGAAGTCAATGAACCCGTTGGCAGCCTCGAGGCTTGTATGCTTGTCCGTGTCCTGATAATCGCCCAACAACTGATTCAGTACGTAGAGAGCCGCTTCTTTCGCCTTCCACCCTTGATCCGTAGAGTATAGTGATCGAGTGTAGGATAGCAGCCCATCGACTGTGGCCGCACTCAGCCATTCGCCGAGCTTGATCACGAGGTCACCGCACGCGGTCCTAGGCGTGTAGTTGGCCGTCACACTTGTCTCCTCGGAGAGGAACACGTTCACGTCGAAGTTCCACAGCCCCTCCTCTTCCGTAGTGATCTGAGCGTAGGCCACAGCAAGCTTCATGACTTCTGTAACCCATGTCGATTCGCTCCCGCTCTGCTTGGCCAGCTGCTGTTCAAGCTCTTTCTTGACCGGCGGTGCTCGAAGACATGCTTGCATAAAGTCTAACTCCTCAAGCACAAGGAAATCTAGGGTGTAGGGTAGTCCGTCCGCGTCTTCAAGCCGGCTCTGGCGCTCGCTCTCTATATACAACTGGTGATATGCGGGCTGCAAAGCGGACAGCTCCTCCCATGTTGCGGAGAACAGGAGCGGACTTTGCGGCGAGAGCATGGAAGGAAATACCCCTCGTATCCTCATGAGGACCTTTACGACCTGGAGCTTCAGCGCCACAAGGCCCCGATGTCTCTCGACAGCGCCTTGATCGGCGTTCTCCTCCTCTTCTGTCGGTGGGGGAGGGAGCCGTGATTTCATCACATCCACGAAGAAGGGCGTCCAATGGCTTAATGCTTCATCCGCGAAGGCCTTCACCGCCGCCTTGTGGTCTTCCATAACCATCTCCAGTATGTCAAAGCAGCTGCGGAAGACGGACACGGCCAGTGCCCTCAGCGTCGGCTTCCTCCCATCATTGACCGCCACGTCGTAGATGACCTTGACCAGATCCCTCGCATTGCTGAAGAATTGTTCGTCATTGAAGCAGTCATCCACCAATTCTCCGAGCACCTTGAGCGCGCCGTGTAGCTGCGCGTCCGAACCGGTGCGGATGACATGCAGAAGGCTTGGTAGGAGGTCCGGCCACTCCTCTGGGAAGTCCGCCTGGGCAATTTTGGAAACCACATAGCTAGCCGCGCTCTTGACCTTTCTCTCCTGCCCATCGCTTGTAGCTATCTCCAGCAGCCCTCTCCGCAGCTGTGTCTTCGTGTCGTCCGTCACCAGTATCTGCCCCTTGAATTCGTCAAATGTGGGAGACCAGGCGGACAGCACCAGCGTCTTAAGGGATAGGAGCGCGGCTTGTCGCGTGTTGACGGGTACGGACTCATGGCTAGCGATTGCTAGCAGGCCCGGTGCAAAGGCCAGATTCGAATACAGTTGTTGCAGTTGGAACTCGGCATGTTTGCGGACGGGATCGTGAGAGGACTGGGTTTCCTCTAGTAAACGCACTAGCTGCTCCTCCATGGCGGGTTCTCAAGGTAGCATGTGAGCACGCGTTCTGAGACCACACAGCGTGTCAGTGATATGTCGAACAGAATGAAAAAGCAAGCGTGAAGGCTATATAGACAGGCGGAAGGACGCTGAAAGAAAACAACAGGTGGGTTGACGTGTCGAGGGGTATGTGATTTTAATCTTGGCGGTGCTGGCTCATGACGGAAGTTGTAGACATATTCCCACGTATATTAAGATGCCGGTTTCACGCCAAAGCGCACTACCTTGGGATCGGAACATGAGAATCGGCTGCCTGTTCAATTCTTAATTAATCCCAAGGCCTCAGTCAGATGCTGTGATAACAGCAAGGTAGAATTGGATATTTCCAAGGTAGCAGTATCTTTTGGTCGCTTATCGATAGTGGGAATGCTAAGTCCGAAAACGCCGAATCGCTTCATCACAGGTCAACCACTGTTCCCACACCACCCACACGCAGAGTTATTCCGATCCGGTCCCGTCCTACAAATCCATCGCCCTGTCCTCGAGACATGCAACGACCTATCATTCCTCTCCCCACAACCCAACCTCCTCCAATGACCGCGCCTCGCTCCACCCATCCTCCAACGCCATGACCACCCTACCAGCAACCTACACAACCCTCCTCTCCACCTTCGCCGACTTCCTCACCATAAGCATCCACACGATCCTCTACGTCCGCTCCCTCTACCCGCGCACCACCTTCCTCACCGCGCGCGCCTACAACCACGCCGTGCACCAATCCCGCCATCCCGCCCTCTGCGCCTGGATCAGCGACGCCGTGGCCGCCGTCTCAGCCGCCATGCTCGCCGGCGGCGTCGAGCGCGTCGTGCTGGTCATCTACGACGCGCGCCAGAGACCTGTGGAGCGCGTCGTGTGGGACGTCAGCCGGTTCCCTGCCATCCCTGCCCACGAGCGGGACACGCCCATTGTGCGGGCTGGGAGCGGTGGGGAAGGGCGTCTCAATATAGTGGACGTGGAAGAGCAGTTCCGGGCCGCGACGGCGCGGTTGCGTGTCGCGGGCGAGAAACTGAACCCGCTGCCCGAGGGCTGCAGCTTTACGCTTGCGGTTGAGCTGGGGGATGGGGCGGAGGCGCCGCTCGGGCATCCGCAGGCTTGGATTCCGGTTGAGCCGGGGCTGCAAAGGGGGGGTGGGGGAAGGGGTGGGCAGGGTCAAGAGAAGGATGATGCTGTGGACACGAGGAAGAGAAGGGAGAGGGGAGAGGATCTGGGGGGATTAAAGACGATGCCGGTCAGGGCTGTGGATGCGGGGGAGATGGTATTCGAGATGTGGATCGAGGAGGGGAAGGCGAAGTTCGAGAGCTCCGAGAACAGCCCTTCTGCCGGCTCAGGATGAGACACGCGAGGGGAAGGCGTCCGACGGTACATCTCGGACAACATGCTGATCAGGAGAGCCATGGCAAAGGGGACACCCCTACGCATACCATCGCGCTCGCTGCAAATCGTTCAAGGGTGTTAGTCGACAACGAATGATGTCAAGAGATCTCACCGGAGATATGCATGCCCTGCCATTGGAGCCATCTATCCCTTAGCCACGCCAATTGCGGAGCGGAAAGCAACAGAACACGCAGCAAAAAACCGAAAGGGTATCAATGTCGCCATTAGCAAATAAAAGAAAACAAAGAAGCTACCCCTGAGTACACCGAGCGCCGTTCGTGGGTCGTGTGCAAAAGCACAGAAACCCGCCTGGCAAATCTAAGACAATCAGCATGACATAATCCGAAACCTCCCCATCTCATTGTTGCTCCGTCACACTGGCGATGGACCAGACGCCGCGTAGCTATGTTGGATCAGCAGGAGCTGTTGTGACGTGGGCGCAAAAATGGCGGGCGATGGGGCTGTCCATTCTCGCCGAGGTCTGGTCCGTACCTCCTCGCGTACCGCCTGAAAATCTCAGCAGCTACCGGTGCCGATGAGCCATATCTTGTTGCATGAAGTTCGCCCAGTTGTGCAGGTGGGGGTAATTCTCAAAGGGCTGGGGCGCCACACCATAAAAGTGCGCCGCAGCCTGTTGAGGCCCCATCATAGGCATAGGCCCATGTGGTGCACCACCTCCCACCCAATGTGGGACTTGGAATAGCTGAGGCACGCCGTAGAGAGCGGGGCCAAAGGCTTCTGGAATGAATGGTGGGGGAACCACCTGCGGGTGAAGCACATGAGGTACACCTTGCGGGTTTGCGAAGGCCATACCGTGGCCCATCATGTGTCCGCCTCCATGCGCTCGTGCAAGAATATCGGCGTCCGGGTTCTGCTGGCGACGCCTTTCTCGTGCTTGCCGTTCTTGCGCTTTTACGGCATCGGAGACCTTGACTTTGAGCTCGTCTTCGGTCATATCGGGGTTCTCGACGCGGACTTTCTTCAACGCCTCAGCTTCGGCGGCCTTCACCTCATCGTCGTGCCTTGCATCGGTGTCGTCGTAAAGCGGACATCGACCGGCGCCGAAATGTTGGTAGTCGTGGACGTTCTGGGAGCAGACGTAGCTGTTGGAAGTTAGTTCGACTGCCTTGTGCATGCTGGAATACAAAGGATGATGACGTAGGGGTACTAGAGAATTAACATTCTTCGTGTGCTGGCTAGCTCGAGACCGCTTGAGGTCCGCCAGATGTTGGACTGATGCGCCCTTCAGTGGCACCCAAAATGTCTTGAGTAGCTTGACCTCATTTGTTCGGGCTCTACCCTTACGCACCCTGTGCTTCTTGCAGTAGTGTAAACAAGTAGGGATCTGCAGACTTACCATTGTCTGTTGCCGCAGCTGGTACACGACATCTTGTTGCATCCCCAATCCTTGACGAACTTGTTCTTGCACCGGTTGCAGCTCCTGATTAGCGCCTCCGACATGGCCTCCTCCACAGCGTGCCGCACGCTGCCTTTCCTCTCTTTGGCGTTTTGCTCGCAGGTAAGCGGGATGTGTGTCTCGAGCTTGCAAAGGCGGCAGCTGATCTTCTCGCACTCGGTGTTGTGGCAGCGGAACTCGCGGTCGACGTGGACAGGGGGCAATATCGCTTTGAAGTCGCAAAACGGACACTCGGCGAGGTCTTTCAGGCCAGCGTTACGTATGTCTTCTTGTTGCTGGAGGTTCTCGAGCTTATCGAACGTCTTGCGGTCGAGGAAGGACATTAGCTGCCCTCTGCTGAAATCAGCTCCGCAGCCGCTTGTGTCCATGCATTTTGGTCTGCATTTCGATTGTCCCACTTCTGCCTTGACGTAGTTGGCGGCGCAATCCTGGCAGAAAAAGTGGATTGTGTCGCCGTTGCAGTAGATCATCCTGTTTGTAGGGTACTCTGTAAAGCAGCAGCCACTGTAAGACAGTCAGCAGGAGATACATACGAAGCCCATAGACGTTGCGTTTGTCTAGAGCAGATGTTTGGGCAAACCACATCCCGGAAATCACAGGTTTCTTAGCAATCTGACGAGTGTTCAAATCACTCACCATTCGCTCATGGCTTCGTTACGACGGGCATGTTCTTCGTTCTTGCGCTCGGCGTGAGCTTTCTCGGCGTCTTTTCGGCGTTTCGCTATAGACGTGTCAGTGCTGCATACTGGATTAAAGCGCAAGGAGTAAAGTGGGAAAAGATCTGCAAATCCGCTTAGAGTATTTGGGGCGGTGGTCGTAACCAGCTGGAGTGATGTTGGTGATCGACATTCATGAGGCCGGCATACTCCCTGTCGTTCTACGCAGAGTAACGAGCAGGTTTAGACGCTCTCAAACCACTTTAACGGAGGCGGAGGGCGTCCAACCCCTTTCTGAAGACGCTGATCCTGAACGCGCGTGTCCGAAATATCCGGCTGTGTTTCCGAAATGCGTTTGAGAACTGAACTTACCTTCTTGTTGCTCCCGTCGGCGTCTAGCAGCTGCCAGTTCCCGCGCAAGCGCACCATTCGTCATAGTTGCTAAGTTTTCGGTAAGGGCCGGTCGTGGCGCTCGTGCACGAACTTTGCGGTACGAGCGTTGCTGCTGCCCGGTATCGAGATTGCGTTCGGCGGCTTCGATGACGGCGTATGCTTTAATAAGAAACTGATGCTTTCGGAGTTTTTCTCTGATGAATTTGATGGGCACTTGGGGAAATTCGTCTTGCAGGAGTCGCTGTCTAGAAGCCGATGAACGTTAGAAAGTTTCTGCCGCGGGTGACCAGAAGGTTATAGCTGAGACACGTAGCGGTGCTTGTCGTGGCGAATACTGACCGCGTGACCGTACGTCGTGCAACTCGCTCGTGGCTGTTCACCTAGTGCGGCAGCGTTGGCACAGGCATTCACTGGGGCGACTTACGCAGCATTGAGGTAACTCTGGTCAGCGGCCTCCCGGTTCTCCTTCTCGAACTCCGTAGCATCATCTCGATTGCTATCCTCCCGTTTTCTCTTGAGTTCTTGACGCCGTTCCCGCTCCTTCGGATACTTCCCAGACTCGATCAATGTATTGACGAAATCGGTGCGCCATGCGGTGACAGTAGAAAGCTCTGGGGTTTCGATCCCATAGGTAAACTTGGCCCGGTAGGATTCAAGCACGTGGTCATGTGCGATGTCCGGGAAGATTTCCAGAATCCGCTGCAAGCAATCGTCTTCCGTAAGCATATTCAGCATGGCCAGCTCTTGCATCTGCCACTCTTCCTGTAGAAGATCCACTCCAGATACTAGGACCTGATCTTCCATCTCTGTGTCTTCCATTTCGAATGAAACACCTTCATCGTCCGAAACTTTCGATTCTTTACGGACAGTTCTTGGAGCCTCGTTTTCCATACGCTTGGCTTTCCCACCAGCGTCGTACGCCGTGAACCATGCATCAAAGTCGAACTTGTTATGATCTTGATTTTTGTTACGATGACGTGGGATGAACGTAGGTTGAGGTGGTGCCATGTCGGGCTCGTTGTCGGAATCGCTGATGATGTGGGGTACGACGCCGGGTGGAAGTTGAAACGCCATGTCGACAGCGGTATAGGTGGATGTGTGTCCCCCTAGGAGGCAGCAATGAAACGGATGGTGAAGCGTCTGTCTGACTGCGGATGGACTGCTGGTGGATTTTTCGAACTAACAAATTGATATAACCACAGTATCGGGAATGACAATTGGGCTGGTAGCACAGATGCGAGATCGAAGAGAGTGCGGAACTGAGATTTATAGCAGTGCGATGAAAGTAAGGGCCAGATTGCGCAAAGTTCTAATGTGCATCGCCCTCGGTAGAAGAATAATGGATTGTGAATCACAACCAAGGTACAGGCAAGCGACCGAGCGACCTAAGCTGAGTAGAACCCTTCTAGTGAACTATGATGGGACGAGTTACCCGGTTTCTTCTGTGGATCATTCACCTAGAGAGCTTCAAAAAGGAAACCAGATTCTTGTAGAGGACGCACAACCAGAACTTGTTCCCTTGGGCGAACTCTCCGACGTTGTAGATAATTTCAAATGCCCTGCGAGCATGCGGCTGAACTTGCGAAGCTGACCTGACTCGAATTCTTCTTGGCCAAGGCGCTTCAGGCCGAAGCTGCACGCACCGTGAATGCCTGGCTGGTCCCGTGTTGTGCCATGAGGACCGCCGGTGTTGTTGTCACGTAGTAAGACGCAAGCCTTCCGACGTTCGAAAGGGGGCTGCAGCACCCCTGCCCCACGATGGAATCTGGAGCTTCACAAGGCAGCGACTTTGCCTATTTGGGCGCCGGCCATCAGCTCGGTTGATCCGGAGATTCATCCTTCAGCTCGGAGCTCTTGTTTTATAATCACAAGACTGCATGGTCTCGATGTGGAAGAGACTGCAGGAGACGTGCAGAGTCATCCTGCGTTCGTGAAGAATATCGCAACCCCAGAGACGAGCATTTTCCTACACTTGCCACCAATCCGGCCACAGGACGCTCAAGGCCGCTTAGCTACAAGTCCAGCAGCCATAAATCCTGAATAGTAGGAAACTCGGAATTCCTGGCGGTTTAGAGCGCCGGTATGATCATTAGCATTGGCTCTCTCGCAGCTGGCGATGTGGTAACTGCGGTTCGCATCTCCGTGATTGTTCCGCACTCCGCGATCCACCTCGCTACGTCTTGACGTTAGGGGAACACCTCGAGTCGCCTTGACGTTAGGGGAAACATCCTGACACACGATAAGACTTTCCACGGCTCCCTACGGGTTGCGTCGGGCCACGTTCCTGCGACTTCATGTTGTCAGTCTTCGAAGGTGCCACGGTGAGCGCTAGTTCATGGTCATTCATCCTTTGGTGGGACAAACAACGACCTGTGCTAGATACATAAAGCATTGTTGGCCTCCAAACTCAACGATTTCCGCATGCGGTCGAAATCACTCACAGGCATCTCCACATCAAAACTCCAAATCTCGTAAATCTACTCCAAGCCTCCGAATTTCACAAATCTACTGCAAGGCTCCAGATCTTGCAACAAATCATCATCACTACTCAACTCCTTCCCCCAAAAACCTCAAAATGGGTTCACATCAATCAGACCTCCCAGACAGCACCTCCCCCACCCTCGCCCTAGTACACCCAACAGAGCAAGAGCTAGTCCAGCAGTCCATCAAAAACGGCGCCTCCTGGAGAGGTGCTTTATCAATCGAAGCCTACCTCCGCCGCGAAGACCACCTCGCCCAGCAAGAACTCACCAGAGACGGCGGCATCACGTGGTGGGCACTCGTCGACACCGCCGCCGAAAAGCGCTCCGTCCTCTCCGGATGCGAGACACTGCGCAAGAGGGCGTTGTTAGCGCAGGATGGCACCGTCAAGGACGTGTTGTGTCATGGAATCGGCAGTGTTTTTTGCCCGCCTGAGTTTAGGCGCAGGGGATACGCTGCCCGGATGATGAAGGAGCTGGGGAACAAACTACAGACGTGGCAGGCGGAGGGGGTTGAGTGCTTGTTCTCTGTGCTGTACTCTGATATTGGCAAAGTAGGTGGATCTCAGTGTAATCAGAGCGACTGAGCAACGGCTGACACGTGACCCGGTACAGCAATTCTACGCCGCACACGGATGGGAGCCGTTTGATTCGTCTCACATCTCTGTGCACGCCGCAGAAAAACCTGTAAACGGTTCGATGAAGCCGCATAATCTTCCGGAAGCTCGGCCATTGTACGCTTCAGATCTAGCGGAGCTATGCAGCATTGATGAACAGCTTCTCCGGAAGAAGATGAATGGCCTAGCATCTGGCGGCAAAACGGCCGTTGCCATGATTCCAGACATCGAGACCATCCGGTGGCACCACGCCCGCGAAGAATTCGTAGCCAACGAGCTATACGGAAAGACTCCTACCATCAAAGGAGCCGCCGTAGGCAACGAAAGTGGCAAACGCATCTGGTGCTACTGGACTAGGGTATGGGCCAACAGTGATCCGCAGCAGAGCAAAGGCAACGTTCTGCATATACTTCGATTGGTCGTTGAGGACGATGCAGGATCGGAGGACGACCTCAGCAACGCTCCAGCGATTGCAGCGCTTCTGGCTATGGCACAGAGCGAGGCGGCCAAGTGGCACATGGCGGAGGTTGAGACTTGGAATCCCGCTAAGGTAACAGTCGCCGCTGCCCAGCTGCTTGAGCCAGGAGCCGAAGTCGTGCATCGGGACGCGGAGAGCATTGCCAGCTTGATGTGGTATGGGAACCAGCCTGTAAATGGAGGACACGTAGGTGATATGGTGACTTGGCTGGGTAACGAGAAGTATGGGTGGTGTTGAAATAAGCTTCTTTGGGGGTCTATGATGATGTTGCCTGTTTAGTTTTAGACCTGTGTTGGCAAAAGACGCGGTTCTATACGCGTAGATAGACGCGCGGTGAGAGAATCTTTGGACAAGCACGTGACTGCAGGGCGAATTGCAAGCAGCCCATATGTAAGCATCCTCATGTATCGCACCCGTTGTTGTCGAGGCGAAGGGCGATGAGACGGTCTGATGAGCACTTCAAGTCTTCAAGTATCCATTCGCATCGCTCACAGTCACCACTCCATACCAAAGATACCAGAGAGTTACAGCGCCACTCCCAATGCTTCGATATGCCCTCTCCTCGCCCAGATGCCTTATGCCATGGTCAATGTACCCCATCATATGTACCGGAACATGTTGTTCTTGACACTTCTCTTCATCGCCACGGGCTGGCCATCCTCGTATTCAATGCCAGATTCCCCTCCATCGCCTGCTAGATCTAACATCTTTAACCGCAGTTCCTCGTCGAGCTCGGCCTGGGTCTTTCTCTTTTTCGATTGTTCGGATTGTGGGGCTTTGGAGTCCTGGACCGGTTGTGAGCATATTGTGTCTACTAGGGCGCTTGTGGCGAGCGGCTTACCTTCGGCTGGTCTTGCGGACTGGGCTGCTTGGAGCCGGAGGAGGCGAATCTGGCGATGGCGGCGCGAGGTAGAGGTCGCGTGACCAGCGATGATGAGGCGCTGAATAGTATCGATGTTGGCAGCCTCGGCCTCAAGGCCATTGTGAAGTATGTGGAAGGGTTTGGGAGTGAGATATCACATCGTTGCCGTCGAAGCTGGAAGCGGTTCAAGATGCGATGACGATGTGTGCAGGGACGCGGGATGCTCACGTGACGTGGAAGACCGAGCAGTTCGCGCCAAGAGTTCAGCATCGCCGAACTTCTACCCAGAATAGACCACCGCTCCCTCCGCAACCCCCTGTATTCATATTATCCGCAGCATTCGCAACATCCCATCGCAGTCGCACCGATCATCCTCTCGAACCTACCCTCCTCGCATCTCACGCCCATCATGCCCGTCGTCAAAGGCGGTGTCTGGACGAACATCGAAGACGAGATTCTAAAAGCCTCCGTCTCCAAATACGGCCTAAACCAATGGGCGCGCGTGTCCTCCCTCCTCGCGCGCAAAACACCCAAACAATGCAAAGCACGATGGCAAGAGTGGCTGGATCCCTCGATCCGCAAGATCGAGTGGTCGAAGGAGGAGGATGAAAAGCTTCTGCACCTCGCCAAGCTGATGCCCACGCAATGGCGGACCATCGCCCCCATCGTCGGCCGCACCGCGACACAGTGTCTCGAGCGATACCAGAAGCTACTAGACGAGGCGGAGGCGAGGGAGGATGATGAGCTGGGGCTGGGCGGACCGGCTGGAGGGGAGACGGCGGCGCCGAGTGCAGAGGATGTGAGGAAGCTGAGGCCCGGGGAGCTGGACCCGGATCCGGAAAGCAAGCCTGCTCGCCCGGACACGATCGATCTGGATGAGGACGAGAAGGAGATGCTGAGTGAGGCGCGGGCGCGGCTGGCTAATACGCAGGGCAAGAAGGCGAAGCGGAAAGCAAGGGAGAGGCAGCTGGAAGAGTCAAGACGCTTAGCTGTGCTGCAGAAACGCCGTGAGCTCAAGAATGCGGGCATCAATATCAGAATCACCCAGCGGAAGCCGGGGCAGATGGACTATAACGCCGACGTACCGTTCGAGAAGGCGCCTGCGCCAGGCTTCTACGACACTCAGGATGAGGAGGCGCAGAATGAACGGTCAAGACAAGCTTTTGATCCTCGGAAACAGCAACTTGCTATCAAGCGCAAGGGCGACCAGGAGGACGATAGTGACGATCGCAAGAGGAGGAAAGGTGATAAGGGCGGGCCTTCGGCTAGCTTTGCGGCAGCAGCAAAGGCAGGTCAGATGCAGAAGATACGGGAGGCAGAACAAAGCAGCAAGAGAAGGGCACTAAATCTGCCGGCACCACAAGTTGGCGAGGGGGAGTTAGAGGATATTGTGAAAATGGGTATGGCAGGCGAGCGTGCGAGTCAACTGGCCGGCAGCAGCGAAAACGAGGCAACGAGGGGTTTAATCGGGAACTATTCTGGCATCGTTGGAAGCACTCCTATCCGAACACCGAGGGCGCCGCAAGAGGAGGATAGGGTAGCCAACGAGATCCGCAATGCCCGTGCTCGGACGGAAACACAGTCTGCGCTGCTCGGAGGAGAAAACACCCCCATGCACGAAGGCGCTGCGTCGACTGGCTACGAGGGTGCCGCGCCAAGTCGGCAGCAGCTCTCGACCCCGAATCCGATGGCAACGCCCTTCCGCCAAACCGGTGTCAATGGTATTGGAGCAACCCCGATGCGCGGACCCGGAGCGACCCCTCTACGGACACCAAGGGACAACTTCCACCTGAATCAGGAGGATGGGATGCAGCTGGTGGGACAGACGCCTCGCGACATTAGACTACGAGAGAATGCTGTCCGGAATAGCTTAAAAGGCCAACTCGCATCACTTCCGAGACCCAAGGAGACTGAGTGGGAGCTTGAACTCCCGGAGGAACAGCAAGAACCCTCACAGGTCCAGCTGAGTGCAGAAGATGCCGCTGAGCGCGATAGGCGAAATCAAGCTATCAGGGAAGCTGCTGAGAGGGCGGAGTTTAAGCGCCAGACGCAGAGCGTACAGAGAGCCCTACCTCGGCCATCAGCGGTCGACATCGATGCCATGCTGAAGAACGCTTCGGATATATCAGACTCTACGGAAAGTGCGATTGCTCAGGAAGTGGCGGTTTTAGTCACGAACGACGTCCTGAAGTTTGGAGGGGGCAGGGTCAAAGGAGGATCAAGACCCGTTGAGGTCTTCCAGGATGACGTCCTAGACCGCGCTCGAATGGAGATCGCTTTGGAGCTGTCCGCGGCTGAGGCAAGAAAAGATGTGGAAGGGTTGGAGAAGGCGTGGGTTGACCTACATGATTCGTCGCAGCTGCCTGGCTTAGCTGGGTATGGCGAGGACGAAGTCGACACACACCAGTTGATGACGGAGGCCTTTGACGTGAGTTGCCCTGGACAGGCCTTTATGCCAAGAACGTCTACTGACACTGCATCAGAACATCCAAGACAATATCGAGAAAGCCGCAGAGCAAGGGCAGAAGGTCGAGAAGAAGCTTGCGCTGCACTTAGGGGGCTATCAGGCACGAGCGAAAACGTTACGGCAGAAGATCGTCGATGCAGCGGAAGCCTTAGAGAGGGCGAGGATCAGCTTGGATACCGCGCGGACCGCCCAGATCTCAGAGGAAGCAGCAATACCCAGCCGATTGGAGGCGCTGAGGGATGAGGTTGCGTTTGTCAGTCGAAGGGAGCGGGAGGCGCAGGACTTGTACAGGGTACGGAGGGAGGAGCTCGATGGGCTCCAGACGACGGTCAATGGGTACCATTGAGAGTCGACTTGTATTAGTATTCAGCTCAACGTTGGAGAGTTCTCTGCCCCAGGCATGCCATATGCATAAATGCGGGGTCTTTTCAGGGACAGTTTCTTAGCGTTCTCGGGCAGAGCCCTGGAACTTTGTATTGATGCCTCGAACATCCGACATCTTGGTTAAATCGTCAGTACTGTGTCGCTTCTTGCTCAAAGACAATCCTCCGTGCCTCTCGCCTTCTCAAGGTTGCAACAATTCTGACTCTGGTTACTTGTACTTATCCTCGAGTACCCCACATGAAGACTTCGTCCATGGCCCAACTCCGGCCGGAGCTAAGCTTAGCCCGTCCGCTGCTGGTGATTGACCATGCGGCCAGGCCACAATGAGATGCGATCTCTTCCCGAATGCCAGCTCTGATCTTCAATTTCATAACCCTTCATCACCTTCGTATCTGCCGACCAAAATCCATAATCCAAGACACATGTCAAGCAGCCGATAATCGGGTGGCATGGCCCGCAAGGCACGGCAGCGCATCAGCTATGGTTTGGAGCGCCCTTGCTTCATGTGCCCCCACAGCATACTGAACGAATATCGCAGTCCTACCGCTCGCAAACTCCGCCGGCGGACATAGACTCGGCGTCAATGGCTTAGCGGTAGATCCGCAATACGGAATACTGTCCGTATTCTCCATGCGCCGCGAGGACCATCACTAATCATTACCAGATACTCCGGAGGCAGAGACGGCGTCATATGCGCCTGGGACCTCAACCTTGACCTTGCGAAAGACGACGACCCGTTCCACGACCGACATGCGGCTTCTGAGGACCCGGCAGCGAAGCGGTCTTCTACCGTATTCCGGCAGCAAGTCCAGGCGCATACGCACTGGATCAATGATATCGCGTTGGTACAGAACAACGAGGCGTTGGTCTCAGCTTCATCAGACGTTACAGTCAAGGTCTGGAGACCCGCCGCACAGGACGTCCTCCCTCCGCAGACCATTGGCCTTCATAGCGACTACGTCAAGTGCATAGCTTCACCGGGTCCCCATGCGAATTGGGTCGCATCAGGAGGACTGGACAGGAAGATATGTTTGTGGGATCTCAATGGACGTGGCAAGAAACTTGAGATTGCGGTGGGCGAAGATGAGAACACGGCCAAGGGATCAGTCTATGCGCTGGGCGTTACCGGGTCCATAATTGCAAGCGGCGGGCCGGAGAGTATAGTCCGAGTCTGGGACTCGCGGTCTGGGAAGCGCGTCACGAAGTTTGTCGGGCACACGGACAACATCCGGGATGTGCTGATCGCGCAGGATGAAGACACGATCATGACCGCGTCGTCGGACCAGACGGTCAAAGTCTGGTCTATGACAGCCGGCAGATGCATGTACACCCTGACCATGCACAATGAGAGCGTATGGTCTCTATACTCGGACCATCCCCAGCTCTCCGTTTTTTACTCCAGTGACCGATCGGGTTTAGTGGCCAAGACCGACGTCCGCAATTGCATTGAGATGGACGAGGGACTATCGGTCGCTGTTTCGCAAGAACACGGGGGAGTCAACAAAGTTATCGCAGCCGGCGACTACATCTGGACAGCTACTTCTAGCTCTAGCATCAACCGCTGGAAGGATGTCGATACCGAGCTAGACATACAGACGCAAGAAAGTTACAGGTGGCACCGTGCCAGCATTGGAACTATAAGATCAAAGATGTCCTCCCCGTCTGCGCCTCCGCCACAATACCAGTCATCTGGCAGTCAACCAAACGGCATCGTCAAGAAACAGATTCCTCGCAATTGTATACTGAGACTGTCAAATGCATCGCCTTTCCCGTTTCGGGATGAAGAAACCTCGACAAACTATACTCTCTCCACTGCGCGCAAGTCATCGAACGCCTTTGCTGGACCAGACATTGGCGCTGCCGTACCGTTCAACGATTTGCCGGATCATTCCATCGAAGGACAGAACGGTCTCATCAAGCACGTGTTACTGAACGATCGGAGAAGAGTGCTGACACTAGATACGGCCGGGGAAGTCGAATTGTGGGACCTCTTACAGGTATGTGGCAACCCGACCACCGGAAGAACCAGCTCACAAAACATTAGTGTATTCCGGTTAAAAAATTTGGCAAGCGTCATCTTGAGGATGTTGCCCCCGAAGTCAATACTACGGAGACCGTTGCGCACTGGTGTGCTGTAGACACACGCACTGGAAGTTTGACGTGCGTGCTGGAAGAGAATTATTGCTTTGATGCTGAGATGTATGCTGATGAGCTGCAACTGGAGGAGAAGATTGATTTCCGCGAAGATCAGCGGAGTAAGTACTTTGCGACACCTCGCCGCCATGGTTCGCAGCATGACAGCGTTTAGGTCACTAACACCTCCCAGTAAATCTCGGTAAATGGATACTGCGATACCTCTTTTCAAATCTGATCGATGAAGAGATCAAGCGAGACGAGGCCTACAGGCAAAAACTTCTCCGCGAGGGAACTCAGGGTCTCTCACGCCCAGGCGCTCCGAATAGTATTCAGCTCCCCAACTCCAATATGAACGGTTGGCAAGATCCATGGTCAGGGCCAACGTCCGCTTCCACGCTACGACCGACCAACAGCTTCCATCTGCCGCTGCAGACGCCAGGTCTTGCTATCGGCCTCGCAACGCCCGCCATCGCCCCTCTCGTGGGCCACAGTGGTCAACATCCAGTTATGCTGTCTCCAACCGCCGAGGAAGGGCCCTCGCTGGAACGGACGACAACACAACAAAGCCACTCGCGGGGAAACTCGTCCGATCGGCCAGGCGACTACTTCTCCACCGCTCCTACATCGCACCCTCAGCCGCCGACCACACCGGGCGTGACAAACGGCCACTCAGCGACTGTCGACGGGACAGACGCCGTACCTCAGTCACCAACAGACGGCGAAAAGGAAACTCCAGCCAAAGAAGGCGTCTTCGGCAAGTTCCGCATGAACATGCCCAAGAACATGTCCTTCGGCATGGGCACAATGAAGAAGCTCGGCCGCACACAAACCGCCGAAGCAGCGAAGACCGTCGTTGTAGAGGAGAAATCCGACACCGACTCGGCTTCGACATCTTCCAAGACAGAGGAGCGGGTCATCGAGGATAACTTCTTCGGTACTGTCCAGCGTATACGGCACGGCTACGAGGATCAGCTACAGGCGGGCGCGCAGACCCTGGTATCGGGTATCACGCCGAGCTTGCCGAATGAGACACCTGTGCTTAAGCCGCCGTTGGCGACGACGATCTTGATACAAGAGGATAGGCCGGAGGCGGGCGGCGTGGCGGATCTGTTCGAGGGCAAGGTGGGCACGTTGGGTTCGCAGGCTGATTTGATTGAAAAGGTGGCGCCCATGTGGCTGGGTGACGTGGTACTGCGGGTGAGTGTCACGGACAACCTGTCTCCTGAGTATTTGCTGAAACGTCGCAGAACCACATCCCCCTGAAAGAGATTGTTAAGGTCTCGTTTATCCTAGAGCCATTCCAGGGCCTATTGCCGCCAATCTCGACTGACGGGTGAGTAGCATGCTTGATTTGTTGAGTTACTGTCGTCTCTAATCGTACTGCAGTAATAACCGATTGAATGCAAACCGCATGCTACGGGCTCGGAAGATCCTGGCATATATCGCCGAGCGGATAGAACCCCCGTCCGAAGATCCAGAACCCAACCCGATGAAGCCTGAAGAGTACCTCGAGCTTTACTGCCAGAATCATGTGAGTTGAACTATAACTGGGTCTTGAATCGTCTGCTGATGCTGTCCAAAGCTCATATCACCTACAACGACTCTCGCCGCAATACGGACACATATATGGCGAGGCGGCCAAGATGTGGTGCTGTACTACAAAGCGAATGGGCGGAAGGAGATTCGGCAGCCTCCTGCGCAAGTCTTGGGTCCGCGGTATTACCCTGTTCGGAGCAGCACGGAGTCGGATAGAAGGATGTCGGCCGGATCGTCTACTAAAAGCCAGCGCGGCTGATTTGTGTATCTACTCTTGGATAGTCTACAATGCGATACCACACCATACGAGTGTGGCTCTATACATAGAGTACAGATTTGTACAATCCTCAGTCCATGCTACAAGCTTATACGTGCCCTCGATACGATTCATGCCGCGCCCCCTAGAACATTACTAGCCCACTGATAACTTCCCAAGAAGATGGCCCCACCGGCGCTGATCCAAAAGATCCTAGGACCAATACCAGCAAAGAAGGCACTGGGCCCGTTCTCCCTCAGTATCCTTGCCATAAGCGCCCCCGCTCCCACCTTCTCCCGCGACAGCATCATCCGTGTCTTCAGCACATCCAGCGGCGTCGTGAACCCCGCCGCGACCGCTCCACTAGCCGCGCCCAGCACCGCCGAGTCCGTCCCTGACACAATGCCATCACCCCGCTGCTGCCGTCGCCATGATCTAAGCGCTTCCCAGAGCGGAAACTGTATAACAGTGAAGGGCACCTCGCGCATGATGGTGATGCCCCACCCGCGGTACAGCTCCGCCCACACTGTCGCGAGACCGTGCGTGTGTCGCAGCGAGAGAATATGCGTGAGTGCAGACAGCGACGACGGGTGCTGGAGCGCCTGCGCGCGCTGCTTCACAACCTCCGTCGGGACTCTAACCGCACATGCCGCGACCTCCCCCAAGCTGGCCGCGAGCATGTGGCCCAATGCCTCATTCCCCAGCACACCTCCGCTCCCCTGTCCCTTGTACTTCCGCCCGTCCGCAGTCCGCAGCGTCCTCGCCTGCTCCCGGGCAGCGAAAAACCGCTTCACGCCATCGTACGTGACGAAGAAGAGTGCGGCCCCGGGGGCGGATCCGACGACCGCAGAGCCTACGCCGCGGTAGACGCCTTTGAAGCCGCCGGATGCGGCGAAGCCGGCGGAGGACTGGAGGCGGGTTTTTAGGGTGTCGATGGGGTAGAGGGAGAGGTCGACGCTGGTGCCTGCTAGGCCGCCTGCCTGGGGTCGTTAGTTGTTGTTGCTGCTGTTGCTGGTAGGATTGAGAGGGAGGCCAAGTGAGGAGAGGGAATAAGGGGGATGTACCAGCAGCGAGCGGATGTAGGGGCTTTCAACCCATGCTGGTGGGTGGACGGGCGATTGCATTGGAGTGGGAGGGTGGTGGGAGATGGTTTGGTGGTGAGGCCCAAGAGATATGTTGATGACGGGGCTGCCCGATCCGAGCGTCGGAAAAATTATGGCTGCTTCCCGCTCTCCCCGGAAACGTCAAGATTACTTTTGGGCATGATGGCGCTGTCTCAGACTTGAGCAGTCTGTACGCGCTCAATCCGGCAAATCATGGTCTTTGGATAGTGGCAAAGCTGTGCCAACCTTCGACCACAAGCTTAAATAGTACAGGAAATATCGAGGTTCTGATAAGCGCCTGTTGGAGACATTCGGCTCACTGGCGAGAATAGGCCAAGGACCATCCGAAATGACGGTTGCCGCGTTGAAAGCTCTCCGTATCCCTGGAGATGAACAGCCAAAAGGACAGTCAATAGATCAGAAACACCTTACGTGATCTATGCATTGAAGACGTGAGTTGATGGACGTCTTTACTCTCTATTGCATGGAATTGGTCTAGTTGCTCCACTGTTGACAAGATCGTAAGTCTAGTTTGGTTGTGGATCTCGTGTTGGAAAAGCCCAAGCAAAGATGCGGCAACGGACATTCTGGATGGGCCTTCAAGGCTCGCGTGGCAGACGTTCCCATGCACGCTCTAACCAGGGTGGTAGAGCTTGTTTTTACTACGGGCGTAGACTTCTGGTGCGGAGGGTGTTCGGCGATATCACGGTCTGGAACTTGTTCACATACGGCGGGTCGCCTAACGTAGCCCAATCCCGCAACATTAAGCGTGAGGCTTCATGTCTATGCTTGTAGCTGCAGTAGAGCTGCATTAGAGGTCTCGTCTAGCGAGTCGTTCCAACCAGTGGGGCAGACATCCCGCTGGCCAGGATAGAGTGTCCATCTCCGGTCAATGGGCGTAAGGCTGAAGGCAGACTTCCAACCACCGTACACAACGCGGCAAAAGCAAGGCATCTGCCGTGGAGCACGGCACAAGTGGGGGGAAGCGGGATGCTCCTAAGTGCCCGCAGCCCTCCGTGGACGGGAGCGGTTTGCAGATAAGCGGCCTCTTGGGGACTTGCTTGCGGCAATAGAGCATTTTTGCACCCATCCTTGGAAGGGTACTCAAAGGCCAGCCCATGATTTCGTGGACGGGTTTGGCAAAGTCCTAGCCCCCAAGTGGACGGATTCCTCAGGGATTGTCAATCCTTGAGGGAACATTGACTAAATAGGCAACTCTGCTCAAGGGCTAGCCCTTATCTACCCCCTTCAAGGACCGGTGCAGAAATGTCCTAATGCGCTGAGTGCTCTAAACATAACTCTGTGTTGTATCCACGCTGCCGAAAACTGGTTCCCGCGAGGCATCCCGATCGAACCACGTGGTGGTGCAATTCGCTGCGGCAGGTTATCAATAAGCTAGCATATAGGCCCTCTACTATCAGCTGGTCGATCGCAACTGGCGACTAGTTGAGGACTTTTCTCGACTCGGCATGTCTACCATTGCTGTTGAGGATGCAGAGGGGGGCCTTGTTGGGACATCCAATCTTTCGCGACGTGGAGAGACATCATCCTTCGGCACGGGATGGCGCGAAGGGGGCGCCACGAACAGGTCCAGGCAGGCGAGCATCGACATCCCTGTTTGCCGAGGATGGGACCCTTGATATACGTCTGGCTGAATCGACCACGTGGTTGGTCAGTACAGCCTACAGGCTGTTCCGACAGGCTGGCTCTTAGCGAGTGAGGCTCTTGAAACTGTTCAATCGATCGCAATCCTTCCCGTCCTCCCGATAACGGGCATCGAGAATATGCCAATCATTTACGGATGGGGTTTGGGGGCGTCTCCAGGCTGTCTGGACCGGGCCGTTTCGAAACGGTCCCTTGAAATGACCTTTTAGAATCACTATCCAGTCTGGAATAGCCTAGCAACACATATCGCTAGTTTGACCGTCTCCGCGTTGGCATGAATACTTCAGCACGCATCCGTAGACGGTGGACATCTGCGGAAGACCAGACCTTGAGAGAAGAGGCAAGTTATCAGCGTACGCTTTCCCCTTTCATCAACTCTCACCTTCATCTTGGCTCCTTTGTCTCCCTGTTGAACGCCGAAGCTGACCATATTCGAATGAATCAGTGGCTGAGGGAGCAGTGAGAGACTGGAACCGAGTTGCCGCTAAAGTTCCCGGACGGACAAACAAGGACTGTCGAAAGAGATGGGCCAAGATTTCTGGGACGGTGAAGAAGGGCACTTGGTAAGAGCGCTTGGCTCCTTGAACTTTGTGGACCGGCTTCATTAATAAGTGTATTAGGGAACCAGACAAGGACATCCGACTTCAAGAAGCCGTCGAGAGCTGCGGTACACGGTAAGTGAGACCCTGGTGATACTGGAGGCTCTATCCAAGCTTTGTTGACTCGGTCAGATGGGTACAGGTGGCTAGGTTGGTTGGGTCGCGCCACGCAGACCGTGAGTGCAGTAACTTCCTAGTTCTTATTGTCACAGGACTGACCGACGCCTCAGAGTGCGCAAAGCGGTGGACTCACAGCCTTGCTCCCAACATCGACCACAGCGAGTGGAAAGAGGACGAAGAAAACCGATTACTGGCGGCAGTTGCCATACATGGCAGAGACTGGAGGCGGATCGCAGAAACATCCTTCCCTGGTCGCTCAAATTTGGACTTGAAAAACCGGTGCGTTCGGCGTCATCAACGCTTGCAGTGGTATACTTCTGCCCGACTTGCTGACTGATTTAGTTACGCCGTGTTGGAAAGGAGATCGTTGGCGGCCATCGGCTCCAACGCTGGCAGCTCCTCGGCATTCTACATGCCAAACACCGCAGCGAGCGAGAGTATGAGCATGCTAGATGACTCTGACTCGAGTGAAGATGAACTCACCGACGAAACCGGACCATCTCCACAATGTCCAACCAGTAGTGGCTCTTGTCCACCGCAACGGGGAAACCCGAATGCCGTAGAAGACCCAAACTTCTGGTCACTCCTGTCCTTGCCTCCTCCAAGCAGCTTCGGCCCGCCGCACCCACCTATGCCACCGGTAGATACAGACAATCCTGTTCCTGGAGGAGGGGGATCGGATCCGATGGAAAGCCTGCTACTATCACCGCCCCGTTCACTCCCAGTAGACTTCAAGGCGACAACAATGGAGGACGATTACTTTGGCCCGATGGCCGCTCCGATGTCGATGAATTCTACCTCGGATCCTTTCGATTTACTTCCACAGTCGGTTCCACCACACAACCCAAGAGGAATGCTTCCGGCAACAGCGCCGATATCGGGTCCGAGAGTGGCCACGCCGTCGTTGCCCCATTCGAAGAGCCTTCCGATTGTTCCAAGTGCCCCCTTGGCCGATCGATCCGGGAGGACCACTGGCATGTCGACACCTATAAGCCGGACGACCATAGAACTTGAGAATGTCCCACTGGATACTTTGTCGCGGGTAATGGACGTATTGTATCAAGCGAGAGCCAAGGTCCGCATGGAGACAACTCATGAGGGCTCATTTCCGGGCACCACTCTAGATGATCTATGAATTCAGAAAGGGCCTGGGCGGATGATGCTTGCTGTACTCGTTCCACAGGCGTTTCGGGCGTTGCATTAGACTGCTACTCGCGAGTGGTGAAAATTGACACATCATGGGGACGTCCGGAACTTCACTTACAGATTGTAATACTGCAATTGATATTATCGCCTCTGTCGTACCTAGATGATTAGACAACAACGTGCCATCTACACGTAATGACTCCGTATTGATATCATACAAGTCTGTACGCTTTGAAATTCGAAGGTTTACCTACTTTGGCAGACCCGAAATGTTCAGAGAATGAGCTAGCGGCGCAAAGTCCATAGGTGTGTTGGCACCCGGTGACAGAAATCGGCGGGCTTCAAAAACGGATAGATCTTCAGTCAGCTCAAAAAGGTCACGACCAGAAGCAGCTCCTAATAGTGTAATGTGCCATAAGCGTGTTCAAGCCATACTTAGAGGTGGAATGGCCAAAGTAAAGTTCTTTGGAAACGTGGTGAATACAATAGACTTCGGTGATTTCAGAGTGAGTCGGGAGTCCGGCAATTGACGAGTCCAGCAATCTCTGTCACCCATGCGACTGCGTGTCGGAACGATTAGAAAAGATGAACTGAATTGACGAGATCTAAATCTAATTACCCATGACAAGTAAAAACAACCACGAATACAGAACTGAGAGGCTATGCGACAAGACTTGTCGCGTATAATGGTATTGATACAACATAAGAAACTCATAACAACCGTCGTATCTCGTGACCCTTCCCATTTACCATTGCATGAATGCCTTATTTCAAGGCCTCCCTGATACGTGCGGGCAGCTCGTTGACTCCTGGCTCGCGCATCATGGTGAAGTGGTTCGCGTTAGCAATTGACTCAAGCGAGACAATGTTCTCTTGTCCCAACAACGCCTCCCATCCAATTGGACCAAAGTCCGTGCGGTTGAAGAGCAGCCATCTCATGTGGGGGGGATCCTCCGGCCTCATTTCTGGACGAGGGTCAGTGTCAAACCTGCAGACACCGTCCTGAGCCATGATGGTGTAAGTTTTTGGGATGGGGCCTTTTGAGGGATCCATGGCAGCAGGCCTGTAAGCGCTCAGGTTGCGAATACTGGACTCGAAATGCGGTACCAGCCAGTTAGGCGCCTTCCCTTCAGGGCCAAGCAGGCCAATCGTGTCAAAGAACTGATGGAGCCTCGAGGGTAGAGCCTGTGGCGGCAAGGGGCAGGGGACGTTAAAGAAGATCAATTTCTCCACGGTTTCCCCGACGGCTTGAAGCTGCATACATGCTTCATAAGCGCAGATACCGCCCGCAGACCAACCACCAAGGACGTATGGTCCGTGAGGCTGCCTGCGTCGGATTTCATTGAGGTAAAGCGATACGACGCCATCGATACCGCAATTGAAGGAGGTTGGCGTTTTCATGAAAGGACAGTTCAGCCCCACAACCGCGACATTGTCTGGAGCTATGGGAGGGATAGTGGCGTAGCTGGTAGCGGAGCCTGAGCCATCCGGAAAGAGGAAAAGCGTCTGAGACGCTGTTTTTGTAGACCCTTGAAGGAGTACAGACGTGGCGCTGGGCGGGTTCGGGCCGAGATTTGAGCGAGAGATCTCCTGAGACGGAGTCTGAGACCGCTTCTTCATCACCGATTCCGTCAGCTCCTTAGCTGTGACCTCTGCGATTATTTGTTCCGTAGACATCGTTTCGGATTGTGGAGGAAGTGCTGGCTTCGCGCTCCCGCCGCGGGCTTTCTCGATGTCGGCGAAGGTCTGGTGATCGCCAAAGAAAGTTGGGGGAAGATCGAGCCCATGCTCTTCGCGGAGGGAGCCCAAGATTTGTAACGACATTAAACTGTCAATCCCAATATCGGCCAACTTCGTCGACGAGGTAATATCTGAGTGAGGGACTCCAGTCTCTTCTGACATGGCCTCTCGGATAGCGGTAACATCGTCTCCTCCTTTAGTGGGCTCTTCGTCTCCAATCTCAGATAGAGAAGTCATAGAGTCCTGACTAGCGGGGGTCGTAGTGCCTGAAATCTCTGCGGAGTCGGAGGATGAGGTTTCGATCTCTCCGGGGCCTGCAGAGTTGTGTTGCGCAAAGAAGTCCTTCACTTCCTTGATGGTCTGGCAATCCACGAACAATGTTGAGGGCACTTCGATCTCCAGTATCTCGCGGAACTTGCCAGAGATCGTCAGACTCAACAGTGAATCGATACCAAGGGCGCTCAGCTCGTTGTCATCAGCAAGCTCGGTAGCGGGGACCCCGATTTCCTCGGCCATGATATCGAGTGCCCGAGACATGACGCTCGGTGACGCGGCAGTGACAGCTGCTTTTGGCCTAGGTGGTGGCTTCGAAACTGCCTTTTGAGGTTTAGGCGCAGCTTTCGTGGTAGCCACGCGAGCAGAGGATTTCGCAGCACCAACTGGGGGTAGAACTCGGTCAAGAGTTTGTTTCGGAAGGAATTGGAACTCAAGTCCGCCGATCTGACCTATGATCTTGCCGTCGGTGTCGAACACGTAGACGTCCCCTACATAATCCTTTGAGTCAGGGCTAGCGGGCTGCATCCTGACATATGAGTAGTACGTCTTGTGTGGTAATGGCTTCTCCGCAAATCGCAAAGAGTCCCACCCATGGTTGACGAAGACAGTCTTCGTTGAATCTAGCTCATCGTTGGCGTTCATGATGAACCCAGCAAGGTGGCAGAGGCTGTCAATGTGGTACGGCGCCACGAAAAATTCCTCGCTTTTGCCCATCGGCAGCTCGACTCGGGCAGTGCCCTCTCGGTTCGGACTGTCAAGGACAACTTCTGCCATGCCCTTATAGACATCTTGGTAATCCACAAGGGCGGAGAAGAGCTTGTAAGCCATCTTCCGCCGAAGTCTGCTCAAATTTCCCTTCTCCACGCCCTGTAAAAGACGATCAACCTGAGGCTGGACGAGGTATCTCTGCCGGGCCCATTCTGACGACCATCTGGTGGCATCGCCATATTGGACCTTACACTTGGCATGTTCGACCGTCTTCTCTCCTTCTGCGTTGGCACTGTAGAAAGTGATTTCGCAGAGCTCCCGGGATAAGTCCGCGGTGGAAGACGTACGAAGTAGCTGAGGCGTGTCACCGCATTTGGCAACCAACGGTTTGTCGACCACCATGCTCGAGCAATTCATCGCAAAATCTTCGTTCTCAGGCTCAAATTGCCGGTGAATGTAGTCTGCTATGGTCAGGGCCATATCTGCGTAGACGGCGCTAGAGCATAGCGCAGAGCCATTGACAAGATGCCCTTTGATCGTTTCCTCAAGATCCGGACGCGCGATATCGGTCTCCGTAACAACAGTACACTCTTGGCCCTTGAACTCCTCTTCCACCACGCGATGAACTGATGTCGTTGAAAGCGTCTTCTTTTGCTGCTTCTCAGCATCAGACACGCGGAGGAACTCGCCCTTGGTGAGGGTCCAGTTGTTGGTGTAGTCGATCCAATAGTTCTTGGAGTCCCACGCGTATGTCGGTAAACGCAAAGTCCTGGAGGACCCGGAAAAGTCTTGGTGGTAACTGTTCCAGTTGATGTCCAGCCCTGCAGTATGCAAAGCGCAAAGGCTGCCGCTGATTACTTTCCAGACATCCTCGCCTCGCCGTAGAGAAGGAACGGCGGTGGTGCTTGAGCCTAGTGTAGCTTTGATCATGCCACTGCAAACTGGGTGACTGCCAACCTCGACGAACACAGTGTTGTCGGCAATGGCCCCAGCTCCCTTAGCGTGTAGGCCGCCAAGGAAGTTGACCGTTCGGCGGCAATGACGCGCTAGGTATGGGGCATTGAAGGTTTGATTGTCGGTTACCACACTACTCAAGAGAGGCGAGATTACCGGCACGTCTGGATTGTTGAAGGTTACGCCAGCAGCAGCCGCTTCGAACTCTTGCAGCGCAGGTTCAACTTGGGCCGAGTGGAATGCAAATGGCACTTCGAGTTTAGTGCACTTCATGCCCTGAGAAGTGAGGTCTTCGTGAAGGCGATCGACATCTGTAGACTTCCCACTGATCACTGTGGCCTTCGGTCCGTTGACACAAGCCACCTCGAACGTGTCTCCATCGATCGTACCCTCGAGGTCTGAAGTTGAGGCTGGTACAGCAAGCATAGCGTGGGTATGCTTTGTGCAATGCGTCTCCAGGAGCTTCGCCCTCGTTCCGGCCAAAAAGATAGTGTCGCTGATAGACAGAACATCTGCGGCATAAAGCGCAGCGTATTCGCCAAGACTATAACCGATGACTACAGCTGGCTTGATGCCCCAAGTTTCCCAGAGTCGAACTAGAGCCATCTGAACGCATACTGCACCAAGCTGTACAGTCAGGGGACCCAGAGTCTCGATGTCGGCACTTCCGTCAATCAAAGGCAAAACACTTGGGAAGCCTTGGCTCTGCACAAGCAGATCGAAGCGCTGGACGTCTGATCTAAACTGAGAAATGGTGTCAAAAAATGTCTTCCCCATAGCCGAATAGTGAGACCCTTGTCCGGTGAAAGCGAAAACGACTGGGGGCTTTGACGAAGACACTGAAGTTATTTCGGAACTGATTGATCTCTTCAGAGCTGCCTTGATCGCGGGCAAATCGGAGCCAGCAACGGCAGCGCGGTATGCGTAGTGAATACGCCGAGCTGTCGTAGTGTATGAGAGATTTGACAGATCCGTTGATGGATTCTTCGAGAGGTACTGGATCAAATTCTCCACATTGCCGATGAGTGATGACTTGCATTTGCCGGAAACAGCAATGACAGCTGTCGAGCGGGTATCTTCTTGACTTCCGGTAATCGACAGTGGCGCGTCTTCCATGATGAGGGATGTATTACCGCCTGCGGCACTAAAATTGTTCAGAAATAAAGAACGTTTTCCCCCTTCCGGTCGATGCCATGGAGTTGATCCACCCAACGAGATGTGAACGTTGCGGGCATCCAGATCAGGGAACGTGTGATTTATCTTGGTCTTGATTCCACAATGAGGTGGAATCAGATTGTTGTCGAGCATCAGTAGAATCTTAACCAGGGCGGTGATACCTGAAGCAGCCTGTCGAATGCTTTAGCGGTGAACAAGTACCAGAACGCTTGTGGACTTACCTCGCCATGTCCCACGTTGGACTTCACGGACCCAAGGTAAAGTGGTTGATCTGGTCTTCGCTTCCGATTTTCAGGCGCGAATGCTCCAAGTACGGACTTCATCTCAATCCCATCGCCTGCCTGCGTGCCGGTTCCGTGCATCTCAACGTAACTCACATCATGAGGGTCAAGGGAAGCCTCAGAGAGCACCTTCTTGAAAAGGTATTCCTGAGCTCCGGCATGGGGGTGTGTAATTGAAACAGCTTCAGCGGAATGGTTCGTTCCGGTGCCTAGGATTACTGCCAGGATAGGGTCTTTATCCGCTTCAGCATCCTCGAGTCTCTTTAGAATCACGGTGCCCACTCCATCTCCACGGCAGTATCCATCAGCTTGATCATCGAACGTCTTACAGTTGCCGGTTTTGGATAAGAATTGGCCTCGAGAAAGCCCGGCGAAGATATCGGGGTTTGTAAGGACGTTGAGACCTCCGGCAACGGCTGTATCACAATCACCTTGCCACAACGAGTTGCAAGCAATGTTGATGGCAGCCAGACTCGAGGAGCATGCGGTATCGACACTAAAACTCGGTCCCGAAAATTTGAAGTGGTAGTTGATGCGCCCAGGAGCGAAAGCTCTCACGCCACCTGCAGGGTATCAGCAATCAGGTTGGTAACTGAATCGATAGCAGCAACAGAGAGATTGGATTACCAGGGATAAAATAGGTCTGGATATTCTGTCCATCCTGGATTTCACGCCAGTCGTCAGATGTTTGCCCATAGAACGTGCCGATCCTATCAACTATGGTCGAGGGCGTTCTGTTGGGAACGTAACCGGACATCTCCAATGCCTCATAAGCCGTTGTGAGAGCTAGGCGGTGCATAGGGTCGGTCTGCGTTGCTTCTTTCGGACTCATGTTGAAGAATCGCGCATCGAAGAGACCTGGATCCTCGATGAAGCATCCAAAGGGCGTATGGCTCGTATTCTTCTGTTTCCCGGTTGGATCTACATGGGCCTGTGCATCAAACCGGTCCTTAGGGATCTCTCGGTGGACATCGAGTCCCTGCTTGAGAAGATCCCAGAAAGCACTCGGACTCGCAGCATCAGGAAATCGACCAGACATGCCGACAATGGCAATCTTGGACTGGCTGAGGCGTCCCTGCATACACCATAAGTTTCGACTCATAAAAGGCTTCCGAAGAGCTAAGTACGAATAGGCACGAGGATCATGGTGCTAACTGGTGGCAGAGCGGGTGTTTCTCTATAGGTAGAAAATCTCAGATGGCGGCATAGACTTACTGTGGGTGGCACGCCATCAGACTTGTCCGGCTCTGTTCCTCGCCGATCATCCAGAGATATTTGAAACTCGCCATGTTGCTTCAAAGCATTGACCATGCTGTTTGCGCCGTTGTTAGCCCCGATGGGGACAACCTGGCCTTGCTCAGCTCCGGCAGCCTGGAGGCTTAAGCCGCAATTCTCACAAATCCTTTCCCAATTCAAAGGTTTGAGGAGAATGTCTTGAAGAACTTCCTTCAGTAGCTGCTCGACACTGGATACCTGATAGACATCTCGCCCGTCGTTGGATATGATGGGGATTCGTGGTGTCCGCGAAGACTCGGCGTCTTGTGAAAGGGACTCTAGAATCGAAGCCAGAGAGGAATTGTTGTAGAAATGTGGAGCATGGTAGGGACCATATATGGGAAGTCGGACCGGCCGATTTGATTTGGTGGATCCGGATTTGATGAGTTCGTCCAGAATATGAGGTGGACCGCTAATGGTCACAGCGTTCGAGCTGGTTGCTGACACAAATAGCCCGCTTGCTGGTGGAATGCCCTAACTGTTAAGCTCGCGTAAGTATCAGCCACTGAAGAAAGAATATAAGTTGTCTTACATGAGTTGTGCAGAAGTCCTCGTGAGCCATGAAGGCTGCTTCTTTGTCAATACCGGGAAAGATTGCAGACCAGCTGGCCGAGTTGGTTGATGTTTGCTCAAGTTCGTCACCCGCCTCCGCAACCTGCGCTCCAACACGGAATGCTATCTTTAGGATCTCGACCGACATGTTGACAAGGTCAAGGTATGTGCGAGAGCAGCTGACTGCTGCGGCCGTAAGAAGGCCTGTGCATGACCCGACAAGTCGAGTGTTCTCTGCACTCGGATACTCTTCAGATCCATCGCCTAAGTATCTGGCTACGCATCAGCACAACGTTCTGGTGCGCAACAGGGGCGGGAGCGGGTAGGAAAGTGACGAACCTTAACAGACTGGCAATCTGATAGATGCATGCCAGAGCACTCTCGATTGCTGGGTGCCGGACTCCAGATTCAGAGTACCTCCATAGCAGATTCTCTACGCTCGTGAAACCAGGCAAATCACGCGCCGTGCGCGGATCCCGAGCAACCTCATCCCGCAGAGTAATGTATGCTTTTTCGAAGAATGACAAGAGCAATGGATTGTCCTTGACCGAGACAAGTTCGCGCAGGTCGGAAGATACGTCTTTCGACTGATCTCCAAAGAGAAGGACTCTGATATTCACTACCATAGTCGAAGATTATGTCGTAAGAGGAATAGGGCACTCAGTAGACTGCGACGATGGGGGACTTATTTTATTGTTTCGAGTGTCTTCGAGTCCTGGGTAAGTTGTCATAATGCATACGAGGAGCATACTAGGACAAAACCGATGAGTAAAGGTGATCAACGAATCGGCCACCGACCGTCGTAGGAAGACTAAGAGAGTATCGCAGAAAGAGAGAACCTACTGCGGTAGTGTTGGCACCCTCGGCTAGAGTGCCAGGTTAGAGACCACTGGGCGTGCTTCAATGCTGTCAAAGCCATCTTCGGTCCTTGTGATCTGACACTCGACTGCCCATGAGCCGCTCAGACGGTTACCGGAATCGTAGGAACACAGAGCCGGGACTAGTGGTGAGTCTGCCTTGCGGCGAACACGGTGAGCGATATGACTGATACAGACTACAGTGGCGCACGTTGAGAAGAGCAGCCAGGCCCGTGATTGGCGTGGAGCAGAGACTGAGTTGATACAAGACTCGACCAAGCTCGATCAAGCCAAGGTGAGTGAATGAAGGAAGTGATGAGGAGCAATTCCCGACTCGCCGGCAACGAACATGGCGCCAGAGCAAAGCACGTGCTACCTATGGCACAACTCACATGGCTGACGGCTCCACAGAACCGGCTCGCCGAGGTAGCGAGAGCCCCTCAGTAGAGAAGGGCCCAGCAAGAGACTACAGTAACATGGGCGAGGTGGCGGAAAGTGTGAATGCAATCGCCTTGCCAGTATGGATGGCGATGGCGTCTTGTTTTCGCTCCCCGTTCGGTTGCCGACATCTGCTACGTCCACGAACGCGTAATTATCCGCAGGAGATATTTGGCAGATGCGCACGATCACGTAAGTGCGAGAGCCCCCAATTCTCCGATGCTTCGCCTTGAAGTCTTGTTTAGTTACTAGGCTGGGATAGTGTGGAGAGCCGTGATTAAAGCTTCACCTGAGTGAGGCGCGTCGACAACGCCAACAAGGCCCTTGGTGGTGCTTGAATCGTGTGAGGGTTTCGATTGTAGACGGTCATAATGTATTGAAGACAGACAAATAGCTCACTACGAAGTAGATACGATCGTTAGGTCTACGCAATTGGAAGTCAACGTGATGGTCACAAAGAGCCACAGACGACCTAAGCCATTTCGGGACTCTGACTAATCAACCCGGGACCTTCACTTCACCCCTTCATCTTCAAGGCTGGTGGATGTGTGTCATGAACAACGCAGCTGTATCTGCCTTGAGCTTTTGTCCCGTCTATAAAGTACGTTATACAGATATCGTCGAAACCACAAGATCAGTAACAAGCCGAGAGGCAGTGTTGAAACTACGATGCCTCCACCATCTGAGGCAAGACCGGAAGCGCTGCATCAGAGGTACCCTCATTGAGCTGCTTCAGCTTTTGCACCGCTTTATCGACCTGCTTCTCCAGATTCTCATACCAGATCCATTCGAACCTCTCGTCAAGATTGGTCTTGATCTTCTCCAAGTCTTCCCCGGTGTCTGCGCCCTTCATCATGCACACTTCACCGTTCTCCCTGCTGGTTTCCACTACGCGCAGTGTCCTTGGTCGGCGGATGGCGTCATACGCAGCAAAAGCGCGCTCGATGTCGTCTGCAGTCTCCACGCTGCTATGGGCCAACAACATGCACATGACGAGGGCATCCTCGAAGGCCTGGCCGCATCCAGCTCCTTGATGAGGCGTAGAGGCGTGCGCCGCATCTCCGATGATGGCAAGACGGCCGCTGTAAAACGTCGATGCTGTGGGGTGGTGCCAGAGGGACCACTTTTGGGGTTTCTTGAGCAACGACACAACTTGCTGCATCTTCGGTCCGCAGTCCTTGAACTCTTCCTTGACCGTATCTTCATCTGCTGGGACAACCCAGTCGGGGCTATCCCACGTTGGCTGATCGCGTGCCGCGACAATGTTCAGCATCTTCCCTTTCTCCACCGGGTAGGTTGTGGTCAATCCGCCAGGAGCCACATTGACATTCCCGTTCTTGGCGAAGTCGTCTCCCAGGACCTCGCACGCCTCGTCCATAGGTATGAGGCTTCGATACCCTGTGTTTTGTCAGTCAATCGTCACACAGTCCGGAGGCACACTATAGTACCGAACTCTCCCGAGTACTTTGGGTAAGCGTCAGGGTTGTCTTCGCCTAAAAGGATCTGCCGAGTTTTGGACTTGATCCCATCTGCACCAACAACAGCGTCGGCCTCGACTTTGGTGCCGTCTTGGAATACCAAAGTATATCCGCCTGATTGTTCCTTAACCAGGTCCTGCAGTCTCTTGTTCATGTGGAAAGTGCCCTCCGGCATAAGTGTAACCATGTCCTATGATTGTAAGGATACTGCTCAGCCTTTGGTAGTCATGATGGAAAACACACCTTGACTAGTAATGTCCTATGCACAGCTTGCTGACCTGAGCCCTTACAATACAGAGTGGTGATAGGATCCGCGTTGTCCGCCTGTCCATCTCTGTAGGTCATGTAGACGTCTTTCTTTTCTGACATTTCGTTGCATCTCTTGACGAACATCTCGTGGCAAGCTGGATCTACTGCTTTCAATGCGTTCAAGGAGTTTACAGCGAAGCTCAGGCCAGCGCCTATCTCTGCAAACGCCGGAGCTGCTTCGTATACTTGGCACTTGATACCCCGTCTCAGCAGACCTCTCGCAAGGCTCAGGCCCCCGAGCCCGGCGCCCACGATGGCGATTGTAAAAGGCTTCTCCTGCACGGATCCCATGATGAAGATTAAGGTAGTGATACGTGAAACGTAAATCTCGAGCAATGCTTTTTGGGTAGCTATGGAAGGCGGTCGGTCAATAGTGATATATTATACTTGACGTTTTGCAGCGCCAGTTCGATGATCAGCAACACTCGGTCATTCATTTGCGTGTTTCGGGATCGTCCCCAAAGACGTTCTTATTATCACGTGCATTTGAATGATGGAAGACACGCTCGGTGAGCCGGCGGAGAGACCCCTGGACGGTGACCGAGGAGGTGGACCGCCCAGATTTACGAACATCAACCACAACGGTTGATAGCATGATGATGATGGCGCAGCCCCAACGAAGATGTCGGCCGCCAGCCTCAACGCCGGCCCAAGTTTGGCAGTACGCTTTCGAATACAGTACCGAGCAATGACGTCAACAGCTAAAACACAGCTGCCCATGGTTCTCGAACGCTAGATTGTCTGTGAGCTCAGAGCGAGAGCAGCCTGAAGGCCGTCCAGTTGGCGGCTCTACTAAGTATAAGATGGACATCCTTTTCGCCGCTATCTCACCGCTAAGAACAACACCGCAGTCGCGATTCAAAAGACTAAAACTATAACATAGCACCATCTCATTCCAAGTAAAATCGCCCCAGTCTCGCAATATGGGTAGTCATGAGCAGGGCCCGCCAGCCCATATGGGTTAGTACGTCAGGTTCTCCAGATGTGCTTCGTTAACATTCGAAGGCATCGACTTCACGCCCACAATTCACCATGACACCTATCCCGCCATCGATTCCCTGCAAAGCACCGGCATAGTTGGCAAACACGTCTTCCTCACCGGCGCTTCGAGAGGTATCGGAAAGGCGATGGCGATCGCTTATGCAAAAGCCGGCGCCTCCATCGTCGGCATCGGAGCGCGTTCTGATCTCCATCTTGCCATCAAGGAAATCGAAGAGGCTGCTACTTCTGCCGGAAGGGAGATCCCGAAAGTCGTCCCTGTCATCATGGACGTGCTGAGCCCAGAAAGCGTGCAGCAGGTCGTTGAAGAGATCACGCCGCACTTCAACAACAAGCTGGACATTCTCGTCAGCAACGCAGGCTACATGGAGACCTGGCGCCCAATCGCAGAGGCCGACATTGCGGACTGGTGGCAGTCATGGGAGGTCAACATCAAGGGCCAACTCATGGTTTGGGAGGCCATGCTTCCGCTCATCCTCGCCGACGACTCGAGCCTGAAGACGATGATGAATCTGTCCAGTATTGGCGCTCAGATGTCCACACCGGGCGGTAGCGCCTACCAAACAGCCAAGTTCGCGCTGCTCCGCCTCACGGAGTTCCTCAATGCTGAGTACGGGGAGCGGGGATTGATCGCGTGCTGCATGCACCCTGGTGCGGTGAAGACTGCCCTCGCCTGGAAGACGCCACCACCTCTAAGAGAGAGGCTGGTTGATACTCCACGATTGATGTCTGACACCGTTGTCTACTTGACTCAGAAGAGAAGGGAGTGGCTGAGAGGGAGATACGTCTCTTGCAACTGGGATATGCAGGAATTGCTTGGAATGGAGGATGAAATTGTGGAGAAGGACATGTTGAAGATGCGGATGGTGGTCTAAGCGTTGCAGCGCTTTACTTCCTAAGACCGAGACATGTTTCTTCCGAGTCCGGTGTTTTATTAGATATGTACCATTAGACCATACACGGCGATGTAATTGACGCCCGTTCAGGCAGCCCGTGGGACTATGCACGCCTACGCGCCGGAGTAGCGCGATAAGGCGATGCCGGTGTTCGCATGTGTGAAAAAAATGCTGGTCCTGCCAACCAGCCCGCTGTTTGCACTTGCTTTTGGCAGCACGCAACCGCCCACCCCGGTGCTTGATCCGGTTCTGCGGGCATGCGGGCACTACTGTCGCTTGCAAAAAGTGCGGCCGTTTGGAAATGAACTTCATCCACCCCCCCCCTCTAAGGCGCATCACTCCACAAAGCATGCGCAATGCTTTTACCTTAGTTAGACACATTCAAATATCTTCCTTATAGCTATACCTATCTATATTAGTCTTCATCTAGATATATTTTAAGGGATACATAGTAGACAGCTTAGTGCACTTAATTTTCTTTAAAAGCGCGCACGCGAGCATGCGAGCTTTTATAGAAAATCAAGTGCACCATAAAATCGCACATCTTAAAAACTAAGAAGAATAGTAGCACTATGCACCTAGGCAACTATTAACTATTAGATAGCTGTAGCTGTGCTGCATCTTTTAAGAGTATTGAGTTATATCCTAAGCGTTGAACGGTTGTGTAAACGTGGTTTTGGTCTTTGACAATCAAGGGGGGGGTGGGATGAAGTTTATTTTCCAAACGGCCGCACTTTTTGCAAGCGACTATAAGCTTACATCGATCTGCTGACTTACTCGCCGATAAGGCAGAGCGTGTTGGCTCCGTTGATGTAGGGCACCTGCAACTCTTCCCCACCAGCGAGGATGTTGAGTAGCCTGATACGAGTACTCGGGTCCAGGTACCGAGTGGAGAGTCAATCGAGCGTTACATCTTGCCAGGCATCCGGGAGCAAAAAAGCGAACAGGACGGAGGACACCAAGATTTAAATCGTACATACAGAGCATGTGCTGTATTCATAGCTTGTCTAACGATCCGAGGAAGGCAGTCCAGCGTCAGTCCACCATACATACATTTGCTATCATCGACCATGTCGCTCATGGAACTCGACCACACCAGTCCCAGGACTGTTTCTTCCGCTCCTGACTTAAGGAAACTCCGGCTCTCATGCGACAACTGCTACGCGGCAAAGGTCAAATGCACAAAGGAGCGGCCAAATTGCTCAAGATGCGGTAACTTGGGTGCTGCTTGTGTCTACTCGCAGTCACGACGGGCTGGCAAACCAAAGGGCTCTCGGAACAGCCGGTCCGGGCCGAGCGGGCCTCCCTCACCACCACCAACTGCTTGCAGTGTGCCAGGAACTCCTCATTCTTGTTCAAACTTCGGCCAGTTCGTTCCTGGTCGTCAGCAGCATTGGGATCTCGATCAACTAGACGATAATGGGGAGCGGGGCTCCTCGACCCCGCAATCGAGGAAAACGTCCCTGAACACCAGCTATGGAGAGAATCCGAGTGACGGTTTCGGCAGCTTGATAACAAGCGCTCCTGTCACATCCCCGACCCTTAGACCGGCACTTGACTTCAGCTTTGGTCAGAGCACATTCAGTCCAGGAGATGCCAGCACGGGGGACACTGGCTTGCCTGTCTTCAATGGCGGACTATTTGGGACGATGCCAGGTTTAATGCCAGACTTGGTGTCCGGCATGATGCCTCCCTGCGACTCTCTCCCCTTCTCCACGGACGACATGTTCTCTCTCGTGTCACTCAACGACATGCAATGTCCTGATCTTTCTCTCAACATCAATCTCGGTGATTCCACTGCAGGGCTTTGCAACAACACCTGCCACTGTTCTGCCGCGCGCCAGGAGACTCTCGGCACACTACACAACCCTTCACCCTCCTTCGACCGCCTCCTTGCTGTCAACAAGGCAGCCGTCAACCGCGTCACCCTGCACCTCTCCTGCTCGTGCCCTCCGGATATCTCGTCGATAATGCTGCTCTTCGTGATCGTCACGAAGATCGTGCACTGGTACAAAAAGAGTAGGGACGGGCAGGGCTCCGAGGAGGTGGGGGTGACGCTGGGGACGTTCAAGATGGATAAGGAGGATGAACATCGGATGAAGATGGTGCTCATCAAGTCTGAGCTGCGGAAGGTTGAGATGCTCATCAGCCGGTTCCGTGATCGATTCGAGAGATCGCTGGACGGACAAGATGAGCAGGTTTATGAGGCCAACATGGCATTCTTGGAACAGAGGCTCCAGGACACTATCAAGGGACTTTGAGTGATAGCAGCGGCTTTTTTCTCCACGCATGGTGTTGACGGTTTCGAGATGGCAGGTACCATCAGGGTTATTGAGGTTTGGGTGCTTGGTTTCCTCTTCTCGATGCGTGCTGTTGATTGTGATGCGAAGTTTGCCGTCGATGCTTTTACACCATGATTCTTGATCCGAGTACTTTCATGAAAGGACAGTAATCCACGCTTCCATATTCTTATAGACTCAGAACATTCTAAAGAAAGAGTTCCACTAGATAGACGCTTGTTGGGAAAAAGTTCGTCCGAACAAGGTTACCGAGATCTCAGCCTCCTTCGCCGTGAATTCGCGTCCCATTGTCCGTTGTCTCGACCGAAACCGCAAAACCTACACCTAGGCCGTGTTCCAGATGCAAGTACCGAAGATGTCAATATCGGCGTTCAAAGTCTGGACAGCTCGCCGAAATTCCGACTTCGAACCAACAAATCTGTCACCGCCAAACCAGCACCTCCTGCTCGGGGACCTTCCGGTTGTTTCGCCGTCGCAAAGAACCAAGGGAGTCGGATATTCACGGGTTGGGGGTTTGTACACGGCGAGTTCAGTCAAATGTGTTGTCTTGTTTCGCGAGGTTTCACAATCTTCACCGCTCCGCCCCAAGATATCGCAGTGCGTTGAGAAGGCTCACGACCCACCAGTCGATCGCGGCTTGCCGAAGGGTCACGGGGACTGGCTTTCATTCGCTTCCACGCTCTGCCAAGTCGGCTGTGATAAATCTCATTGTTTCATTGAGCGGAGCGGTGGACCATTACCGAAGACTAGGCGCTATGCCTCGATTTCGTCTTTATCGTTTCTTGTTAGTAATCTAACAGAGCCACATGGAGCAGCCGCATGGGGCCGCCGTACTACCCCAGTTCACTCTTCTCTGAGTTTCACCCCTTGGGACAACCCGTATGTACCGCTTAATCAGTCCATCTGCAAATTCAATACCCTACGAAGCACGGCACGAGCATGCAGAGCACGATGATATCACTGAGTTCATGCAGTGCTTGCTTCCTCCTTCGTAATTCATATGGAAACACCAGTTGGAGGTAGAATTATTATTTTAGCGACTATCATTCATGTCCGGGATAGCCTGAGCACATCGCCAGGAATCTAAAAGGTCACCCCGTGCCCGGCAGATACCGCTCAAAGAATCAGGTTTACTTCAAGTCAGCCCAGACCGGAGTCTTAGCGACAAACTCCTTCCAAGTGGTGGGGGGCTCGGTCAAGATCTGCAGCGTTACCGTTAGCTCGAGGACAGATTCAACCATGAGCACCTCAATCACTTACTGACTGGCTCTCCTTCAAGTCTGCGCCCCCATAGTACCCAAACTGCGGCATCACGAGCATATTCTCGAGCACCTCATCCTGGATAGGCTCAGGCATGCCCTTGCCCGCTAAGATCTTCTTGAACATTTCCTCGGGAACCTGCCTTGCCGCTCCGCCCTTCCCAGCCTCCGGCTTCACAGCCTGGAAGTCCGCAATGATCTCCTCAGGGGTGTAGTAGTCCGTGGCGCCGTAGATGCGCGCACCCAGGACCTTTTCGCGGTTGAGCAGGATGGCCTTGACGAACTTGCCGGTGTCGGCTTCGGTGTCGAAGAGCGGGATTGGAGAGTTGGTGGGGATAGGCAGAGCGAAGTTGTAGGCGCCTTGCATGTTGTTCAGGCTCTGGCCAGGGATGTTGGCCATGTAGAAGCCGGGCAGGAAGAAGGTGGCTGGGATGCCGATCTTGCGGATGTACTCTTCGACGTCGGCTTTGGAGTCGAAGTGGGCAACTTTGGAGAGCTTGCCGCCAGAGAGTTTCGTGACGTTCAACAAACTGCTCCAGACCAGATGTTGCACGCCAAGCTCCTTCGCAACGTCGGCAATGTCCTTGCCCTGTTGGACTTCCAGCTCGGCGTTGAGCTTCTCCCAGAAGTTCGTGACTGCGAAGACGGCGTATGCGCCCGTCATCGCAGCACGGAGAGAGTCCTTGTCATTGACATCGGCCTGGCAAGCCAGGACATTAGTGACTGCGCAGCAAAAGTGTGACTACCACGAGGGAAACAAACCGGAACACACTCGGCGCCCAATTTAGTGAGAGCTTGAGCGCTTGGCTTCGATGGATCTCTAGTGATTGCGCGGACCGAGAACATAGAGGCAGACCTGGGATCGGAGAGAACAGATCTCACAACGGAACCACCCTGTTTCCCTGTGGCTCCAAACACGACGAGAACCTTCTTGGCAGGCGTAGTTCCGTTGGAAGCCATGGTGGAGCGGAACTTATCGAGTACGGAAGTCAGGTGCAGGCCCATGGAAAATGAAGATTTGTGTTTAGAGCTCAAATGGCTAGAAGCTGTGAAGGAGGATTATGCTTGGAATGCAGAGATAAGAAACAACTGGAAGCGCGGAAGGCTTTAATACAATCACTTTCACCAGCCTGCAGCAACGTTGCCATGACGCCCTTTGCAGGAGCAACCAGGCGCAACATCATGAGCTGTTAATGTTATGGTAAGCAGTCCTCAACAATGCAGGTCCCACTGTGAGGAAGGTCCCAAGGCTGGGGTTGCATCACGTCGGCGTTGGTTTAAGGCAACGGAACGGGAGATTCCCAAGCCAACGGGCCGCGTCGCGCGAAACGGGGACCGATTCGCCGGTGGCCGATTGCGGCTGCAGGTGGGCTGGACCCGAGTCATCTGCGACTTGGAAAAAGCACGTGAATAGGACACACCCATCTTTTGATAAGCCTGTGACGACGATCGTCCGGGCCCAACACCACCTTATTCCACCCATCTTGTTCAGTCAGCAACTGCTACTACGAGCTGTCGGCGGCTTAACCGGTGAACGAGCTGCAAGTCAGGAGTCCATGCCCGTGCGACCGGTGTTTGAGCTTTGCAAGAGCACAATGCTTCTCGAAATGGGCCTGCTGCTCATTATCATCGAGCATCTCGCGTGTTTGGAATTTATAAGCTTTCCTTGATACTTTATCCTTTCCAGCTTATCCGGCTGGGAAATTATCTAAATCTTATCTCTCTCTAATCAAAATGACTTTCACTTTGCCGCTAGACATTCCCACCTCTCGCCTCGATGGGAAGGTCGCCCTCGTCACGGGCTCCGGACGCGGTATCGGGCGCGGAATTGCAATTGAGCTCGGACGAAGGGGCGCTTCCGTAGTGGTGAACTACGCAAAAAGCTCCGGACCAGCCAGCGAGGTTGTGAAGGAGATCACAATTTCCGGATCCGAGGCCATCGCCATACAGGCCGACATCTCCAACCCATCTGACATTGCCAAACTATTCGAAGCAACGCATTCGCATTTTGGCAAGCTGGACATTGTCGTCTCCAACTCTGGGATCGAGCACTTCGGCAGCATCGAGGAGATTAGTCCAGAAGAGTTTGACCAGGTCTTTAACCTCAACACGCGCGGCCAGTTCTTCGTCGCCCAGAAGGCCTACAGCTATCTCAGCGAGGGCGGCCGGCTGATCCTGATGTCCTCCATCTCCGCTGGTGTGGGCCTACGCCATCATGCCGTCTATGCGGGAAGCAAGTGCGCAGTCGAAGCGTTTGGCAGGTGCTTGACCAAAGAGTTCGGAGCCAAGAAGATCACTGTTAATGTCGTTGCCCCTGGCGGCGTAGGCACTGACATGGCGGCTGAAGCGGGGTGGAGATACATCCCCGGGGCTAACCCGTCGTGGACTGCGGAAGACATCAATAAATTCGTTTCGTCCCGGACCCCACTGCAAAGAATGGCCCAGCCTCTTGACATTGCCAGAGTGGTGGCTTTTCTGGTCAGCGAAGACGGCGGCTGGATGAACGGTAAGTTCGCACGAGCTCATAGTCGTCCTCTATGCAAAAGCTCACGATCACGCAGGCCAAACTATTACGGTCTCTGGAGGCGCGACGGCGTGATTGCGCCCTGTTCTCGGCAGAATCTGGGAAGGGATGAGTAAATCCTCGTACAGTGATTACTCTGTCACGTTCTACATGTATATAAATAGCTAGTGTTTCGAACTTTCGAGTATCGCCCAATGATCAACGCTGTCTCAACATGCTTTATGCCTCGGCAGTGTTGACACTAAACAACCGGCACAACGGCCTCTTCTGTTCCTGAGATAATCAAATTCCCTCAGGAAACGTGACTGCGGCATAAGATTTGAAAGTATCCAGAGCTCAGTGCAGCTCATAGATACCGCAACGACCCCCCAAATCCACCGCTGCAACTTTCTCCTCTCTATAATTGCTAGTGCCTCAGATGGCAGCAATCATATGAACCAGTCCAGAGTTTTGCATTGCTGAGAGTCAAGACCGTAATTCTCCCATCATGAAGCCTCCGTACTCGCCGGGTCGGACGGCGCCTGCTCAGATCCTACGAGACCAAGCTAGCTGTTGAATTGCGTAGGAGGATGGGACCGAGGTCGGTGACCGAAGAAGCAACAGCTTACATTTTGGGATAAGACGTGCTTCAAGATACGATGACCGCTCATCAACAGCGTGCTATATACAAAACAGCTGTTCCTGCCAGCTGGCTAAAGCTACTTCGCAAATTCACTGAACATAGATATTTCATCCACCGGTTATCGGCTTCACCTCATACGCGTAACCATGGGTTCTGTCGGGCAACAGAGCATCACCTTTGAAGGTAAGATTCCCCTCGTCCGAGAAATTGCAGTGCGAACCTGCTGTTCGATTCGTGTCTAACGCCTTCCAGAATGGCTCGCGTGCAGCGCTGTTCTCTACGATTGGGCGGATAACTATGACAATAAGGTAGAGTCATCTTTTTCCGTTTGGTAAAGCGATGGCTCACAAAAGCACAGAACTGGGACGGACTGCGTGACATTCTTGCCCCGAAGCTGTTGGTCAGTTATACAAGCCAACTATCCTCAAATGCCAACCCAAGACCTCATACTCACATACTCCAGGTCGACTATGCAAAAGTCAACAACGCCAAATTCGTCGACCTCCCCGCCGAGAAGTATATCGAGATGATGAGCGACCCGCTGTTCCTGGGCGATCCGTTGATCGTCTCGCAACACCTGATCGGCGCGACCAAATGGGAGAAGATTTCAGACGAGGAGGTTGTCTCGCATCATCAGTCCAGAGCCGCGCATCAGCGGTGGGCGGACGAGCAGAGGAGCGTCGTGGCGGTCAAGGGCCATGGACATGGTGTTGTTACTACCTTCTATAAGAAGCTGGATGGTGTGTGGAAGTGGGCGGGGATTAGGACGAAGGTGATTTGGAATGAGTATGACTTTGAGCATGTGTTTGTTGGAAAGGCGGGGAAGGATGTGTGATTGATGGGAAACGCACGTGTGTACCGAAGATATCGAGATTGGAGTGCTGTATCATAGATTATCTTTGCTTCCGCGCTCAATGAACGTCACAACATCTCCAGTTGAATCTTTTGTATCTACCTACTGTGTAACTATGTGTTAATCTGCCGCATGAACCGGCGACATATGCTACCTTTTTGGCGCCAACTGCACCGCGTAGTTGCGGCACATCACCTCTTATATCAACCCTTTGATAGCATGTAGTCCCTGTCTTTTGCATCAAAATAGCTTGACAATGAATTGGATGGACTTACCAAGCTACTTTTCCGAATTCTCAAAGACATTGCAGACGTCCAAATCCGTGTCAAGAGGGTTCAAAGTTGACTGTGATGTTGACCCAACGCCTTGGTTGACGTCGCCGTTGCAGCGGCACGGCTAAGCCTCATGCACTAGGTCGTATTTGGGATGGGGTTTCCCGGCCACGTTCTCACAGCACGTTTCTCTCTCTCCACTCGGGCCCGTCAGCAATACCCCTTATCGAATCATGAAGATCCTACAGACCCGACTTCGCTGTTCGCAGGGTTGTACGTTCACCGAGCCGCTGGGTGTGGGGGCGTCTGCAGCCCTCCTGTGGCTTAATTCAGGTACCCGTCGGTGACCGACCGGGGCGCCACGTTGTTATAGTATTCTTGTTGACCCAAACCGCATTGACGGGTTGGCGAGGTGCAGAGTATTCATAAGGTACAACGTCCCTCATGGCAATCTTAGAACTCAGACCTTCAGCATCTGTCGTTCTACCGTCGTTTTTTGACAGGCCACTGCTTGGGCTCGCTCGTTGTTGGTTATTCCTTACGCCTCGTTCTGTATATCACATCCGCGACTTTGCCTCGAACACTTCGTTTAAAAATGCTCTTGAGCGTCGTATTCTCCACTTTCGTTCTGTTGGAACTGGCGGCAGCTGCCCCAAACCCCAAGGCCAAGCAACTGGAAGATTGTGTTGCAAAAGCATTGATTGGGAATGACATTCAGACCCGTATACAGACACCTGCAGATAGCACTTACGAAGATGCGCGTATTGGTGCTATCATGTAAGTACATAGTGCGTTCTTAGGGATCGGTTCCGTCTGACCTCATCTCACAGAAAACCAGAATTCCCAGCAATGATTGCTTTTGCTACGCAGATTAACGAGGTGGCCCCACTGATAAAGTGTGCTTCGAAGAATGGGTTTCAGGCCGTTCCTCGCTCTGGTCGTTACCAGTACGCTGTCCCTTCTCATCTATCCAGGCAGTGCTAATATTCTAAGCAGCTTTGAGGGCTGGTCTGCGTTGAATGGTTCTTTAATCATCGACGTGTCGCACATCAACAACATCACCGTCTCCAAGGATCTCCAAACCGCCGTCATCGGAGCCGGTGCCAACCTAGGCCAAATCTACACGACGCTGAGCACGTATGGGAAGACTTTCTTGGGCGGGATCTGTCCTTCAGTCGCCATCGGAGGCTATCTCGGCGCTGGTGGCTACAATCTTCAACAGAGACAGCTCGGGTTAGCCGTTGACCAGATTGTCTCTTTCAAAGTGGTCGTAGCAAGCGGCGATCTTCTGACGGTTTCTCCCACTCAACATCCCGATTTGTGGTGGGCAGCCCGGGGTGGCGGAACTTTCGGTATCATTGTGGGGACGACGGTGAAGATCTTGACACTACCGAGATCGGCCATGGTAGCCGCTTTTTACCCTAACAAGACCACTCGCTACGACGTGGTAAAGACGTACCTGGATTGGGCTCCGAAGCAAGTTCCAGAATTCACGAGCCAGCTCAACGTCTACAATAACCGGACGCATCTCATGGGCTGGTATCTCGGCGGCACAACAGAGCAACTACAACAGATCATGGAGGAATCTGGCCTTCTCGACATCCCAGACGCAAAGGTTTCCATCACTGGGGATTGCAGCACCGAGAACTCGCGCATGTTCTGGCTGGCCCCCCAAACAACCTGCACGAATGACGAAGAGGCCTACGACGCTTTTCTCACCGCCTACAACACCGTCCCCATCCATCTGACGCCAATTGAGCCGCAGTTCCGCCTAGAAAACGTGCCCGCTCTCCCATCGGAGCCCACTGCGCATCTCTGGCCCAGGTTCGGCGTCATCAGCAAGACGTACTTCACGTTGAAGAGCAAACCCTTATCGGACGCTGCCCTCGCCGAGTTCATCGACCAAACGGGAGCACTGGCTGATGAGGTCGGCTTCTGGGGCGAGTGGACGAGCTTCAACATCTCTGCGCCGCCAACTACGAGCGCCTTCCCTTGGCAGGAGGACGCGTCGACCCTGATGCGGATGGAAGTGGCGTCGGGGCATGACTCGCAGGCTTATGTCCAGAATCGCGGGTGGATGAATAACTTTGATAAGTTCTTCCGGCCTGAAGTTGGGTGAGTTTCTTCGCTTGTCCTTCAGCTGTTCGCGTACTAAATACTTCGTCTCAGGACTGCGAGCTACTCGGGCTACATCGATGCCGATCTTTCTGTCAATCCGTATACTGCTTATTATGGCAACAATGTCTGTCGGCTTGTTGAGGTCAAGAGGGCGTACGATCCGGAGAATTTCTTCAGAAATCCTTTCTCGATTCCTACTTCGACGCCAGCGGGGTTCTCGTGCTGAGTTGAACCTGTGCTGATTCAAGCCTGCTTTCATCCAGAGAGCTGTTCGTGTGGATGTGTTCGGGTTGCTGTAGTTGTATAAACAGCCGCGTACGATTTTTCAGACTTCCATTAGGTTGTAGTCTTATGGAGAGACTTTTGAATAAGCAGCTTGTCGGCTGCTGCGTATATGAGACAAGTCTGATACATTGGTCTTAAGAGCGAGGGAGCCGGTATTCTTCAATTGAAAGGGCAATAAAGTCCTAACATATATGGACTTGATCGTTGAGACCTTCGCAGGACACCAACCCCAGAGAACACCGCAGATATTTCCCGGATACACAGCATGTGATGTCGCAATGATATTATTCAAAGCGTCAAGACACCGAAAAGAACACCCCGGCCACAGCTTGACCTTACACGCACAAAGTCCCACAAGCTCAAGCATGGACTGTATGGTCACATCCTGCAGGCGTTCGGGCGAACACCGAAGGCCACAGATACTGGTCGTCCAAGAATCGGCGCCTGGTGGGACCTATTTCCTGATTGCAAAAACCGCGCTCCTGCCAAGTCAAATGCGTGAGGAAATCCAATGCCATAGTCTCTAAAAACTTTTAATCGCAACTTTCAACAGCACATTAAGCTGCAAAGAAACTGGGATTACTAGCATATTGTCTTTACACATTAAACTTAAGATATGCGACATTGGAAACCCGATAGTTTTGAGATTATAAGGCGCGTTGTCAACAACCAAAGAGTAAAGGTCCGACTAGGCACCGATGTACCGATCCTTGGACGATCTGTACCAATGAGTGATGGCTCGACCCTTGCCCTTGATGTTTCTCACGTGAGTCAAGCCATTTGCTGCGATTGCAGGCGATTTGCCCGAAGCTCGCCTATAGCGGAACCGGGCAGCCTGCCGTTGAGTCCCCAACCAGTTCTCAACCCACCTCCTTGACGGAGACTCCTACGGAGACTCATAGCGAACCACGGCACCCGACGCCCTGTCGATCGCGGCAACGGCACGCTAGTTGCGCCACCCGAGCACATCGTCCCGCTATGGTGGGTCGGCCCGTTAGAGGCAGCCGGCTTATCTGCTTGTCTGCTCTCAGCTTGGCGCTCTTCTGCGGCTTCAACAGGGAACGGGATGCCACCCTTGATAAGACACGACCAATTAAGGCATGAACCAACACTGGAGCTTTCACCTTCGATGCATCTCAAGCTGACTCGGGTCCCCTAGCGCTGCCGAAGGCCCGAAAGGGGTTGGATCATACGAATAACGTGAGAAGCGCGCGATATGCCGACTGTTTTCGGCGACCGAAGTACCGATCAGGTCGGTCACCGACTGCAAACAATCAACAGACTCAACAGCAACAACACCTTGCGTTAACGAGATGGCACGGGCTCGAGTTTGGACCCGCGTCATCATGCGTCTTCCGCCTGTTCCCAGAATGACGTGAAGCCTGCCCCAGCTATGCCCTTCAGCTTGCATGTTTCTGAGCCCATTCTGAGTGTTGTGAAAGCGAGACGCGTACTTGGATTACTTTCCAAGTCAATCGAAGCTGTTCACATTGACTACCCCATCCTCAAGGTGTATTGCAGCCAAGCGGTGTGACTGATTCAGCCTTGAAAAGCCTACGACATGTCTCAGCTAGTTCGCGACAGCTACCTTGGCCAGTTCCTGCGCTACGCCTCCCATGGCAAGCTGCTGCCCTTCGAAGAGCAGAAAGACCCATCTCTGCTGAAGCGCTATTCCATCGGCGAGGGGTCTGCGCAAGATGATACATCTGAGTCGAGTGCGAATGCGGAGAACGCAGAGAAAGGACGAGATGTCCAGCTTGTGGATTGGTACGGACCGCATGATCCGGAGGTCAGCTGAGCTAGCTCTTTTCTGCCGTGGCAGCTCTGACGGGTCCTAGAATCCTAAGAATTGGTCCAGCTTTACGAAATCTCTGGTTACGTTTGAGCTGTGTCTCTTGACGTTCTCGGTTTATATTGGCTCGGCAATTTATACAGCAGGAACGGTAGACATCATGCGAACGTTCAACGTAAGCGAAGTTGTGGCCACTTTGGGACTTACCGTGTTTGTTCTCGGCTACGGATTAGGTAAGTGACCTCGCAATAATTCTAGCGGTGCTCCGTCGTCCCAGATGAGAGTGCCAGTATCCGGCAGAGCGTTTAGTTATTCCAGCTGCATCGTTTTCTGATACTGACCGAGGCGGTTAACAGGGCCGATGATCTTGGCTCCCCTGAGCGAGGTTCCAGCGATTGGCAGGAATGCTGTCTACATCCTTACCCTCGCGCTCTTTGTGTTGTTCCAGATTCCGACCGCCCTGGCAACGCACTTCGCCATGCTCGTGGTCTTCCGTTTTGTGACGGGATTCCTCGGCTCGCCCGCGCTCGCCACCGGTGGAGCTAGCATAGGAGATCTGTACTCTCCGCAGAAACGGGCGCTGGCGATAGGCATTTGGGGCATAGCATCCGTAAGTTGCTTCCAATCTTATCAGCTTTGGCCTCGCCCTTTACCGGTTTAGATCCCTTGCTAATCGGTCTCTTTGACAGGTCTGCGGTCCAGTTCTAGGCCCACTCATTGGAGGCTTTGCAGCTGAAGCGAGAGGTTGGAGATGGACGATATGGGAATTGATGTGGCTGTGTGGCTTCACTTTGGTTGTTCTGATCTTCTTCCTACCAGAAACGTCCTCGAAGAACATCCTCTACCGAAGAGCGCAACGCCTTCGGAAACTAACTGGCAACGACAAGCTCATGACTCAGGCGGAGATTGACTTCCAGCACGTTACTGCTGCAAAGGTGGCCAAAATGACGATGGTCAGACCGTTTGTCTTGATATTCCAGGAGCCGGTTGTCCTCTTGCTCAACGTCTACCTCGCGCTGGTTTATGGTCTCCTCTTCATCTGGTTCGAGTCATTTCCGCTCGTCTTCGAAGGCATCTACGGTTTCAATCTGGGACAAACCGGGCTTGCCTTTCTGGGAATCCTCGTAGGAGCCATTGTGGCGATCCCGCCTTTCCTATGGTATATCCGGGCCGTGCAAGAGAAACAGTTCAACGAGAAAGGAGAGATCAAACCTGAAAAGAGGTTGCCACCAGCAATGGTGGGAGCCTTCTTCATCCCGATCTGCCTCTTCTGGTTTGGTTGGAGCGCGTGGCCGAGTATCCACTGGATCATGCCCATTGTTGGCACAGGCTTCTTCAGTGCTGGAGCTCTTCTTCTCTTCGTACGTTCAGACAACCGGCAACCGTGGCAAAACAAAGAATGCTGATGTTTTTGTAGAACGGTGTTTTGAACTACCTGCCCGACGCATATCCGAACGACATGGCCTCGGTGATGGCAGGGAACGCGTTCGTACGATTCTGCTTCGGTGCCGGCTTTCCGCTCTTTGCTCCCGCGATGTACAAGAACTTGGGCATTGAATGGGCTAGCACGTTGTTGGCGCTGCTAGGCGTTGTGTTTATACCCATACCGTTCGCATTCTACTACGTGAGTATCCCAGAAAAGGCTCTATGAAACGTGGCTGACGATATCTCTAGTTTGGTGAAAGGCTTAGAAGAGCAAGCAAGCGGGCGCGTAAGGATTTTTGAGTTCTCACCCTAAGATCGCTTTGTATTTGTCCCATGCGGGATGTCAGTAGTCTGCTCCCTATAATGGCAGATGGCTCCTGTACACGTAGTTTAGAAGTTTGTCGGCGGGCAAAGAGCTGGTAAGGGATTCAGCTAGGAAGTCCACCGCGCCCCTCTATCGTCATATTGTAGCTAGTAGTTGATTCACTTTTCGCCATTCCTCCAATTGTTCAGAAGCCCTGCTTTTTTAGTTAGCCTATAGGTGATTAGAACAGAGGTGTAACGTTTGAACAACCCGTCGCGTTACGCATACCTGCACACAGTACGAATCTGCGCGTATCAAAAAATGTGAAGACGTTAGAAGTTTCAGAATGATATATACAACACTCCTCACGCGGTTGCTGGGTGCCTGTGCCGCCAAGCAGCACCCTTCCCCGCTGACGCAACACTCGTTCTCATCCACGAAGCAAGGAGCTTACAGCTGTCCAGACCTTCGCCATGAAGGCCATAATAGCCGTCCCAGCGACTCTCGCCCTAGTCTACCGCGCCTACACACGCAATTCGCTAACATTTCCCGGCATCCTCGTCGCCGTCGCTACCGCCGCAGCCCATGCAGTCCACCCATGGAGCGTCTTCTTCGCGCTCCTCTGCGTGTTCTTCCTCGCCGGCACAGCCGTGACAAAAGTATACCATTCAGCCTTCTGCTCTCAGTCCTAGTACCCTAGCAGATGGTTGACACTCACTAGGTCAAGCACGAAGTCAAAGCCCGCCTAACCCACTCCTCAACCGGCTCGCCCGGCGGCGAAGGTCCCCGAAACCACATCCAAGTCCTCGCGAACTCGCTCGTAGCTTCCATTCTCATACTCCTCCACGCATGGCAACTGCACCATGAGGACAGCAGCAGTGAGCAATGCTGGCCCTACGGCGGCTCTGTGCTCGTCGTGGGGATAATCGCGTAAGCCTCCGCCCAGCCCAGGCAACCATCCCCGGCGCTAGCCACACCGCAACTCCATACTGATCCTCACGGAATGGGTGAACAGCAATTACGCAGCCGTAGCAGCCGACACCTTCTCCTCCGAACTCGGCATCCTCTCCTCCTCGCGCCCTCGCCTCATCACCGCACCCTGGCGGTCCGTCCCCCCCGGCACAAACGGCGGCGTCACGCCCACAGGCCTCCTAGCCGGTGCCGCTGGCGCCCTCGTAATCGCGCTTACCGCCGCGACACTCCTCCCCTTCTGCGCGTCCACCTACTCCCGTACGAAGCTCTTCGAGGCAGGCGTCTCTGCGGACGCGGGCTGGAGCTTAGAGTCCAAGGCTGCCTTCGTGGCGGCTGTCACATCGATAGGCCTGTGTGGATCTTTGTTGGACAGTTTCTTGGGCGCGACGCTTCAGGCAAGTGTCCTGGATGTAAGGACGGGGAAGGTGGTTGAGGGGGCTGGGGGCGGGAAAGTGCCAGTGCATAGCCAGGGCTCGTTTCACATGAAGCAGCGGGCGAAGGTGCGAGGGGCTGTGTCTAGGAGATCTGAAGGGGCGGGCGCTGTTGCTAAGACGTCGGCTGTGGAGAAGGAGGATCCGGCCGTGAGGGCAAGGACGGCGGAGAGGGCAGGGGGGATTGTTGCTGGGGCTGGGGTGGACGGGGACGAGAGCCATGAGAGTAGGAGGGTGGTAGTTGGGAGGGATGTGTTGAGTAACAATGGGGTTAACTTCGCTATGGCGGGGTTGATGAGCCTGGGTGCTATGGTCGGAGCGTGTGTAGTATGGGGTGTGCCGCTCAGCAGTATACTGTCCTAGAAATAAGAGGTCATTGGATAATGCTGTCTATTCTACTGATCTAGTCCCATTTCGTCGCCTTCCAAAACCTCCTCTGCCCCACCCTCTTCTTGGACCCTCCTCTTCCTCCCCGTAACCGGATCCCACACCCAGCCTTCCTTCCCCCACCTCCACACCAGCGCCTTCCTCAAATCCTTATCGAGCGGCACAACCCTTCCTTTGTCCCCCTCAATCCTCATCCACTCCGGCTCCCACTCCTCCCTTTTTTCCCCGGCTCCCTCTCTCCCCATGCCCCTCAACCAATCCCTACAAACCAATCGATAACTATCCAGTGCATAAGCCCCCACGCCCGGCAAATGCGCCACCTCCCAGCCCTCCCTCTGATCCTCTGGGCCTATAACTTCGGCCGCCTTGATATCCGTCCCGCTGCCCTTGAGCGGGTAGTGCAGTTTCCGATACCGTCGCTCTGCGCACGGCGGCGCGGCGAGCCAGGCCTTTGCAAAGGCGAGAAGGCGCGCGGCGCGGATGTTGTGCAGGCCGAGGGGCTGCAGCATCGCGGTCAGGGAGGTTAGGTTGGCCGTGGCTAGGTCGGCTGGGGTCGGGTAAAGAGTGAGGAGGACGGAGAGCACGGGACGGGCTTGTCGGCCGGAGGTCTGGTTCCAGAGGATGCATTGGATCAGGACGGTATATACACACTGCTCGGGAGAGGTCGCGACACTGGCGAGGTAGTCTTGGATCAGGCCGTAGGATGTCTGTGACTCTGGGCGAGTGGGTGGACGGGGTGGGATGTGGGATGAGGGTTCGACTGATGCGATGGATCGATTAATCTCAGTCTTGGCCTTGGTCCTGGTCTTTGTGACTCTTATAGAGACTGTGGCAGTCTTGTTCGGGACATTTTTACGGCTCTTGCGGACTTTACGGTTAGGTATAGAGGCGGGTGGAGTGGCTACATTGCGGGCTTTGGTCTGTGATCGCGTTACGACCATGTATACAACTGAAGAGAGTCTATAAAAGAAAACAAGGTCTATGTTACAGGGCAAGAAGGAACAGCAGGAGAGGAACAAAGCTACGAGCAAGTTGGAGAGAGGAATGAAGCTCAAGCTCGTGACGTCGAACAGAACCGGGCACGCCAAGCCATCGCCGCGCGCCAAATCTCGCCGCGTCGCCGACAGCTGCCTTGGTGAGCTTGACAGCTTCAGAGCTTCAGAGCCTCTACTTCCACTTCCATCAAACCATCGCCGACAATAACACCTTCTTCATCCACATCAACCAATAACTCCGCCACTCAAGCCCCCTGTATCTCCAGACAAACCCGCAGCATCTAAAGGCTCCCCATCTAATCAGCGAAGATGGTTCGTACCACACCCTCATCCTTCCAGCAGCCTCACTTCCAAGCTCTAACTTGTGTCTTCCTTCGCAGGCCCTCCGCATCGCCCCGCCCTCCTCCAACCCCACCACCACCCCTTCCTACCACGGAGCCCCCTCCGCCCCCGGCATCCACGACACCCTGCGCTCAAACCTGTCCCTCACTACCCCCATCACCAACACATCAAGTTCCACCTCAACCCCACAACCGCTGCAATCATCCCACCCGCTCGAAGCCCGCCTCGCGAACTGGCGCGCCACACAAGACGCGCTGAAGATGGAGGGACTAAGGAGGACGTTCGGCATGGGCGAGCCGATCCGCAGAGGTATGGAGAGGAGGATTGTGGAGCGCGGCGGGTGGAGGCCTGCGCTGCTGGGGATGGGGGCCGGGGTGCATGAGGACATTTTGGGGGGAAGGGATTGTGAGATTGCGTGGGAGGACGTGTACAAGGGTGAGTTTGTCGATTTCTTAATGTGGCTGCTGATGGGATGGGAATGGGCTGGGGCGTGTTGTTCGCTATTAGGGATGGGGCTGACGATTGTCTGTTCAGGTGACGAACTCCGCGAGCTGCCAGACTTCCACACGGAGATGGAGGCGAGGCTGAGAATGAACTGGTAATTGCATCTTCGCTTGGAAAGCTGGACACAGGAGCGCGTAATTCTCCGGCGTGAAGGGGACTGCTGCATGGATATAGAAGGGCCGCGGGTTGTAACAGTAGCTACCGTTCTCGTGTACCACCAGCTTTGGGCTATCGAAGAATTGCTACAGAGAATTGACGGGGTTTTTAATCACGCTTTCCGTTTTTGTTTCCGGCGCTCATCATCCTCATCCACCTAACTTTCATCAATTTCTGGAACATTCGATTTGCTACAGCGCACTATCTACCGTCTATCTACATAAGGACGTCGTTCCAGAGACCTACCCCTAGATTGTAAAGATTGCGAACGGACTGACGACGGGCTAGGAGACCGCCCATAGCCACGCAACGCCGCCAATTCTGCAGGAGCAGGTCTAGCCGGAGCTGGAGGGTCCCTCAGAGAGCCTTCTTCAACGTCCTCCTCCATTGAAGATCGGGACATTGGAGATCTGCTCCGTGATGCTACTCTTGAAATGGGTGGAGCGGGGGCCGAAGAGGCAAAACTTACAGATTCTTCCTGCGGAGAAGCGGGACTAGGCTCCATTTCATCACCGAACATCCTACGCCATCTCACTTCCCTGTCGTAATCCTTGTCCTGCCACTCTAGCAGTCTGGCCATTGTCTCAGCTACTCTCTCTTCCCGCATCCTTTCATATACCATCTCCTTCTTAGTCCTGGGCCTAACGAAACGCCCAGAGGGAGTGAAGATGCCTTGAGTCCCTTCATCTACTCTCTCTTCTTGAGTGCTTCCAGAGATGCGCGTCAGAAGCAGCCCACGCTCGACTCGCAGGTCCTCGATTTGACCATGGAAGTCGCGGTTGATCTCGCGCGCATACTCCAACCACTGCTGCGTGTATGCAAGGGACCGCCGGAGCTGCTCAATCTCCAAGTACATCTCTCCAAGCTGTACCGCTTCTTCGCTGCCCGTGAAGGATTCCCACTTCGCCGTCGCGTCGTCGCGCTCTGCTAGAGCGTCGAGCATCTTGATCTGCGCTTCTTCGAGCTCACTCTGCGCCTCCTGGAGTTGCGCCTCTAGGTTGATGCATTTCTCGCTGAGCGCTCGGACGTCTTCCGAGCCTCCCGCGGGGTTGGCACTGGGTTGCGCACGGAGACTCTCACAGCGGCGGAGATCCTGCTCTAGTAGCGTGAAGTCTCTCTTCAGCTCCGCGGCGGCCTCGTTCTCGCGAGCGAGGCTATCGTGCTTCTCCTTGAGCCGCTGAACTTGCTGCAGAAGCGCCCCTTCCCGAATTTCGAATGCGGCGGTTCGCTTCGTTTGTTCTTTCTTGGCATACTCGACCTCGGCCTGCTTGAATTCCAGGAGCTTCTTATGCTCAACGTCGCTATTGGTCAGTTCTTCCACGGTCTCTCGGATCTTCTTCACTTCGTGTTCGAGCTCTGCTATCCGGTTTTGGCTGATCTCACGCTGCGCTTCCAGATCACTTACCTGCTCCTGTGGGCTCTTACCTCCTGCAGTGAACAAAGCTTCTAGTTCGGGGGCGGTCGAGATATTTCCATCCCTCAGCTCTTCGGCCAGCTCATGGATCTCGAAGTTGACACCTGTGACCAAAAGGCTCTGGCAGAAGTCGGAGAGAGTACAGCTGGAGGCTAGGGAGTCTTTGACTTCAGATTTTGTCGGCATTCTCCCCTCAGGATCGTTCACCATGTGGTTTAAGTCGAACCACAATAAGATGCTTGACGCCAGGCGGTCTATCCGCTCGGCAAGTTCGGTTTTGGGTGGATTTTCGGCGGTCCTTAACTTTTCCTCAAGGTCCTTGATCCGTCTCTTCAACTCAGCAATGCGCTCATTCGCTTCCTTGTGAGCTTCGGTCTTCCCATTGAGCTCCTGTACCGTATCCGCCAGAGCTTTGCGACAATTATGAAGTTCCCATTCCAGCTTCATCCGCCACTTTCGTTCTTTGCGACACTTATGGAGCTCCCATTCCAGCTTCCTCTCCAGCTCCATCCGCCACTCTCGTTCTACGGGAAGCCGCACCGCGGGATCAGCCCACTTTCGCAGACTTGAGTGCTCAGGAAGCTGTCCAGCATCTCGGAACTTCTCAAAGGCACGTATCTTTTCGCGTTCTAGAGAGTTGATCTCGTCCTGCGGTGATCTGGGGGTCTTGCTAGGTGTCAGCCTTTCGTGTCTATCTGGCCACAGCTCCTGCCACTCAGGCACAGTGTCAACCGTCACGGCCGCTGAGGGAACCATTGTTACACCGATATCCTGCGGACTCGAGTTGTTTCCGTGTCCCGGGGGGCTTATCTCGAATCTCGACTCGCTCGGTAGGCCTCCATGCCATGTGACCGGGCGATGCCGCCCCGATGCAGGCCGTACAGGGCGTGGACCCTTGATTTCTGCGCCATTGTCCTTACTCGCAGATGCGCCGAAGCCGTCAAAGTCCTTGAGCAGGCTCTGATCAAGCGGCGGTCCTCTCTCGGGCACAGCAGGTGCGCTGCCTCGTCTCATCGTCTTAGCCGCCTTCAACTGAGCCACAGCCGCAGCCTTAGCCGCAGCCTCGGCCTCGGCCTCAGCTTTCAAATCCTCCGGTCCTTTAATTACATCAAGCCGGCTTCGCGGTCGGCTCGGCCCCGCGAGAGATTCTCGGCGTTCTATATGTGTTATGAGGTCTCGCCCCGCCTTGTCCGGTTTCGGATCCAGACGCTGGATCATACGCAGCATAGGCCACGGACGCTCGTTTTTGTCTCTGGTGTCTCCTCGTTCATATGATTCTCCGGCGCGGATGGAGCCGACCCAGTAGGCGGCTGGGAAGTCGCAGAACCAGTCATGGTTGTCCTTAGTATAAGAAAGCCCTTTATTCTTGAGGCTTTTCACTTCCTCGTTGGGATTGAAAGAGGGTGGAGAGGCGGCTCTGGGGTGTGTGGCGGCTTTGGAGCCGGACTTCGCTTTTTTTAACCTGGGCTCGGTGTCGGAGTCGGAGTCGGAGTCATCAGGAGAGGACTCTGAGGATGATGAACTTCGTTGTTTGCCTGTTGCTGCATCGAATGCTTTGGGAGCGGGCAGAACGGCCGCGCTATCAGAAATGGAACCCTCAGGATCTATTTCTTCTTTTGCAGAGTCGGTTTTGGTCTCAGACCCAGACTCAGAAATACTAGATGAGGTATCTGATCGCATTGACAATGCGGGTTCATCTACAAATCCATCGGGCGGGGCGGAAGTGGGTAGGGTGGCCGCATCATCGGACACGGTATCTTTGTTCACCACCTTGTCCTCGCTGAGTTTGACCCCGGAGAGAAGCTCGGAGTCGGAGTTATCGAAATGGAAGTCTGGCACCGTTAGCGTCGCAGTGTTACACACAGCTTCATCGGACAGGGCAGGAACAGGCAAGGCAACCACGTCTCTGGGCGTGGTATCTTCAGAATCCGCCTCATCATTGTCGGAGTCAGTCTTGGAGTTCGAATCTGAGTTTGAACATCCTGAGTCTGGGAGTCCCTCTAGGGGTTTCACTGTTGAACTGTTAGATTCTGCTTTATCGATGCTTGCGCCGTCGCTGCTGGAGCCCTCAGAAGTGGAGTCTGACCGGCCTGAGTCTGCCGATCCAGTTTCATCTGAAGCTGCTGCTTCAACTCCTGTGCATTCTGTTGGTGATGCGGATGGTCCTGTGATAGGGAGAGCAGCTGATTCATCACCAAGGTTGGATACAACGTTGTCCGCTGAACGAGGGCCTTCCTGTTGTGTGTCAGCGATGGATATGCTGGCGTGGTCGCTGCTGTATTCGCAGCTGTGTACATGGAGCAGCTGGTGATTTGTAGGATCCAGATTCGACGCTCTCGGAGTAAGCTCTTCATCTTCTGGTGCCGTTCCGATCACCTTAGGAATCAAGACCTCTTGTCCTTCCTGCGTAAGGCTAACGTCAAGGCCGACAGACTCGTCTCTGCCTCCAGCACCAGCCGTGTCGTAGGCCTTCGTATCTTCGTAAGGGCTGGCAACGTCGTCCGACATCGTTTGAATTACGCTGCCGCTGTTGATAGCCTCTTCTGTTTTATCGGTGTCGGTTTCACTTAGTGTTTGTGTTGTCATCGGGTATAGCCGTTACGTACGGCCTGCGATTTGTTAGTGTACGGCAAATAGACAGAGTATTACCGGTTTTGTCTGAGTTCCTGCCTCAGATGTGTATACAATGCTCTGCAAGCGATTGATATTGGCGGTGCCAAAACGCAAATAGTGCGAAAAGCTGGGGATGTGAGGAACGAGGAAGGAAGGTTCGCAATCTCTTTCAATCTCGATAGACAATGTGGTCTCTTCGATAAAGCCTTTGACCCCTACACAAAGCGGCCTTGGCTGAGTCCTGAGGACACGCATACTTGATCCATTGATTCGAGGAAAGCCATGCGGTGGACAAAGAAACACTCAGTCGGAGGTCAGCACCTGCATCCATTGTGATGATCAAACCACGGGCTACGACCGACCACGAGAACAAGGTAATCGGCCTGGAGGTGTTTAATGACGCGTACATGTTCGGCCAGCACTCATATATCGCTGGATATCACGAGCCTCTCTATTTCTGGTTGACGCCGTTGAACGGTAGACTCTCAATTCAACCCGCGTACATTAATGTTCGTTGAAGCCGCTGTTGGGGTCTCGGATCCAGGTAATGAGAGCATACAAGACGGAAGTAACCTAGAACAAACTCCTTGATTAATGTCGGCGCTTCGAGCTAGTGACATAGCAATCCTCACTGTCTGTAAAGGAAGGCAGTTTCTCAATCCGTCGCTCGAGGAACGTGTTATCGCCGCCTGCGTGTGGAAGTTCATATTCACCACAGCCTCAGCATGCCAACAAAGAAGACAAGGCCCTGCTGGTTTTCATTAGTATCGCAGTGTAACAGCACTCATCATTCCCGACAAGCATCAGCGATGACCACCGTCGCAGCACGTTGATGATGACCTCAACCGATAGCGCGGTGAAGTTCTCAAACTTTGGGAAAGACCAGTACGAAGGTAGTGGCGAGATTGCTTGCAGCTTACGCGAGTGGATGTGTGCCGTAGATTCCCGTTTTACGTCGTTCTGTCCGTATGGCGAAGCTACGCATATGTTAAATAGCCCAAACCCCGCTCTGTCGGTACCCTGCACGAGCGCCAAGCTGAAAAGTCCTTTTTACCCTACCTCATAGCTAAAGAAGAGCCGTTTCCCAAGGTCCACGTCCCAACAAGTGCCAGAAAGAATCGATCCGCCCTCCACCAGCTGCTGACAGATTCATCGTCGGTCGCTGGCTACGGCCTATGCGACTCCAAAGTCTAGTTCGTGTTTCGAGGCTTTGTAGGCCCGCATGACCGCTGGTCGAGCCGATATAAAAGGTTGTCGCTGAAGATCCTGCTGTGTTTGTCCACGTTCTGGAACTCTCCCCTTAGATGGACATACTCAAGAGAGACACGCTTCCACTCCTTTGTCTGGTCGGGGTTGGCGATGGGCTTCCTCTTCCAGTTTGTCCATCCAGCCAAGTACACGAGCAAGCTGCCGGGTTGCCGAACATTGTTTCCTCGTGTCGCGAAGACGAGCCGCTCTTGTTCCTCGGAGAGTTCCTCGGTGAGGCCTTCTTGACATTGCTGAAGTGCATTACAATGACGTAGCCTGTATTGAGACTGACCGCTGCGGTGTTACTGCTGCGCGACCATCTTATCGTTGTCAAGCTTATGTGCTTTTGCAGATGGCCCGCTCAAGGTCTGGAATGCTGACCCAGGATAGCATCGTATTCTCTCCCGACGATCTCCTCGCGTAACAGAGGGATGCTGCAGGTGGTCCCATGCGTGCGATGGCCTTTCCGGATTTTGCTGAACCAGGCACGGAATATCTTTTGTGCATAGACGAGATCACTATCAGGCCCACACAGATGTGGCGTGGCCTGGCGCAACATCTCTTTCATCATCTACCATAATCAACTGTACAACTGATTATTGGTGTGCCACTGATCTACTCATTTCGAGTTTGAAAGGTTGCACTGTAGCGACCAGCGTGCGTCGTTCGCAGCGTTGTGGGCGCCTTTGGGTTCCGTCTTGCCGCCTGTCAACACAGAGTTCGGATTCCGTAGTTTCGTTGCTCGCGATCTGAATTGGGTTGTCGGAGCCCCCTCCTTCTAGCTCCGCTGAGGCGGATCGACCCTCTGGTCGATATGTCTGCTCCACTCTTACACATTGGGCTCCGCGAGTCTAAATTTCAACACAGTTTCGAGAGGCCGATCTTGAGGGGCTTGTCATCCTTGTACTTGATGTGAGTATGTTGGGGGTCACGAGCGGTGAGCTGGTTGTCGAACTTGTAGACGACTACTCCGCTCTTGTCAAGATTGTAGCGAAATTCCCGTAAGATCTTGGCCCCACTTTCTGGTTCGCCTATAGGGTTGTGAGGAAAGATAGTGGTCCGGTCAGACACAGCCTTCCGTTTCCTCGATGAGTTCAGAACTCGTGTTTGTGGTGGTCCCCGATTACCTTAGCACTAATGCGGGCCTCCGGAGAGTGACCAGCTGGTCATATTTTGCCTTGGGGCGGGAGTAATGAAGGACGCTCATACCTGTAAAGCGACACCTGGTTCTGCGTGTTACAACACGAGCGCAAAGTCCCATCCGCATGGGTTAAACAGGCACCGCACAGCCCCATCTGCACCATGTCCCAAGCAAGAGCGCTCTGGCACCATTGGTACACCGCTTGTGGCTCTCAATTTCCTCGCGTGTGGCGAAGCACCTATGCTCATGCCTGCTGATGAAAGCGGAGACGCGCAGCATATTGGCAAGACGAGCAGAGTTTATGCTATATGGTTTATCCGGAGAAGTTATGTGCTTGAGTACCGCCTGGGAAACGAGGCATGTACTCATCGTTGATGAGCCCTGAACCGCAGCAATCCGGTCGTTGGTCAGGAAGTCCGGGTGTACGAGCTTGATGCTGACCTTTTCAAATTCGTTAGAGTTGAACATCAGCTTGTGAGGGGAATCGGCGATCACGACAAGGTCGTGCGACCCAGAGACACTCGATACGAAGCCGTCGCACCTGATTAGCGTTCCGTCTGAAGTCCTCCTCGTGAGTTTCATCCTGGTGCCAGCAGGAGGCAAGGCAATGGCTGACCCGTGGTGATGATCCCGGGAATACGCGAGCTTCACCACCATGATGCAAGTAAAGCAACATGGACGTCGGCTATGTGCGGTCATCTCAAGGTCTAAAAAGGCACCTTTGCCTTGGTTCTTGAGCCACTACCTAATGCGTTCAAGTACGAGGCATTCAACGTCGTCGACGATATCATGGAACTTATTACACCATTGGCGCATTATTTCGACGCAGGATGTAAACACTTGCCAAACGGTTTTCCAGCTCGAAGCATCTGGCAAGTGGTATCTTACAAACGGCCACGGCGTGTTATCTTGAGGACGATATATGCAGCTGGTTGCTGATCCGTAGCAATCAGAGGAAGCGGGCCAGGTCAGTCGTGATGGTGTGAGCTCTACTATCTCTCTTCTTGATTGGATAGGCTGTTCTTGAGAACATGAGAGTTGGGCTGGCCATTCTTGACGTGGCGCATCTCGTTTGCCGGTCGTATGCTCAAGAATTACGGTATTCGCGATGGTTCCACCATAGGGAGATGAGACCGTGTATGTAGCAAACGTGTTCTTGGAAGCGGAAAATGCTTTGACATGATAGCGAAGTCTTGTGGCTTCTTGTCCGGTATGTTCGACTGATGTTGGGATAAGTGATTGTTGACTGTTATTGCACTGCTCTAGCCGCCCTGATACTACTGCCTATGGTATGCCGACAAAGCTAGGCTTTCATCCATAGATGTTACGGTTACCCAGCGCTTGAGAGCGAAAAGTCCGTTGGGATAGTGTAGCGGACGAACTGAAGTCTTATCGCGCAGTCGAAATCAAGGGGTTCGATAGGCATAGTCGCGGTTGCTGGTGGGAGTGTGGGATCGGACGAGTGTATAAGCACGCATTAGACACTGTAGAGCCCTTCAAGCTCGGCCGGGTCCGAGTACTCGAACGCTGACGATATATCCTCTTCCGTTAAACCATCACGTCTTATCTGGAATATGAGGTCTTCCACATCAAATCTGGCCGAGATATTGTTGATCGACTGCTGCATTCGACTCGTGCGGTGGTCGTCTGGTAACGTGTCGTCGCTCATAGCATGGTCCGACATGGTCGTAAATCCGAAGTTGTGCAGGGATTGGAGCTCAATATATAGCAGATGGATGCGCGGGTTTACTGACGCGCTTAACTGTTCAACAGAGCTCAATCGCCTGGGGTGGCGTACCGACCGTGAATGATAATCGGTTCACAGTACCTCGGCACTTGTAGGGGCAGCTAAGAGTAAGTTGACTGTTGCGATTACACAATACTGGAAAACCACATCAAAGTCGAATATTTGTTTTAATACTCCTGGAGATTGTAGGCTGCACTGGCTGATATCCTGACAATGTGTGAGACTGGATTGCCTAGCGTCTTCGGATCGTGATTGGTGTTGAACACAGCGGACACGATGAAGAGCGCGCCGGCGGCAAGGAAAATGATGGCACGGCGCATTGTGTCTGGGATGTTCTTAGCGCGCTGAGAGCTGTAACATCTGTAGTCAGGTCGTCTACTCCGCGTATCGAAAGGGCAACGAGTGTTTATGAAGTGGGTGTTGTCATAATAGTTGTAGAGCTTCTGTTGCCTTCGGCCGCTTCCTGTATAGTCTGGCTAACATTGCTGAGTAAGGTCGGTGAGTTTTACGTGCAATGACGGTCCAGCACAGTGTATTGGCAAAGGACAGCTGCACGCTTCGGGTCTCCACGTGTCGATTCGGTTTGTGTAACAAATGTTGATATCATGCGTAGGAGATTCGTTGACAGCGGGATGTGTTGCTTCGAACCATGCGTTGAGTAGTTGACTATGACTTGTTCGCAGGATCGATCGTGTGTTGGTGGTACAGAGTTGCTCGACATGTGGTGTGAGGTTTGGGACATGCGGCGTAGAGCGGAGTGATGTACTGACGCAAAATTGCCCAGATACTATGTTATGATACTGTGGAACGTTGCTTGTCCGACTTCCAGCTAGTGGGTTATTGTCAGTATTTTGTTGTTCTCTTTTGTGTGCGAGGTGTGGTCTAAAGACGGTGGGTTGTTATCAGAGACGACCGTTAGCTTGGTTGGGAAGGCAGGGAAGGACCTTTGATGAGGAGAATTCACTTCAAGGTCTAACGCTGTTACAGTCAGCTGATCGCACAACATCCGGCCGATGTTAGCCGATTAGACACCAGATGGGCGATAGCGGGTAGGTGATAAATAGAGGCCGATATTAATACGGCGTTGAACTGACCGAATTCTAGTTCGTGATCTACTTGTTCTGGTTAAAGTTCATGCTGTACCCACCAGTCTTCTCATCTTTAACCATGTTAAAGTTGTCGGTAGACAAACCGAATGGCTTGAGTATTCCGTTACCCAGCTGTTTCAACTTGTCCATCATCTCGCCCATTTCCTTCTGCTTGGCTTCTGCTAACCGTGGCGGCAGCGTTCGTAGTGCTGAGTCGACGCTTTTCCTGTCCAGTGGCGAGAGGTTCGGCATCGAGGCGAGTTGTTTGTAGTCTGCACAGCGTCAACGCGGATCGCAAGGGTGGCCATATCCTGATACCCACCTTCATCTGCGCCTTGCAGAGCAGCCCATCCACCCGTCTCCAATCGTGCCTTTGCTCTCCGCAACAGCGCCTTAGTCCTGATCCTCTGTACATCGTCCCTCGTCCTGCCGCTCTTTGCCAACGCCTCGATCTTGTCTGCCGTTTCCTCATCCACTTCCTCCACTGCACCCTCACCCTCCTTCCCTCCCGGCTTCTTCGCAGGCGGGTCCAGCCTATCCAACGCCTCAAGAGCTTCTGTAGCCGCCGCTATTGCCGCCTTCCAGTCTGCCAGCTTAAGGTGACAAGCCGCAATGTTGCTCCGTAGGACAGCGACCTCGTACTCTAGATAGTTCGGACATGCTGACAGTGCACCTTCGTAGCCCTGGATGGCTTCTGAGTAGGCTCCGCTCGTGAAGCGCGTGTTGGCACTTGCTTTCTGGTTATTGGACTCAGAGACTAACGAGGCTTCCTCTTCGGGGGAGAAGCGGAGTGGTTCGAGGCGTTCGTCATCTTCGGGCTTGACGGTATTCCGCATCCTTTCTGGCTCGGGTTCTGAGGGCATCGTGGCTGCAGAGAGTGGGAGAATACTGTTGTTCGAAGGAAGTTTGGCGTTTATTTGGCCCTGCAGCTGTCCGCCCATGTGACGATCCGGCGTGCCCATGTCGGAAGGCGCCCAGCTTCCCCAAGATCTGACGCGGGAAGATCCGGTGCGAGCCGAAGCTTGGGTGCAACATCGCCTGCCATTTCCTATCGTGAGGGACATACACTTGCTATTCCGATCCCAGGCTGCCTGCTCCTGATTTCTCTTTAGAGACAGCATCAACATGGCAGCAAGCAATCCGGAGTACGTGCAATCTACCACCATGCATGTTGTCGTCACAGCAAGCTGATGGCCTCCTTCAAGCCTGCCAGCAATCCGGGCCTGTCTCTTTGACATGGACGGATTGTTGATTGATTCAGAGGAGTACTACACAATCTGTACCAATGAAGTACTCCGCGAGTTCGGCAAGCCTGATCTACCATGGAGCATCAAAGCGCAATTGCAAGGACGGCCAGGACCCGAGGTCAGCCCCTCGTATTCTCCCGCACCGGCTCTCTATGATTCTAACAGACACCCAGGCGCAGCGCATCTTCCACAACTGGGCCCAACTCCCCATAACCCATGACGAATTCATGGCCAAGCAAACCCAGCTCCAGCGCCAACACTTCCCCCGCACGCAACCCCTCCCCGGCGTCCGCATTCTCCTCTCAACCCTCCAATCCAGCACCTCCCCCAAGGTCCACCTCGCCCTAGCAACATCCTCCCACGCCGGGAACTTCGGCCTCAAGACCGGCCACCTCGAAGACCTCTTCTCCGCCTTCCCGCAAGAAAACCGTGTCCTAGGCGACGACAAGCGGATCAAGCCCGGCCGGGGGAAGCCTGCGCCTGACATCTACCTCCTCGCACTCGAGACCATCAATGCGCGGTTGCGGCAAAGTGGCGAGCGCGAGATCGAGCCAGCTGAGTGTCTCGTGTTCGAAGACTCAGTGCCGGGCGTCGAGGCCGGGCGGAGAGCTGGCATGCAGGTGGTGTGGTGTCCGCACCCAGGGCTGCTGGAGGAGTACAGGGGGCGCGAGAAGGAGGTGTTAGCGGGGTTGATGGGGGAGCATACGGAGGATGATGAGTTTGCGGATGAGGCCAAGGCGGAGGCGGCAAGAATTGTGGGACAGGCGGAGGGGGAGACGGGGAAGCAGTTTGGGAAAACGGTTAATGGAACACCGGGTCAGGTGGATGATGGTTGGGCGAGGCTGTATGAGACGCTGGAAGATTTTCCGTATGAGAGTTATGGAATTAAGATAATGGCAAATCTATAGAATTATGAAGCATTAATGCGGTGCATTCTTGCAATGAGAACAATGTTCAACGAGCCTTGCGTAGTCAGTGAAAATTCTCAGTGATTTGGCAATATAGTGTAGTTGTTGTGCGTATGTGAGCGCGCCATGAGACCTGGGCAGCCACGCGAGCCGGCTATCAAGTCAATTTGCGCGCTGAGTCGCTCTTGGAACGGATAGAGGGCTCGCGGAGAAGTGAGATAGCTTCAAGCGAGCGTGACAAAGGAAGTTCCGTCAATGCATGGAGGGCCGTGCGAGTCACGTGAGTTACAGTTGTTGTCAAGAGCATCGAACGTCAAATGTTGAACGTATTGCTCAACGGTTAGCTCATCTTCTGAGCTACTAGCTCTATGAAGCTAAGTAGAACTCGTTCAAGTAGCAAAATGCAATGTCGACAAAGCAGGTAATAATTTTGCCTCTTGCACTTGTCTAATGCTCAGGACTGTTAGCGGAAAAGCCTCGATCCAAGAGTATCCGAGCCCAGAAGGGCGTCCTCCGCTTGGGCGCAAGTATCCTGTTGTGAGAAAACTGGCCCTCATCAGAACTAGACTCATGGCACTCTACATTCGTGGAGATGTACCTAAGTAGCGTTGTGTAGACCATGCTACCTGATCTTGTGAGGTCGATAATACCCTGTTGCAAGGGTGCCGTATTGGAGGTCTGACTTGCCATCCTAATTCCCGGCTGGGAATATCCGAGTGAGAACCATTTTCAAGCAGCCAGTATGACTTACTATCACAAGACGTCTGACGAGCGATGCTTTTCACGAGAAAAAGAACGCGTTACCCTCCGTATCTTTTCGAATGCCCGTGGTGTAATCTTTGGTAGGATCAAACTCTTCCCAGATACTGGCGGGAAAGATGTGCTTGTTTTGTTCATACCATCGCCGATCTACGACCTTGGTTATGGCGGCATCTTCATTGAAACCTTCAAGCTCTGCATCGGTTGCTGACGGGGTATCCGTCTTCTCCGGTCTAGCTAACGGATCGTATGTTGACGTATCTGCAGGAGTTGTCGCGGTCGAAAGCGGTGTGGCTGCGGTAGGTTGGGTGGAATAGCTGAATATTGGTCCGTTGAAGCCGGCGGTCTTGTTTACGATAAAATAGTAAAATTCGTAATGCTACGCGCAAGTTAGCATTGTGGTAGGAGCAATTGTTACTTAGCGTGCACTTACGTGTGGTATAATGATTTCACCTCTAACGAGCATCAGGTCATCAACACCAATTCTTGCCCATTCTCTTTGACTCTTCTCACCACCTCCGACCCCTGTCTGTGCGCCCACCTTCCTCGCTTTGTCAAGGTATTGCCAGACGTGGTCGCCCTTTTTGACTTTGCACACGCCTCCAGGTACGTTTGTGCCGTCATAAAAGACGAATGGTATCGCGATTTCAGTCGCTTTGACCGCCTCCTGCATCACAAGAAACTCCTTCCGCAGCTGTTCCCTTGTCTGTGCTTCACGCAGCAGTGCTGATTTGGTCATGACTTTGGGCATGAAGCTGACGCTGGTGTTGGGGCCCATGCGCTTCCTAGGCGTTCCGGCGTCTCCTGTCGTAGTATACTGGCCACTACTCGAGGGTCGGTCGTCCGGAGTAACAGAGCGCGGCGTTGCAGTCGCTGATGTGTCTTGTCCCCCATCCTCGTCATCCTCTAGTCCGAAGGACAGCTTGCCCTTGGCAACGTTCTTCCGCTTCTTTTTGGCTGGTTGGGGCGTCGATGCACTGTACTTTGACCGTTAGTTCCGCACGGCGGTAGTAGCAACCTGGGGTAGCTACTTACCCGTTGACTGGGGTGGAGGCCCCAGAACCCCCAGGTGTGCCAGCTCTTCCTAATGATCTCTCTTGCGCTTCCCGTTCTTTCTGCTCGAGAGCTTCGGCGCGACGCTTACGGAAGTCGGAGAGCTGGACTAGGCCCACGGTCTGTGACTTGAGCAGGTCTTCGGCGGTCGCGTTCTGGGATGTGAAGCGCGCGTTCGTTGCCGGGTTCGGTGTCGAGCTGCGCGACGCAGGTTCAGAGGGAGGATTTGACATGATCAACCATGGAATACGCGCAGCTGCTGCTGTTGTCTTCGACATCAACAAATTGATGATTGGGCTTGGAAGATGGGTTTCGGTGATGATCATGTGATTGGCTATGACTAAGCGGCTGATTACATGATCGCACGGCCCGCGAGGCTGGAATTCAAGATGCTCACCCCTTTATTCCTTGATTTTAATTCATCTGCGGGAAACTTGATCCCTCTGAAGGTCTTGCCATGCTGAAACTGCAGAGGAAGGTGCTACTGGAGTTTCGTGTATTCAAACAGAATGAAGCAGCGAAGCAAACAGACCATAGTCTCAGCATCGAAACTCAATCGAAGAAGACTGTGCTCGCCCGTGATGGGAGGTAATATGCAGGTGGCGACGGTCAATTCAATCAACGTATGCATAGGTTCGGAACTGTCTACTTCCTTCTCGCCCAATGAACAGGATAGCTACATTACTTTCAGCAGTCATTGGGTGTCGACTGTGAACGCTGCAGGTGCAGGTGGCATCCAGTTGCCGGGACCACTCCTAATTGGAAGCCTTACTGTTCAGGCTCGAGCGTGAGCTGGCTGGGTAGCGACGCAGCATTATGTCCTCTCTAGAGACTTAATATAGACGCTGAGGACAAGTTACTCGAAGTTCACTCGATTACTAGAAAGATCGAGATGGAGATGGGTTGCGGTATGGATCTCACACTTACCGACTTGAGGTCGTTGCCTGGCCTTCAAACAACTTTATTCCAACGACACGTCTTCCTACAGCTTCACTTAATACGCCGCATCTTCTTACCGATAACAGTCATTTCAGATGGACTTCACACTACGATGTAACTACTTGAAGTGTCGCAGTCCCCTCAACGACTGTGCCGTTGTCACGACCTGCAGGTCAGTAACGGCAAGGTCCTGATTTCTGTATAGCGGCAGCTCACCTGCATAACCAGTCACATCTTCTGCATCAACTGCTCCGACAGCCTCGGACTATCGAACGCAAACGGCGGCATCCGCTCTTGCCCGGCGTGCGAGACTCAACTGGCCAACCCGGACGATGTCGTCGTAGCGCATCTCAACCCGACGGAGGACTATAAGACCAGTGTGCTCAGCGGCCTCAGCCCAGGGATCATCATGGAGTGCGCTGGGCGAGGGCTAGCCTTCTACAGCTACCAGTGCACGCAGGAGATGTAAGCTGACGCTAGCAAATGCGGCTGCGGTGCTGACGACGCACAGCGTGTACCAAGAATATCTTGCAAAGAGCCTGACGGACAAGTACACCTCGCTCAGCGCGCATATGAATAAGATTATTCACGACGCGAACTCCGAGATAACGGGTCTCCGGGACAAGTTGGCAGCGGTGCAGGTCGATCAGAAGAACCTCGAGCAGCGGCACAACGACTTGACTGACGCATTCCGGGAGAAGACCAAGGCTTTCCAGCAGATAGACAAAGCCTACCGATCACTCAAGGCTCAGGTCATGTCTGCACAAGTCGCTACAGCGGCTTCAGACGACGCCGAGATCGCGTTGCAAAGTGTTACAAGCAATCGCTTCGTGGACCGTCTCGGTACTCGTAATAGCGGTCAGGCCGATGGTCATCGATACCCGGTCGACCAACGAGGCATCGAACAAATACACAGCCGTCAGAGAAGCGGTGGATCAGGCGAAGGCCGCGGAAGAGCCGATGTACCTCACAGCGTCGGGTCCGTGGGAGGTATCAATGGTTGGAATCAGCCTGCACAGGCCAGTCGCGGGTTTTCTTCCCGTACGTTGATCAAGCATCGACTGATGAAGCTGTGTTAACCGACAAATAGAAAGCGCACCTATGGAGGCAACTCCTTCGCAACACCGGACACGCCTCCCAGTTCCGATGCAGAATGGTCGTACTTCAGGCATTCTTGATGCGGATGGCATGGCCGGCGTTCAACGCACACCTTCTACTCGGCAGCCACTCAATGATCTCAGCACCAACACCTTCGGCTTCTTGGGTACCGGCGGCTACGGAATGAGTGCCGGCTTGAAGATGGGAAAGCACTCTGAAGGACTTCATGCTCGGCCGGCTCCTCGAGGTACAAGGCCACCTGGCGCGCCGAACGTGGTGATGCGTTAGGCATTATTGGTACTCCAAGTAGGAATGAATGTGGTTGCGTACCTGCAACCGCCGAGGTGAGCTATACCCTGAAGTTAAGCGCTGGCTGGTGCTCGAAGCGCTATACTGCTGCCGGTTGGGCCTTGGTTGTTTCGGCATGGCCAGAGCTTCTACACGCTACTATAGTTACTCTACCAGTTAACAGCTCCTATATCCGAATGTAAAATACGTAAGAAACTGGCCTGCAACAGTGAAAGTACGATCTCAAGCGGATAAGATGCTGATGACCTTCGGCAGTCCTGTTTCCCCCGCGCCCCGGTTAGTTCGCCATAGATCCCAAAAACTCAACTTCGGAGTCCTTCTTCGGTCGTGTGAGTATTCTGGTGCTGAGTTTCGCGATATTGCTGCGGTATCTTGAATCCGACACAGCTCGCTTCCTAGGCCTTGCTGGTTCGTCCGGCCTGCGTTCACACTTCCGATGGGCTTGAACCACTAGCCGTCCGTTAATGCACGTTCAACTTTTTGTGGGACATGGTCACAGCAACTCCGCGTCGTTTCAGCTCCGCAAGCCATGACCTTGCGACAACAAGACAATCGGAAAATGCGGTAAGTTCGTTATCATTATCGTAATTGATTGCCAAAGATGGAAAAAGAAGAGGTATTCAACATCGAACCTGCACAGGCGAACCCATTACCACTTACTCACGCCCCGCGCTTCACTCGTACCCCAGGAACTTTTACTGAAGGATTCTGCCGTTTCGACGAGACCGCCGGCAGTCAATTTAGCAGCTCTGAAGTGAAACATTTCTCGAGAACCCGAACTTTCAATGAGGCTTTGAACTCCCTTCCACCATGTCACTGGACAGTTGCAATAGTAACGCCATTTGAAGCCGTTGTGCGCGAGTCTTTGGAGTCTTAGCAACTCTGAATGCACACTTGGTGCAGGTCGAGAGTCAGCTCTATCGTCGTTTTCGTGGAGGAAGACCCAGTTCCGGATGGCTTTTACGCTGGTGTTCAAGCAGAGTATCAGATCGTCTGTACGCTTTCCTGCATAACGGTATTCCACAAATCCATGGAAAACCCTCATGCCCGTCCAGATGTTTCTTCAGGTTTCCTTTCCAAAAATCGCCTGTAAACGGCGTGCCGCACAGATGACACGTTCGGCAAGCCTGATCCGGCGGCGAACTTGCGGGCACCGTCGAAGGAGTTACTATCCCAGGCTCAACATGGTATATTCCATCAACAGACGCAGAACCAGGTGTGGACAGTACGGACAACGGGTAATCACCGCATGAATCAACTCGTCTGTTGTTGGGTTAGTACGCAAGTCAGATCGATAGGCTGCAGGGACTTACTGCCGCTTTGCCGAGGACGACATGTTCACAGCGGATGCGCCACTGAAGGTTGATGTCTGGCTCAGACCACCTGAGGACGCTGTATACAGTAACGGAGCTTTCGGGCCTCCCAATGTGATCGACTGACGAGATGGTCCCACCAGGTCTTGTTGGCGTCCGAACCCGGACGCTGCGTAGGATTCCGAATAGAACGAGTCATCGCGTGATGAATTATCGTAGAGCGGTTCGTCCTGGAATCCATTTGGCGATGCCGACGTGGAGTGGAAGCAGCGCTTGAATGATGCTGAAGACCGTGTTTCCTGTGATCCCTCACTGGGATTGAAGACGCTCGTTGAGCACTCGAGCGATACTGCCGGGTTTCCTGGCTTGACTTGTGGGGCATCTTTTTTCTTGCTCTGAACCCTAAGCTTGTCTATGATTTGCTTGATGCCCATCGAGCAGCGTTCGCAACTCAACTGGTTAAGCATTTGATCGTTCATGACGGTGTTCTCGCTTGCTGCCCGACACAGTTCTATTGCGGCGGTACAGACGCAAAGACAGTCTTGCAAAGAAGCACCGGCACTCTGGACAAAATTCTATGATTGATCAGCTTCGGGTGTTTTCAACAACGCAATCAGAGCGGCTCACCATCGCTTTCTGCAGCAAGTACCATTCCAACGCATCGATGGCGGATATCTTCCCGCTCTCAACTCGTAGTACGGCAGCGTCGACGACAAGCCGGAAATTGTTAGATCCGCAGAATGCCCGAAGTGGCTCAAGGATCATGGCTTTCAAGAAGAGTTTAGCAGTTGTGGATGGGTCCCCTGATGAGACACCCTGAACCGTAGAAGCGGAACCGGCTTGAATGACTGGGATTGGGCGCATGCCAAGACGGCAGAAGACTGATGAGAGGTCAGTGAACAGCTCAGCCTCAGTCGTGGTGCGCTGCATGGTATACTCACCCAGCATGAACTGCAGACCAATTGCAAGAAACGAACCCTCCCGTAAAGCCGGCGCAGATTGGTTCCGGTACCGCATCACAAACGCGATGGACGGTTGATAAAGCTTACCAAGATGGCAGAATGGGCCTTGAGCTGGAACGGAGCACACATCTTTCGACGATGGACGACAATCAAGCAACGGATCCTCTACTGGCACTGGCGCGAAAGCTGTGGGTAACTGGTCCGTGCTAGCCGTCGTGAACAAGGTTGGGTTCTCTGCCTTCCTGGTGAAAGTAGGGATCCACGTCTGCTCGACAGCAGTACGGAGGCCCACAGCTGGAGGGTCTGAGCCGAGAGATTGTGTCCAACGACGAGCCTCCGAGACAAAGACATCGGTGTGTTCCGCGAGGGCAGGGCCATTGTAGACAATACCGAGCGCGAACGCCAAGAACAAGAAATTGGAGACATCGTCCTGCTTTAAGATGGTATTGCCCTCCAAGATGCGCCAGAATGCTTCGAAACCAGCTTTGACGGCCTCGTCAGGGCATCGACAAAGACCTGGCATCAACGCCAGGGCCTGTTGCGGGAGGCCGGAGTAATGGATTCTTGCAGTGGCCAACAGATACTCGAGAAGATATTCTTGAGATGGCGACCACAGTATCCTCGCATTGTTCGAACTAGTTGGCAGTCCCATAGTAGGCCGCTCTTGTTGATGGACTGTTCGACCGGAGCCAGGTGGAGGCCCTGCATAGCAACCACAGTGACTCATCTCCGCAACGGTGTGGTTGGATAGACCAGGCTGATCCGTGGCCTGCCATGGAGTGACAGGAGAAGGCACATATTGCTGGTGTTGTTCCGCCAGCGACGACGATGATTCGGGTGAGCCAACCTTGGGCCTGATGCGGATAGGAGTCTGCAAGTTCGAAGCAGGCGGTTGAGTAGGTCGAGCAACGAAGCCGTGATTCTCAACCAGAGGTACCGACGCCGACGTGTCATACAGCTGTCGTGACCAGGACTCTGTTGGGGATTGCATTGGCGATGACAGCAAGCCATAACTCTGCTGCCCACCGTCGGGATGTGCTGACACAGGATAACGCGCCCCAGCGGAGGTCGTTGAGTCGTGATTGCGGGAGTGTTGATTGCGTGATTCGAGCTGGGAGGAGTGATCGCTGGCCGCAACATGCTCCGCAACTGTCTTGAATCCCGTTGGACGGTAGGCCTCGTATAGTAAAGAATACTCATATGGTGGGGGACACTGCTCCGAGACAGACTCTGGCGTCATGTTTGAGATATCATGACCGCTGTTCTGCAGAAGAGACTCGACTGAAGCCATGGTTGACGACGTGGCTGTGTTGTCCAATGGGCTGATCGCGATGGAACTCAAGGGCACTACAACACAGGAGTGCTGTACATTGCCGCCAACGTCGCCAGCGAGCTCGCATACCTCGCGAGTAGTGGACATTTCAGCTGTAGCTGTTCTTCCATCCAGCTCGGGACTCAGTGTTACAGAATCTCCTGACAGCTCATACTGGCCAGCCGTATTTGGATAGTGGGTTAGTGGCGCAGTAGATCGCCGGGTCAGCGAGCGGCACTTGTGGAGGACGCGGTTTAAAGCAGCAGGTATCGATCTCCCGGAAGCGCTTCTTGAGATTGACTCCATGGCATGCTCCATCCGATAGTCGATTGCGCGCCGATCAACCTCTTCATGGAATAGACAGCAGTTTCGAGGCCGGACGTGCTGTGACAACTGATCCGTGGTCATGAAAGGTAATGGAACACACTTGGAGGTTGAAGAGAGCTCGGCCGGCTCTAGGCCATCGTTGTATGAGGGTGGATCGGGCCGTGGTGCGAGTCTGGGGTTCCGACGACGTGGAGCGTTATGGAGACCGCAACCCTGACTATGTTGACCGTCATGAACCTGGACGACAGCCGAGATCTTCACCTGGTCCCAAGGGCGGCTTTGACTTACTGGAATACTCCCTCAAACATTCTGCCTTCGCTGCTGCGGTTTATCCGACACTGCTATGTTTGCCCAATCGGAGAGGTTTAGGTCGAAAGGTTTGTCAAAGTCGTCGATATCAAGCTGCGTAGAAGGGGACCACTGCTAATTTTGAGATGCAGTATCTCAGCTGTTGTCCAGCAAGCGAAGAGCCCGTCAAATTGTTCCACAGCGTCCGCTTCCATGACGGGGGCACGTCCGGAAGCTGAGTGACAATAGTCGCAGTCCATCTGTCCTGACGGACAAGCAGGGATCCTATCGTGGGTTGTCGTACGGTTGGTCGTGTCGGGCCCCAGTGCATGCGGTAGCTTCTCAGGCTCATGTTGCATAACTCGTGCGGAAAGCTGGCCGTGGAGCGGCCATGCTCTTCTGGACGTGCCTCACTGCCAAGGCGTGGTTGACCAGCTTTGCCGTGCCGACGTAAGCTTTCGACGCCCCGT